ATTGTTATGGTAATCGCTTGGGGGCTATATCGGCTTGTTATTTAAATTGTTTGAATGCAGTCAATGTCAATAGCCAGCTCAAGGTGTACTTTGTGCTCTAAATGCACGCTCTCTGGCGCACACAATTGTAGGTTTTCCTTGAAATATTGAAATCGTCTAGGTTCTAACAGGCTAAAGTTGAATAATATCTAGCTTTCCTACCCTAGCAATAGTACTACTCGTGCGTCAATCAATAACTTACTCTAACTTCTTGTCCTCTAACTTCTTGTCCTCCAACTTCTTGTCCTCTAACTCCTTGTCCTCTAACTTCTTGTCCTCCAACTTCTTGTCCTCTAGCTTCTTGCCCTCTAACTTCTCGTCCTCTAACTTCTCGTCCTCTAACTGATTTGTGATCTCACTGGAACCCGTTAATGGGTTGTTTACGATAGTGGACAGTGTGTGTGGATCGTAGTGATTTTGTCAAAAAAAGAAAGGGAAATTTTCCCGAAAAGAAAATGCGAAAACCCTCGCTAACATATCAACGAACCCTGAAAAAGGTTGAAGAGATTTTCGAGTTTTCGGGTTCCCCAAGAAAAAAAATGAGATTTCTCATCACCCTTCTTCCTTTTTTTCTTTTTTTTTTTAGTGAAATAAGCAAAAGAAAATCCCAATCATTTCTCCACAAAACGAATCGATTTTCTTTTTTGTGATCAAAGAAATTTGTGTGTGTGTGTGTTTTTTTTCTTTTTCCTTTTTAGCTTATCAATATGAAATTTTTCGTTGACCCTAGAAGGCTCTTTAGGGGAGGAGAGTTTTTTCTTTGCGCAAAACTATGAACAGAGCGATTTCTAGGGTTTGTTTTAAGGTAAACTGAGTTTCTGAGAAATCAGAAATCTGAGAAAGCTGAGAAATCTGATTTCTGATTTCTCATCACTGTTTATTGACCCACTGATCGATGAATCGATCAATCAATCGATCAATCGATCAATCAATCAATTGATCTTGGTCGATCAATCAATCGATCTTCATCGATCGCTCAATCGACCTTCATCGATATCGTATCAATTTCAGTTGTGGGGCGATATCCAAGAGTTCATTCAGAAGGAGTTCTGTGTTGGTGAAGGCCTTGTAGGTAAACGAGCCATCCTGCAATCCCCATTCGAGCTAGATACTTTTGATATTTTAGGGAAGAAATTTAAGCATTTTTGTCGCAGTGATTCGTCACCGCATTCCCCAAAATTCCCCATCAATTTCTAAATAGTTTTTTTTACGCATTTAAAAAGGTTAAATGTGTCATGGAAAATGACAAAGAAAAGGAGGAAATTGTTTTTGAAATTGACAATTCAACAATTCTTGGCTAGATATTCTAGCTAGATTTGTATCGATTCGGACTCTTGGATATTTGATTAGCAGATTTTAATAACCCTAATTACTTTGGGTGACTTTGAACGAGTCTTGTGCAAGATTTAGATACGTTTGGTCCTTCTAAAAGCTGGTTTTTCCAAAGCTGGCTTTTCCAAAACGAATTTTCCGGACCAGCTTTAACCTGGGTTTGCTGTTTTTGACTGATAAAAGTCAGAGTGGATTCGGATGAATCTTCGGCTTTGTCGGAGTCGGTTGGAAGATCTAGGAGTCGGAAGATTGGAAGATCTAGGACTCGGTTGAAAGATCACTAAATGGGAATCGGTACAAAGTATGGGGAAACACTTCTCGTTTGCAATCATTTAAAATCTAATCAGTACTCGTTGTGTCGATAATGCGTTTAACGAAAACAGGCATAAATTAACTTAGTCAACCGGGATCAGCTGATGGGAAGGGAGGGGAGGATTCGAGTGAGTCGAATGGAATGGAAAGGAAAGAAAAGAGAAGAGAACAGAAATGGATTGGAAAGGAAAATGTTTTGATTTCCAATCACGGGGAAAAGACAAGGTGAGACTAGTGAGTCATAATGGGGAATTGAAGAGTGGAGGCTGAAGGGGATGAGAAGAAAGGGGATGATGGGCGGTTCCCTTTCTTGTACATATCAGATATATTGGGGAGGATGTAGATGATTAGTAAGTCATTCAATTCATCTTGCAATAGTAATAGTTTGGGCAGATTGTGGCTTATAGGCTTTAAGTCTCTTTAGGAAGCTTTAGAACTGAGCTCTGGCTTCTGATCTAGCTCTGGCTTCTGATCTAGCTCTGGCTTCTGATCTAGCTCTGGCTTCTGATCTAGCTCTGGCTTCTGATCTAGCTCTGGCTTCTGATCTAGCTCTGGCTTCTGATCTAGCTCTGGCTTCTGATCTAGCTCTGGGTTTGTCTAGTTGATTCTAGTTGATAGCTGACATTCTAGACGAGGTCAAACTTTTAGTCTGATCGATAAAATTGAAGCAGGTTTCTTGTGAATCTAGATTGTTAAGCTCTTTAGCGTTTTAGAGTGTTTAACTTTAGCCTGAGCCTGAGCTGAGCTTGCCTACTTTATCGCTTACCTTACTAATCGATTGTCTGTTCTTCTACTCACTCTCCTATTTTCCTCAAATTTCAATTTATTGCTTGTCTTCTCGTCATAAATTTTTTGTCAAAAACGGCGGCTCTTTTCTATCATTTTTTTTGTTCGGTTTCTTTTCAACTTTTTTTTTTGTGGAAATACTTTAAGAATTTCAAAAACTGATAACTCAAAATGGGTTTTAAAACGGATGTTTTGAAGGAAGTTTTGAAGGAAACTCGACTATTGTAATAGGTTTTTTTTGAAGGAAATGAAATTTTATACACTTTTATACACTTTTATAGTTGTTTCCAGTTTTTCGCTGTCAAATTGGTAGATACAGCTTTCAATTGGATACTAGATTAGCATACAGAACAGATTTTAAATCGAAATTCACCAGGACATCTTCAAAAACTCTATTTTAAAGGCAAAATTTTGTAAAAATTGTAAAAATTGTAAAAATGACTGAGAAAATTCGATAATTATCACTCTTACATATCTAATTTTTGAGAAATTCATGATTCTCCTTTGTTTTCCATAAGAATCGATCCACTATTTTCTTTTAGAGCCAAAATTGGCCTCAATTTCTCCGAACGAACTGTTGCCAGTGTTAAAATAGAGGTCTTTTAAGATTTTGAAGATGTTTAAATTCAATGTTTATGATGTTTTTTTGTATAAATTTAAAGAAAATCAACTAATGCATAGATTTAAAGAGATCTATTGTACGGAAAACGTCACCAATCTGACTGTCAGCCCATTTCCCAGCTGACTGTGCAAAAAGTTGACATCATTTCATCAAAAATCTCAAATCAGCCCCTTAGTTATCAGATTTTCCAGAAAAATTTTAAATTTCAAAAAAAATAGGGGAAATTTGGTGATAAGAGTGAAAAGAAAAAGGGAAAGAGTTATCAGAATTCCCCCATTCATCTAAATATTCTATTTTTCTCCAGCATTTATAAATTTCATTTGCAATTCTCATCTTCGATTTCCCATTTTCTACGATTAATCAAATTTTGAGAATTGAATCGATGAATCACTGGTCAAATCCGTGTTCATTAACTATAAATAATATTTGCCTCCGCGCGATCACACCCGCCCACATTTACTGGGCAAAGTGTAGTTGTCGTGCCGATGATACCCCGATGGCGGCTGGGGCCCGGGGGGCCCATGGGGGACCCCGCGCCCCCCCCGCCGACGTTGCTCAACTTGGGAGATCGGACGGGGTCGACCACAGACCCTTCCCTTTCTGGGCCCCCGTGTTCATTTCAGCCTATATAAGTCGAGAATGTTGGGAGATCCGTCTTTCATTTGTTAAATAGATATTAAAGATTGAAAACTAGCGTTTGATAGTTGTTTGGCTAGCTACAAATAGCTATCAAGATATCAAGATAGCTATTTGTCTCTGATTCAGTTAGCATAAGAATACTATATTTTTGACTAACAACAATATAGTATTCTTATGCTAACTTTGTTTGTTAGTCAAAAATATAGTATTCTTGTGCTTTTTTACCTCTACATGGCTCTCCAAAGCGGCAGAGCCCAGCGGCCTCCAACGCACTAAAATAGTCTGCCTAACAATGGTATTTTAGAAACGAAAGGAGTTTCCTAGCGCTTTGTACTTGTATTTGAACTTGTCTGTCTTGAATTTAATAAAAAAAAAACAAAATTTTATTGATACAAACGATTCACGTCAGTTAAAAATGAAAAAATGAAAAAAAAGAAAAAAAAATGGTCGCGAATGAAGAAAAAGATCGCTTTTATAAGCCCCGACTACAGTAGGACAAGACAAAAAAGGAGACACTTTAGCAAATAATCATCGTAAATAGGTGTTGATTGTAGATTCAATAAAGCTAGTATAAATAAAAATCGATTGATTTTTTGCTGATAATTTTTCACGCTTCAAATCTCATTTTTTTTTTCTTTAATTTTAATTTCCCCTCCAAACCCCTCATTGAAGTGTTATCAGAAATCGCATAAAGATTTGCGGAGTGACGAGCATAAAGATTTGCGGAGATTCAATGACATTTCCGACTTTTAATCAATCATTTAAACAAACCAAACTTTAAGTAACTCTAGAGTTGCACATCTTTACCATATTCTTTCATTTTTCTCCACTTTTCAATCAATCTTTAAAACTATGAAAGCCCAGTCTTTAGAAAATTAGTTTTTTGAATTTTAAAAGCTAAACTTGGAGAAAAATGCTCTATCGCGGTGGCCTAAGGCACCGGCCAATCCAACAAGAGAGCCGGGCTCGATTCCACTCGACGCCAATTCTTTTGCATTTTTTTTGAAAAAGCTTTTTCATCATTTGAAATCTTCTTCATTATGCAAGCAAAGCTAATCCTTTTATCACAACTCTTATCTGAGGATATACCCTATAAATGCTATTCTTGACCTTGAGCTCATCACTCCCTTGAGCTCATCACTGTTTATTGACCCACTGATCGATCGATCGATCAATCGATCAATCGATCAATCGATCAATCAATCGATCAATCGATCGATCAATCGATCAATCAATCGATCAATCTTAATCGATATCATTTCAATTTCAGATGTGGGGCGATATCCAAGAGTTCATTCAGAAGGAGTTCTGTGTTGGTGAAGGCCTTGTAGGTAAACGAGCCATCCTGCAATCCCCATTCGAGCTCACCACACCGCAGATCGGCGCCACGCAACCGTCGAAAATTGAGGTTGGTTGCAAGAGTTCAGATTAATGTTTTTTTCAAGAATTGTAGTCGTGAGTAAAATACAGATGAACAGTGCCCATGGAATAAATTCTCAATGTTTAGCTCCGACCGCGAGAGATGCGAAAGCCGACCCCGCAAATGCAGATGCCTCCAGTGCTCAGAAAACTCTCCGAATCCGGTTCACCCATTCACAACTCGACCTCACCACAACTACCCGCTTGTTCGACGCTTTTTGAAAAGGTTTGAAAATCGATTTTGATCGATTTTGATCGATTTTAATTGATTTTAATCTATTGTAATCGATTTTAATCGATTTTAATCGACAGGCAGAAATTCCAAACCATTCCAAACCATTCCACCTTTGTTTTCTCGGCCATTTCTTATCCGATTGATCTGAAATTTTATCTACATGCTGAAAATGTTGATTTCTATCTGTAGATAAAATTTCAGATCAATCGGTCAAGAAAACAAAGGTGAAATTAGGTTGGAGTTGGAATTTACATGTTTGCAGTCGTGAGTCATCAGTTAAACATCAGTTAAACTCGAGATTTCGCGTAAAATAGGATTTTCATTGGCTTAAATCTAGCACAATTTGTTTAAGAAGCATTTAAAATAGGATAGATATTTGATTTTGCTGACCTGGCAATCCTAGCGTAATCGAAAGCCAAGCCCAATCGAAAATCAAGCCCAATCAAAAATCAAGCCCAATCAAAAATCAAGCCCAATCGAAAACCAAGCCCAATTCATTTACTCATTTCCAGGAGGTCCCCTGTCCCCCTTGTCTTCCCTCAACATCGCTCAGCTTCACATCATCGGATTCACCAAGTGAATGCTCGTCATTCGATTCCTCGAGTTCTCCCCTTCCATCTCTAAGCGATACTTCAATTGTCTCATCTCTTCAATCACCACAATCACTTCAACCACTAATCCCTGTTGTTTATTCGATGAAAACGAGTGGTTTGTAGATGCAAAATTCTTTTTTGATTTGATGACTTTTAGATCTTTTGACTTGTCCGACTTTACCGTCTCCATCATTTCCCGTTTATCAGCTACTTGATGTGAAAAAGGTGAGTGAATATACTGTAGATATTGATTGTATAGGATTTAAACTATTGTAAATGTCTATATTATATAATAAATATTGAAATAGATTGTTAAATAAACAACTAAGTCTATTTGAAAGCTCTGAAAGTCGATTTGAACGCTACATTACAGAAACAGTAACATTTTTAATCAGTAACAAGTAACCCAGTGCAACTTGGTTGCTATACTAAGATGCAAATAGCTTATTCTAGCATTTATAGAAATTTGAAGGCAGTTTATAGCTCAATCTTTCTAGGAAACCCCTCCCTCGAGCCCTGAGAACCAAGCGAACAGGGTAGAGAAGTCAAAAACCCCGGACAACTCTATTGAAATCAAGGCCCGTCCAAGAAGGATCAGTTCGAGGTGAGAAAAGGGAAATCAAATCAAATAGAAAATACTGGTTGCCTATAATTACATATGCAAATTGCAAGAATTCTCTCTGGTAAATGGAAAAAGAAAGGGTATTTTGAGTGAAGGTTATGGAGAAGATTGGGTAAAGGAAAGGAAAGGGAGGGAAGGGAAGGGAAGGGAAGGGAAGGAAAGGGAAGGGAAGTGAAGGAAAGGGAAGGGAAGTGAAGGGAAAACGAGGGAATAAATCAGTGAGAATCGTCTTGATTGAATGATTGGTGAATGGGGGAAAGAAAAGAAAAGATTTCCTTGAATGGAAAGATTTTCAGGTAAAGGTATGGTGGAATGGGAAGTGACAGTGAGAAGGGTAGTAGTAGTAGTAGTAGTAGTAGATTCCTTCGGTAGGCTTAACTAGGCTAGCAGTTGCTATTGGTAGGTCATTTTATCATTTTATCAAGACTATATCTGATTGACTAGATTCATAGCTTGTTTTTGCAGTAGATAGAGCTTTATAACCGCTTCTTTCTAAAAGTCTAAACTTTAACAAAAGACTTTAAAATGTACTTTAACAAGTCTAAACTTTAATAAAAGACTTTAAAATGTACTTTAACAAGAGTAAAGTTTCAGCCAGATCTGTCTCACTGAATGCAATGTTAGAATCAGCTGTTAGAATCCAAAAAAGTCAAACGATTGTCAAAATGATCATTTGATAGGTAGTTAGGTAGATAGAAAATGATCATTCTACATTTTTTTGAGCCTGGATTAGATTCTACATCATTCCAAATGACTTAACTTAAGATTCTAAAGCAATACGTTTTACTGAATCTTTAAATTATAATTTAAATTGCACTTATTGTGATATGATGTCCTTGAAACGTTTCTCTCATTTTTGTGGAAGTATGTGCTAGCTTTGGTGATTGTTGTCGTAAATAACTGGCTGCCTTGAAGGGAGAGACAAAATAGGAAAAAGACAGGGAAGGTTGGGTAAAGACAAGGAAAAGACAAGGAAGAGACAAGGAAAAGAGAAGGAAAAGACAAGGAAAAGACAAGGAAAAGACAAGGAAAAGACAAGGAAAAGACAAGGAAAAGACAAGGAAAAGACAAGGAAAAGACAAGCCAAAAACAAGGCAAAGACAAGCCAAAAACAAGGTGATACAAGGAAAATCACTCTTCTATTCCCTTCAATTTCTCTTCATGAAATGTGACAGTCTTTTCTTGTCATTGTGACATATAACTCGATCTTTTTTGGGGGAAAACGAGGCTCTAATTTCCATCATTCAATCGAAAATTATGGGTTTTCTTGGAGGAAAGCAGTGCTTCTTTCAAAAGTTCAAAAGTAACTGAGAAAGAAGTATTGCATTAGAATCTGATTCTATCTAAAAGATCAATTAAATTCGAATTCAAAGCAATTCGAATTTCAATTGAAGACTTAATAAAATGAATATCTTCAATCGATTTCGGCTTAAAAATTGACCTATGCCAGAGTACGCGTTGAGTATGTTTGCCAGAGTATAAAGTACGTTATAAAGTACGCGTTGAGTACGTTTGCCAGAGTATAAAGTACGTTGAGTACGTTTGCCAGAGTATAAAGTACGTTGAGTACGTTTGCCAGAGTATAAAGTACGTTGAGTACGTTTGCCAGAGTATAAAGTACGTTGAGTACGTTTGCCAGAGTATAAAGTACGTTGAGTACGTTTGCCAGAGTATAAAGTACGTTGAGTACGTTTGCCAGAGTATAAAGTACGTTGAGTACGTTTGCCAGAGTATAAAGTACGTTATAAAGTACGCGTTGAGTACGTTTGCCGTTTCTCTGAGCACAAAGTATAGCATAGTTTTTTTTCGGCTTCAGCCGATCCCGATGATACAAATTTACAGCTATCTTCTTTTTAAACAATCTAAAAAGCAAAAGAAAACCTTGTACAATAATCCTAACAAATGATAATTATGTAATTATGCTTTAGTTATTCCCTTTAGTGTGTTAGCTTTTGACTAGTTAGCTTTGGACTTGTTAGCTTTGAACTTGTTAGCTTTTGAATTGCTAGCCCTTTCCATTGAACACCTATTTTCACTTACATCATCCCGTTCAAGCTATCCCTTTTTAATCAGCTTCCCAAAAAGGTAAGACCTTGAAATGACGGCTAGTTGTGTGGGGGTTTCGATCTCCCCATCGTCTATTGATCTACAAGAAATTGCTGTTTAGGAATCGGTATTTCTTGTAATCTCTAACTTTTCCCTTTTCTTTTCAATTTCTGAGACTCCCGCTGAGATAAAATTTGCATATATACAAGAGAAATGAAAAAAAAAAACATAAAAGGAAAAAGTTGCAGTTAAAAGAAGGAACGTTTGGGGGTTAATCGGAAAAGTCTAGAGTTTAGAGTTTAAAGATTGAAAGGTTTGGATATGTTTATTGTAGCGTACTTTAGCGTACTGTAATCTAGCTACTGTACCACCTGTAGAATGTACTTACTACAGTAAAGTAAGCCCAAACTAGTGTAGTAGGTTGCAGTGTATGTACAGTGATCATTGCCAGCAATACTACCATTAGTACATTACTCTACAGTCCTACAGTAGACTATACAGTCATACAGTAGACTATACAGTCATACAGTAGACTATACAGTCCTACAGCCCTACAGTAAGCTCTATGGGTTGAATGGAAGAGAATTAGAGCTCTTTAGAATGATTTATAAGTGTTAATTTGGTTTTAACTTGTTAACTCTTGTTCTACAATGAATTTCAGCTGTGACTCGTCGGCGGAATCAGAGTGCGATGCGAGAAGAAGACCGTCGAGAAGACAACCAGAGCTAGGCGGACGACGATCGCCCATTCATGCGTGCAATCATCCTGGATGTGGAAAGAAGTAGGCTAAAAAAAAGATATTAGATAAACTTCATGGTCTTGATATAAGGTCTAAACATTTAGATATCACAAGAGCTCACATCTGAAAGCACACATGCGAACGCATAGCGGAGAGAAGCCATATGAATGTCATTGGAATGGATGTGGATGGAAGTTTGCGAGAAGTGATGAGTTGACGAGGTGAGTGAAAAGAAAATGCTAAAGAATGCTCTTGCTACCGGCTTCGCCATGGCGTTTGGATTACTGTAACATCACTATTGTGTTACGGGTTACCGTAGCCGCGTCATGCTACTCAAAAAACTATGCTATACTTTGTGCTCAGAGAAACGGCATAGGTCAATTTTTAAGTGCACTAGTGAGCGGTCGTTGATCAAAACATAAAGTACACCATTCGTTTTGCTTGTTCATTTTTTCAAAATCATATTTAGACACACTCGGAAGCACACCGGAGTGAAGCCATTTCATTGCTCGGTTTGTGGACGGACATTCTCTCGTTCTGATCATCTCTCATTGCACATGAAGAGACACAACACTGCCTGAGAAATTTCTTTTGAACGCTTTTGAAAATTGAACGATGAACATTTTGAGATTTCGCTTGAGATTTTGTTTTTTTGAGCTTTCAAGTAAAGCATCTAGTGGGTTTGGTTATGTAGAACTTGAATAAAACTACAGTAATCTATAAATGATTAGAAACAAATAGACTACAGTACTCTAAATAGCCGGTTACTGTAGCGTACTGTAGGCAATAGATGGCTACTGTAACGTACTGTGATAACTGTGGCTTACTACAGTAAACTACAATAAGTAATGTAGATCGTAGCACTGTAGGAAGACAACACTACAGACAGAATCCGCTAAAAATGAGAAGCATGCACTAGACTACAGTAAGTACAGGCTGTACCTGTAGACTATTGCAGACTAGACTACGCAGACAATTGTAGATTGTAGACTAGACTACGTAGACTACTGTAGACTGTAGACTAGACTACGTAGACTACTGTAGACTGTAGACTAGACTACGTAGACTACTGTAGACTGTAGACTAGACTACGTAGACTACTGTAGACTGTAGGCTAGACTACTGTAGACTGTAGACTAGGCTACGTAGACTGTAGACTAGACTACGTAGACTACTGTAGGCTGTAGAGTAGACTACGTAGACTACCGTAGACTGTAGACTGGGCTACGTAGGCTACTGTAGACTAGACTACTGTAGACTGTACTGTAAACTGTAGCACAGTAAACTTCAACAAGTACAGTCTACTGTAGTAAGCTACTGGTGCCTAGTAATAGAGTAGACAATACACTGCCATTAGTAGACAGCCAGTATCCCTACAGTCCTACAGTAACCATTAGTAGACCCTAGTTCTATGCTTTTGATAGATTACAGAACATTAAGCATATTCAAGTAAACAAAATCTAATCCACTAGATGCCTTACGTTTCCAAGCTATATAACCCCCCCAAAATTCGCCCTTTATTTACCGGTAATATTTTTTCTTCGTGAAACCGATGATTGCCCAAAATTTTCGAAATAAGTTATATATTCTTTTTTTCACAATCGCTGACAATTTTTGTGCCTTTTCAATTATTTTTTTTTTGTCTGATCTTTTCCGCTCAGGTGGTACAACTCTCATCTCTCGATAGATTTTGAACATTTCGGTGACAAATCTTTTTCTCTCTGTTAACTATTGCTTAGTTTTTGGTTTATAGTAATCATTTGCTTGTTTAGTGGATAAATTGTTGTAAGAATTTATCTACATGAATAGAATAAATCACAAAGACTCACAGAAATCACAAAAAGACCCGTTTTCTATCACTTAATGCTAATTTTAATCTTTCTTCTCATCACGGAGGGTGAGCGCTTTCGGGAATGTGTGAATGAAAGGATTGCCGAGAGAGGAATTGGTCGGGCAGAGAGTTCCCTGGAAAGTGATCGATTTAAATCAATTTATCTAATCACAGAACAAAATTTACAATACTTAGTAAAAAAAGTGAATGGTTGTGATAGGGTGCTTGACGAAGTTTTATCTTACAATTCTTGCAAGACAGTAAACCAGTCTTACAAGTCTGATTTACATGATACAAGTGTACCATTGCTTTAAAAACCCACTTGATATCCTTGAGCCTCAATTGTAGCCACCAATTTTACATGTCTAGCGTCGATTACCTCTCCCGTTGCCGACTTCATCGCGCCACTAAATTGATCATTTGATATACATACATTAATTGGCTTAAAGCTGGGAATTTAATAATCTACAGAGTACAAAAATATGTGCCTAGGAGACTCGGCTATCAATAATGAAGTCTTATTGATCGATCGATAAGCAACTCTAACCGTTAAGCGCTACAACAGTTACCGTAAATATTGTAATAGTACTCCACCCCCTCGTACAGTCGCGTAGTCGCAGTGGTTATTGGTAACTTCTTGCTAACAACAAGTTACATACCAATATCATTTTTGCTTTTGCTTTGCTTGCATTTTTGCTGAAACGATATATGTTTCTTGAGTAAATTATTAAACATTTTGCGACATAGTGCGAAAAAAAAACTGACTAGAAAGATAGTAAAAAGCAACTCTTTTAACTCCAATCTAAAGTTCCATATTGTTCAGCACTATAAAAGCACTTTCTTTGCGGATAGAAATGACTGTAAAAAAAGCTACCTACCGTAAATACTGTGATAATACCCCACCGCCCTCGTACAGTCGGGTAGTCGCAAAAATTTTTTTAGTATTTCATTTTTTTCAAAGCGCCCGTACTTTTAAAAAAACGTGTCTTTGGTATCAAAAAAAGCCCTGAATTTCAGCTATTTTTTGATACCTAAGCGCGCATTGTAGCATAAACCAGTGTCGAGAAAAACGCGTTCAAAGCTAGACTACGCAACACTCCGCACCGTCATTATGGGGGTGGGGTACTATTACAGTATTTACGGTAAGTACATTTTGTTGCCCTCGTCAACTCTCACCTGCTTTTCAACATCATTTTCCGGGACTCTTCGCTCATTTCTCCTTTCTACTCGAGTTTGTTTGAAGGTTTACCCTAAAACTACCATTTTACGATTTTTTAAGTTACCTTACCGTTATAAGGTGTATGAGATCCAAGGATGACACGTCCCAGCAACAAAAACGATAACTTTGCGGTTCTAAAAACTTATAAAAGTAAAGGAAAACAAAATTTAAAGCAAGACAGAGGTGCTAGCAAAAGCGCCAAATTATTTGCGCCGCGTATCATTTGCGCCAAATTTGCGCTTTTCAACACACTTTCCTACCAACTCTGATCGTTTATTTTAATTTTTTTATACTACTTTTTCTCGTCGACGATGCTCGCTATTTTATCGGCATCTGAAAATGGCATAAAATCTATATAAAGAGCAAAAAGCCCAATCGGTGACACAAAAATTAGTATTTTTTGGGCTGTATATGTATTTAAACGTGTTTTCTAATTGAAAACAGTGTGAATTAAAATTGTGAAGTAGAAAAGACTGCGGAAAAGCGTTAAGTTGCGTAGTTTTTGCCTTTTAGTCCAAATTTGACGTGTCAACGAGGTCTGATTTGTCAAAATTCTGAATCTACGCATACGATTCCCTGATATGGAAATATTTTCGAAGCTCTACGGCCTTGCCTAAGGCCTTTTCCACCAAACAAAAGGTGCGCAAATGTCCAGGTGCGCAAAAACTTGCGTTTTGTCCCACCCCCCGCAAGACACACAAAAATGGCAATTGTACAAAGAGTAGAAATGTAATATAACCAAAATATTTCGTCTCAAAATTAGAGGAATTTCTATTAGTGAACTGAATATCTTATTATTTGCGGCGCAAAGATGGAAAAGGAGAAAAGTTTTTTCATTCGTTAAAATTGTCTGCTTGCTGTCGGTGATTTTTAATTAAATCCCTAGTTTCGCAAAAGAACATTACGTTTTTATAGCAATGCATTAGTTGAACTAAATTCTCACATCCGGAAATTGCTACGGTGGTCGTGTTTGTGCATTTTTACGATCCTTTCTGCTAACTGATTCAGGGGAATTTTTGACTTTCATCTTTCGCGCCATTTTTCTTTTCCCCCGTGCTCTCTTGTCCCTGCGCATCAACCCGCCTACAGTGCTATTACACTGCCGATACTCAGGCATGATTTTATGTAAAAACTAATTCTACTTTTAACAAAGCCTTACCTTTTTTTGTTTTTTCTGACGTTTTTTATTATCAGGCTTCGTTTTTACTTGTTTTTTTCAGGGTACTTTAATGATCTGGTGATTATATTCGGTGACGGATCAGGACGCACAAAGCTTCATCAAAATGGTGGAATACGGTGTTCAAACTGACAACAAGTTCAATTTTGACTTGGGATCGGATGATGGTGGGCTTTTCAAAGTTTAAAAAAACTAAACGACTACGATTTGCCTAGGTAGTAGCCAGAATTTATTTTAGTCGTCTGTCTGTTGTAATACGTATTCATTGTTTTGTTATTTTAGAGTTGGGTGATCCAAGCGAGCTGCTCAAGCTAGGAGCTCAGGAGAAGAAAACTCCAGCCCAAAAGAAAGCTGAAAAGGATGAAGCCAGAAAAGCGAAGGCTAAAGAGGAGGCTGCAAGGAAGGCTGCTGCCGCTACCGCTGCTGGTATTTTTTGCTCTTACAGGATAATAATTGTTTACTTTTAGCTAACAAGGAGAATCGTCCGACTGCTGCTGGAGAGCGTGGTGGACGGGGAAGGGGTCGCGGTGGACCTCGTGTAAGTGATTTAAATTATTTCTAGTTGTTAAGGGAAATCTTTTAGAGAATTGTTTATATAATGAAAGGAACCTGTTGAGAATATCATATTTTAGGGAGCTCGTGGGGATGGGCCACGCCCTCCCCGTGTTGATCGTGGCGACCGTCCTCCCCGCCCCGAGCGACAAGAAGGTGATTTTCCTAACAAAGAAGGACATCAGGAAGGAGGATTCCGTGGACGCGGCGGTCGCGGACGTGGAGGACCATTGTAGGTCATTTTAGTACATTTTGCTTTCCACAAGATCCTTATTATTTTGTGCTTTTTAGCCGTGGTGGACGTGGCGGCGGTGCTCCGAGACCAGTCGGTGATTCAAGCAACGCTGATGAGCCTCACAAAGAAGTGACTGATGAGAATACGCCTCCAGCTTTCGAGGGCGAACGTTCTTTCCGTCCAAGAGGCGGCCGTGGGTTCGGTGGTGGTCGCGGAGGCAGAGGAGGTTTCCGTGGATCCCGCGAGTTCGATCGTCAAAGTGGCTCTGATCGCAAGGAAGGAGAGAAGAAAGAAGGACATGGACGTGGTAACTGGGGAACTCCAAAGGTGAATACTTCATTAGCATAAGTAAAGTAGCAATGTCGATCGAGCATAGAGTCACCGGTTCTTTTTTCTCTCAAAGCTCTGGTGCTGGATGTTTCGTAAAGCAAAGTTTGACTAAATACGGGTTGGGTGCTCTTATGCCACTTGATCTCACCTGTACAAGCGACAGACGCTAATTATAATGTTGGAGAGTCGTATACTATTTATCACAAAACTGTCTACCTTTATTTCTAGGACGAACTTGCCGCCACTGAAGAGGGTGAAAATGAAGAAGTCAAGGTCGAAGCCGAGGAAAAGCGAGAAAAGACCGCCGAAGAACTCGAGCAAGAGGCTTTGGAGGCTCTGCTTGCTTCTCAAAAGACACTCGCTGAGTACAAAGCTTCGCTCCAAGTAGACTTTCCTTCATTAATGCAATACTGTTTGCTTTAGAAAGATGCGAACAAGTTCAACATCAGAAAAGCCAATGAGGGCGGACAAGACAATTTTGGAAAGCTTGTGCCTTTGACCAAGAAAGAGCTTCATGAAGAGGAGGTTAGCACGAAGCGGTTAAACGATTTTTATTCTTTTCTTTTAGCATCAACAGGTTTTGGTTGCGAAAGAAAGCAAGAAGAAGCTCGTTGACTTGGACATTCGTTTTGCGGACCAAGGCCGTGGAGGAGGAGGCGAGCGCGCTGAACGTGGAGGTCGTGGTGGAAGAGGTGGAGGAGACCGTGGGCCAAGAGGAGGCAGAGGAGGAAATTTTGGTGGCCGTGGAGGTAAAGACTATTGATTCGTACTATATGAACTTTATTTTTTTAGGTGGAGCTCGTCCATCTCGTGGTCACGATGGTCACTTCAAAGCCGACTTGGCCAACGCCAACGAGTTTCCATCCCTTGGTTGAACTCTTTCCACCGCTCCATGTGCGTCCTCTCCCAAACAGATCCATTAAACCGTCGATCCCTTTTCCATCATAGGGTCCATCACCGTTTTATATCTCGTCTCCAACTTCCTTTAGCTAGTTCTCGTGTAGCTTTGTTTAGTCTTTACACCTTTCGATCTCCTTGGAACTCGTTCCATTTCAATTGTTTCTTACCTAAAGACAGGCTTCATTCTGTTTTTTTGTCTCCTTGTAAAGCAAACCCTAAGCTTTTGTTTTGGAGTGTTATATAATTACGGTGTTGTTTTTTTGTTGCTTTATTTGTTTTTGTTGAAAAGGATAAATTTGTCCCATAAAAACCCCTGTTAATGTATTAAACTCCGAGAGCGTGCCTACCATTGGTAGAAAACGCGAGTATTTTCAGATAATCTCGTTTGTTTGATGATATATAAAAGATATCCGAGTTTTGCGGTTATTGGTTTCCTTTTTTAAAGAATAAAAAATTTTTAAACAAGATATCAATGGTATATGGGAATTTTAAAACGAAAAGGGCTATAATCTTTGGAGTACTAGCGGTATTAGTTGATGAAACATGGTCGGTGAAGGGCGAGTGTCGTTTTGTTTGTGTGCGTGGTTGTGGCCTATTGCTTAGGCCGGAGGGGGGCTCCCGTTGACGCCCTCTTCTTGTATCGGAAAGAGGCCCATCGGCGGCGTTCTGACACATCGGTCGTATTCGATTCCCTATTGGTGCGGTTCCGGTTGTCGGAAAGGAATGGGCGCCATTTGATCATCACCACCATTGCTTCCTCTTTTCCCTCAACTCGTATGCAATTTCAAAACTAAACGATCTTGTCGGCAAGCCGATGTGGCTATTCTCTCTTTTCATTTTTAGTTCTATATTCGAATTTGGATCCGCATTTATTGTTGGTGGCTGCATTGGACCGAAATCGTCTTTCGAACGATATTTGACTGTTAGCGAGAAGAAAGAGTTGAAGCGGATAGTGCACGAGAATTTTGATGGGAGCAATCAAGCTGAGGTTGGTGGCAAAGCTTGTGAAAGACTAAAGCTTGACAAAGTGAACTCATTCTGTATCGTTAAGAAGATTTTATTTGGAAATGAGATTAGCTTGCTAGGTATTGATCAAAAAACGAGTTGCACGCTATACTTATCTATTTTGAGAGGTGATAAATCGGTTTCCAAAAAAGCCTTCCATTCTTAGCAGTCTGTGTGCCTTTTCTTTCGATATAGACAAAGGGTTGTAAGAGATGAAAATTGGGGAAAAATGGAAGGGGCATACAGAAGAGAAATACACACAAACAGGCGCACAAACAGACACATACCGGAGTCTTTATGCTTTTAAACCTTTCGACAAATATTACTCCCTCTTTCCTCTCTCTCTCTCTTTTACTCTTTCTTTCGTTCTAGTGCTGAAGTGCTGGGATATGCGAAAATGGCCTTCTTTTGTGATAAGATTTGTTTAAGAAAGACTATGGGCTAAAAGGAAATCTCACATAACTAGAATTGGGATTTCAAAAGAATTGAGATTTCAAAGCCAGAGCAAAGGGTTTTCTTCAAAGACTGGAATTTCTTTCATTCAAAGCTAATCATGGTTTTAACGATTAGGTTCTCTCCGAAGTTTATCACTTCGTTCACGGTCATGTCACCGATGCGCAATGGAAGGAAATCTATCCGGAGATTGAAAAGTAAGAGAATTTCTGTGAAAAGAAAAATTCTATCCATTTTTGAATACAAGATTCTCGAAAAAAGTCAAAATGATTTCTAAATGATATCCCTAAAGCACAAAGCTGTACAAGCACAAGCACAAAACTGTACAAGTACAAAACTGTACAAGTACAATACTGTACAAGCACAAAACTGTACAAGCACAAAACTGTACATTTTCAAGCAAACAAAATCTAGCCACTACACCTAGAAAGCACAGAGATATGTAGATTTCTAATATCTAAACCTAATAGAATAAAATGATCACTTGATCACTTTTCAGATATCGACAACAAAGCCATGAATGTTCGGTGTACGCTCAGCTGTTGCCGAATCATTTGTACAAACAATTATTGGTATTTGAAAACCCTTTTTTTTCTAAAACCGTTTTCTTTTATTTTCTTTTAGACATCGGTCTATCGAGCTTCGGAAACTGGTGCTGATAAGCATGAAGTGAAGCGATTAGTTGAGGAATACATCGAACGTTTACTCGTTGAAGGAGCTTTAGATCGGGTAAAGATAAAGGAAATGCTAGAAAAAGTCGATTTCTACAGATTCCGACTCAAATGCCGGCGTTGAAGCCGGCTTTACCGATGTCACCGGTGGTTCGACGCGTTTCCCAAACGTCGAAGCCGACAATCGCGTCGACTCCGTTTGAATCAACGACCACGAGTGCCGCACAACAAACCACCATTTCAGGTAATCAAAAAAAGATTCTATTTCAGTTCTATCTTCAGTTCTATCTTCATCTAATGAACCTGCCAAAAACCGCTTTATGATTTTCTTTCAGCTGTACCCGTGCGTCCAGCTCACTACCTGGTGATGGCCCCTCCACCACCGGTACGTATCACTCTTCGTCCACCTCTCTCTATCAATCTCCTCCTTTCCACCTCCACCCCAACCACTACAACTCTTAAACCAACTCCTCCAATTCCTTTTGCTGGATTAAGCGTAAGTTAATTAAGTCACATTGTATTGTACATTGTACACATTGTACAAATTTTTCAGCAAGCTATGGAGGAGACACGAAATGCAGCTCGTTTTGACTCGTTAGCGAGACAATTTTTGCGAGAACGAATCCGGATCGCATCGTCGACTCAGGATACGCCTGTTGTTTACAAGTGAGTTCGGCGGGAGAGTGGGGTAGATATAGAAATGGAATAAGAACTGAAGAGAAGGATACCAGTATCACCAAGTAGTCCAAAAGCTTAAGCTTGTTCGGAAATCTGTGCCAAAGAAAACTCTAGAATTCCGTGCTTTGTGCGCGCTTTCTAGTGCACTTGCTTGTCTTAAATTTTGGTGAAAAGAGAAAGCTTGAGTTTGCTAGAAAATGAGTGCTTAACAAAGCACAAAGTACGGACGTCTTCTAGATGATTTGTGTGGCTCGGCTGGCTGGCTGGCTAGCTGGCTGGCTTGCTGGCTGGCTGGCTGACTTGCTGGCTGGCTTGCTGGCTGGCTTGCTGGCTTGCTTGCTGGCTGGTTGGCTGGCTTGCTGGCTGGCTTGGCTTTGGCTTGGCAATAACAATCCAATGATCTCCAGCAATGTAAACCTGCCTCCTCCTCCATCAATGCCCCCTCCTCTCTACAATCTTTTCCCTCGTGCCATCCCTTTGAATGGGGCTCAGCGTCTTCCAAATCCCTATGGATCAAATCACGAGCGTTTATCGAATAACCCAACTTTCCCTCTTGTCAGCATGTAAGTTGTGCGCTTACTAAAGCTAACAAATGCTCCTCAACTTTTCAGGAATCCTTACTTCCATTGCCCGTCGAGTGAAACGAATTGCTGTCACTACTGCACTCCCGCTTATTGGTGTCGTTGCAATTCATAATTGATAATAAGTGCTTTAAACCTAACAAGCTCTGTAACAATATTGAGATCTAACTGTTATATTGGGATCTAACTGTTATCTTGAGATCTCTGTAAATACAGAGACTGAATATCCCTGTTGCTTGATTGATTTGGGTAATTTTGAAGAACGAATAGTAAGCGATAAAGCTTGAAATCTTGAGAATTGGTTTTTAAGTCAGTTTTGTCATTATTGATCGGTTTTTTGGTCAAATTTGATTTGAAATCTTGTTCCAGGCATCGTCAACACCATCGTCGCCCAGCGCTCTTGGTCGAGCCATGGGATGAGAGGAAATTCGATGGGAATTTCCAGGCAAGTGAAAGAAAAGGATATAGGAGAACATTTGGCACATCTTTCCCTCGATATAACGATGTTGAGAGAATTGATGGTGAGAAGGGAAAAGGAGAGGATAAAGAAGAGAAGGGAAAAGGAGAGGATAAAGAAGAGAAGGGAAAAGAGGAAACAACAACGATGAAGAATGCTGGTGAAGAAAGTACAATAGTAGAGTCGCTAAAGAAATCTGAAAATTCAACAAAAGCAGAACTTCATGAGAGACATGAGAAAATTTTGATTCCTTTAAAAAATGGGGAATTGATAGAGCCAGATGGATGGGATCTTGTCGAATCAAAAGAGAAATGATTCTACGAAAATTTGAAAATTCTATTTGATTTGTTATTTGGATACGGGTTTTTTTTTGAATAAATTTATTTGAATTTATTTGAATGCTTTTATTTGAATGCTTATTTGAAATCGAGAGTGGCAAGTTTGTTTGGAGAAAGAAGAATAAGAAGCAAAAATATCGATTTACATTTAGTAGAATAGATAGTTTAATATGGAAAACAATAAGATTTATACAGTTTTCTTTATGAGCTTTCATTTGAGGGACATGTGAAAGTGTGAGTCGACTTTTGACGATAAAGAGCGGCTCGCTTTTGCGAGGAGATATTCGGAGTGTCCGGTCGCTCAGCCCAATAAAGAATAATCTCCTGGAAAAGCTATGACTAAATTTTAAACCCATAACCAGAAGCGAAGATTGTAATAAATGGCTTTCACCGGTTTATCAATAGGCTTTCACCGATCGATTTATCAAGCACTTATCAGGTATTAAAGAATAGCTTTTCCAATTGATAGACTCAATAAAATGAATAGCTTTAATTGATTGGTACCTTGGTACCTTGGTTATTGATTGATTGGTACCTTGGTACCTTGGTTATTAATAGATAGCTACCTTGGTACCAATCAATTGGAGCTATTCATTTTATTGAGTTTATTGATTCAATTACCTGAAAACCCTTGGTACCCTTGGTAGCTGAATATCTCTTAGACAATCTACATAAGAAAAATCACTGTGTAAATGACTGGCGCGGTGGTCTTTGTGCGGTCGCGTAATCGCTATCCACATAGCACATGCCTCTGATAGATACCTATTCCATTTTGATTGCGTAAAGGAGGAGGACTGAGCCGGATCGCCTCTTTCAGCCTCACTATGTCCCAATTTTTGCCCCAGAAACATTTTTCCCCCAAATTCGACTAGCTTTAATACAAATTCTACAGCGAAAACAGAATAATAAATTCTTGAAAAATCGATTGAATCTAGTCCTTCCAGATAAAGTCATCAAAAATTTTAGCTAAAATTTGATTGAGAATGAGTGGCCAGCAAAATCAGTTAGCTATCAGCGAAATCTTAAGATCCTAAAGAAGGATCTTGAAGATTCTATTCTAAGATTTTGCTTCTCTATTCAAAACAACTCAAAAATAGCTCTAACCCACCTGATCACTTGGACAAGAGTTCTGGAAAATAGGTAAAGTATATCCTCTTTCCATATAGGCCCAAAGATTTTTCAGATTATCGGGTATCGAAAAGTCTTTTAATGCCTAAATGGATTTATAAAGATAAAGATTTTTGGAAACTTGAGCTGAGATTCGAATTGAATGCAATCGTGTGAGAATTAGAGAGTCGAGATAAGCGAGGGAATTCCCTGTAAGATAGGGGAATTCGGCTGCACCAAGGTACTCATCAAGACGATGGAGTTCGCCTAGAAGACCCTGTAAATGGTAGAATTGTTGATGAACTTAATAAATGAATAAATGAAAAATTCCGAAATCTTCAAAATAATCTCACCTTTGGATCCTTGTTGACATCTTTGATGAAAAAAGCGAAATGCCGAAATAAATCCGAAGTGACATCATCGGCTTCGTTCTAAACTTTCAAAAATTTCTTAGATTCAGTACAATTTTAATTTACTAACTTTACTGGCTTTACTTACTTTATTTACTTTGCTTTACTGACTTTACTTACTTTATTTACTTTACTTACTTTACTTACTTTACTTACTTTACTTACTTTACTTACTTTCACTTTACTTTTTAATACTTTCACACCTTATCCCAGTAGCAGTCTTGTTTCATTTTTAACTTAAAAATAAATAAGAACTGATTTATGTACCATCTTTCTTTTTTCTTCCCCCCCCCCCCCCCCCCCCCCCCCCCCCCCCCCCCCTTTCCCCTCCTTCCTCTCCTCCCTCCCCTCCCTTCTTCCTTCTTCCCCCTTCTTCCCCCTTCTTCCCCCTTCTTCCCCCTCCTTCCCCCTTCTTCCCCCTTCTTCCCCCTTCTTCCCTCTTTCTCTTGTCATTTTAAGGTATTGGATAGTTCAGTGGTTAGAGTAATTGCTCGGAAAGCTAAACCCTGACCCTCGAAGCTTGAGGGTTCAATCCCCTCTCCGGAAATCCACTTTTTCTTTATGTAGATTATAGTAGTAAAGCCATTTTGGGTTTTGCTTTTAAATAAACCTTTAAATTCCCTTGCTTACCACTCTCCTCTGTGGAATCCATTGTTCTAAATAATCAATGATATCATCCTCATGAGTGAATGTTTCCCCATTCTCATCCGAGATCGCTGGTGGTTTTCGGAGACCCAACTAAAAGAATAAAGAAAATAAACTTTTAATTGATCAATAAAGAGATTTTAGCTGTTTCTACGCTTTCGATATTCTCTTCTATCTTTTTGAAACATACTGTTATCGATAAAAAAACTTTTTGTACACTTTCTGTGAGCCAAGTAAAGCCAGAATCAAGTCGGAGTTTATAAACGCGCGGGTTTGGCACACTAAAAAAGAATTCGACCGAGGAAAGACCAATTTTGTTTGGTTTTTTGCCAATAAAGCTACTCGATATTTTGATTGATAATATTTTGATTAATAAATGTTATTATACAGAGTGGCTGAAAATTACGTGCGCGCAGCATCTGATATACCGTAAATACTGTAATAGTACCCCACCCCCGTCGTACAGTCGCGTAGTCGCAAAAGTTTTTTAGTACTTCATTTTTTTCAAAGCGCCCGTACTCTCAAAAAGTGCATCTTTGGTATCAAAAAATAGCTCTGAATTTCAGCTATTTTTTGATACCTAAGCGCGCATTGTAGCATAAACCAGTGTCGAGAAAAACGCGTTCAAAGCTAGACTACGCAACACTCCGCACCGTCATTATGGGGGTGAGGCACTATTACAGTATTTACGGCAGTTTAAAAAAAATCTATAAAGCATTACTATTCATCTTTTTGTGTTTGCGTTTTAATATATTTCGATTTGATTCTCGAGAAAGCTCTGGTTGACTACAGGTTGACTATATGATTGACTATATGATTGACTATATGATTGACTATATGATTGACTATATGACTACAGTACTACAATGCAGACTATTACAGACAATAGTATATAATAGATAGAGAAATATAGTCACTGTAGACTATAGAACTTTAGCACAGTATTCTGTTCCACGGAACAGAATACTGTGCTAAAGTTGAAACCAGGAAGAGAAACCATCCCAATTTAACCCTTCAACAAGATTTGACCCAAAACAACAATTCGCTTTCTCAAAACCAAAATTGGTTCTTTTTTGACCATGAATCAATGGCTTGCAAATAGATCTCAATGGATCTCAATCCGTTGCACTTTTCGGCTTTGGCTTTTATCAAAGAACAATTAAGAAATAGAAAAATCAACAATTTGAATGATTTGCGTCGAGAATTGATCAAAATCTGAAACGATTTAGATGCTAATTATCTCCGCCGCACCGTTGATTCTGTAAAGAAGCTAATTAAAGCCTTTATTGAATTAAAGCCTTTGTTGAATTAAAGCCTTTGTTGAATTAAAGCCTTTGTTAAATTAAAGCCTTTATTGAATTAAAGCCTTTGTTGACTTGAAGTCAAAGCGGATGGAGGCCACTTCGAAAATTTCTTGTAATTATTAAATGTTTTTGTTGCAACTATTCAATAGATAAATACTTTTACATGTTCTTTGAAAGAAAATGAAATTATTGCGTTTTCTTTGGCGCATCTAAGCATCTAAGCATTTTCAGTCATCCTGTATAACTATTAAGCTCATCAAAAAATCCTAAAATCCAATTGAAAAGAGTTTTTTTAACTAGACAAAATCTAGACAAAATGATTTTGAAACATTCCTCACCGAGTTGACTGTACCAGGACCGGGTTTTCATTTTTGGAAAGTTTAAATGGAGATGTTTGAATCATTTTTATGAGTTTTTCTAGTTTTGTTCCTGTTTCAGTTAACAAAAGATCAATTTTGAAGATAGAGCTGCATGAATAGATGATGTGAGAGTGGATCAAACCATATTTATGGTTTGTTTTGTGTAAATGAACTCACCTCTCGAAACTCTGGCGGCGGTTTCGACTCGTTCACCGTGCGCACCTCGAATTTCAGAGCCTCGTTCTGCTCTCCCTAAAATTGTTTAAAGTTGAACAAAGAATATGAATATTAAAGGTTATTAAAGTCAACAAAGAATAGCACTGCAAGATCTCTTCCCATCACAAACCTTTAACAAAAGCAGCATGAATAGATGATGTGAGAGCGGATCTCCGCCCAATCTCGTCCCATCACTTCCCGCTCTCAACCAAAGAATCATCCCCATTTCCCTTTCATGAATCGCTCACATTCGCTTGATCTTTTCAAAACAATCGTTACTTTTTGTGAATTCTGATTTTTGTGAATCCTGAAATCATATTTGAAACTTGAAAACGCTAAAATAAGAAAACAATTTGCATTTTGGAATTAACAGTCGGTACTAGTCGAAAATTCGGTACTTTCTGGGGAAGTACCGAATTTTCCTCCACAGTTATACCCCCACACCATCGTTCCCCTTATTCCCCCCACCCCATCATTCCCCTTATACCCCCACCCCATCATTCCCCTTATACCCCCACCCCATCATTCCCCTTATACCCCCACACCATCATTCCCCTTATACCCCCACACCATCATTCCCCTTATACCCCCACCCCATCATTCCCCTTATACCCCCACCCCATCATTCCCCATTCCCCTTATACCCCCCACACCATCATTCCCCTTATACCCCCACCCCATCATTCCCCTTATACCCCCACACCATCATTCCCCTTATACCCCACATTTAAAAAATTAACAATTAACAAAAAACAACAAAATTTAGTTTGCATCAATCCCATTATACCCCCACAAATGGCAGGTTTTAAAAAAGCTTTTCTAACTACCATCGATAATTCATATCCTCTGTGGTGGGTAAAGAAAACATTAAGCCCGGCGGCGGTAGAAAATGAGAATAGAAAAATATTTCTTTCTTCTTTGGGAAAAACAGCATTCGGATAAATGCAAATTGGCATGTCAATTTTTTTTAAATGTGGGGGTATAACGAGAATGATGCTGTGGGGTATAACGGGGTTGATGCTGTGCGGGTATAATGGGAGAGTACGAAAAAATGAAACACTAGCTTTTGAATTAGAATTAGATTCTTAATTTTTTTTTAATTGTGGGGTATAACGGGAATGATGCTGTGAGAGTATAATGGGAGAGTACCGAAAGTAAATGAAGAATAAGTAAATGAAGTAAATGAAGTAAATGTAAAAGTAAATGAAGAATATTTTTCAAAAAAGTAACAAAATATTAAAATCTGTAATTTAGAATATAAAAGGAGTCCTTCTTTGAGACAAAAGAGAGAGGAGAAAAAGAAAACTCATGTAAATTGAGAAATGGAGCCAATTTTGGCGGAAAAGAATAAAATATTCTTTTTTTTTTGAGGGAATATGAGACCCCTTTAGACAAACAATGTGATCACCTTCGATAAAAAAAAAACCCCCAAAAAAATATATGGGAATTTTTATAGCCAACGCATTCGCTTTTTTTATTCGCTTTTTTTTTGTGTTTGTGTTGATAGTGGAATTCTCACGCTTGTTAATAAATTAGAAGCTAGAAAGACAAAGACAACGAGGTCGCTTTAATGGAATGGTGTACTTTGTGCCAAAAGATCAATCAATCTTTTTCGTTTTTCTACTAAAACAGCTACTAAACAGCTTGTCCTTATTGTCAATAAAAAAAAATTTTTCCCCATAAAACTCGATCAATCTTTTGAATGCTAAAAAAGTGATCTAATCCGGAAATAAAAGAGGATTTGAACAATTTGAATATTTCATGTCAAAGTAGGGGGCAAGTTTCCAATAGGACAATAAGGACAATACTAAACAAAAAGCTAAACTAGAAGAATAATGTTATGAAGAATAATAATCGTTAACATAACCGTATAAAACTTAAAGCTTTATTCTGTTAATTTAAGAATTAAATTTTGTATATGAAGAAGGAAAAGGTGAAGAATGAAGCCAAAAATTTTATCACCATCGAGACAAATATGGATTTAAAAGAGGAAAAGAAAAGAAAGAAAGAAAGAAAGAAAGAAAGGAAGAAAGAAAAGAAAGGAAGAAAGAAAGAAAGAAAAGAAGAAAGAAAGAAAAGAAAGGAAGGAAGAAAGAAAGGCAATTAATAGGGCCCAGTGAGGGAAAAAGGAGGGGAAAAGCTTTGAGTTTTCATTAAAAAAAGATCCAAAAAAGAGGCCGCGTTGCGATAGATCCCTATTCCCCTTGTGGGACTCCACCCCAAAAAAAAAAACCCCCACAACAAAAAGCAGACAGCTGTTTCGTTTTTCTTTTTCCCCGAAAAATAAGCATCCTCAATTTTGAAACTAAACTTTCAACTCAACTTTTTCAGAAGTGTTGCGAAATCGACAAGCTTCTTCTTCTTCAGCTTCTTCTTCAACTTCTTCTTCAACTTCTTCTTCTTCAGCTTCTTCTTCTTCTTCTTCTTCAGCTTCTTCTTCTTCTTCTTCAGCTTCTTCTTCAGCTTCTTCTTCTTCAGCTTCTTCTTCTTCTTCTTCTTCTTCAGCTTCTTCTTCTTCTTCTTCAGCTTCTCATTTGAGTGCTTTTATATGACATAATTTTATTTAGCTGAAATAAATATGAACTTGATTAACAGACTTTATTAGGCTACGGTTCTAAAATGAATCTACAAATTCTAAAAAATCTACAAATTCTCCAAAATCTACAAATTCTACAAAATCTACAAAACAGATTCTGACAGAGCATAAAAATTTACATATTCCCTCTAATTTTTAGGATTTTTGTTCAAGGCATTATCGAGAAAAAGCGTTTGATGGGGATGGGTCAATTTGTCGTCAATCCTAGTTTGTGTGCATTTAATTTCTTTATACAACTGAAGTTTAGTTCTTTTTTCTTTTGTTACATTCGATGATTGCTGTACGAGCTTTCACTAATGAAGTTGCTATTCGCATCATCGGATGGAGCACGGAAACGGGTTTCTAAAGATGTAAAATGTTAAGTGAAAAATGAATATTAATCTATTTGGAGATCAGGCACTCACCAGGTGGTGTAAAGGCGAGCATTGGTGGAGGGACTTGATGAAAAGCGCCATTCGACAAATAGTGAACATCTGAACAAATTGACAATTTTGTGATTAGAAGTCAATCGGTTAGATGGCACAAATTTAAGGGTTTTCTTTTGCCCTGGTGACGCCAAAGATCAAGAACTAATCAACTAATTGAAATTGGTGACACTAACGCTCAAGAAGTAATCAACTAATTGAAATTTTCAAACAAAAACAAAATCTTATGAGCATTTCAACTTCAAAACTAGACGTTATCGAACATTTGATACGCGCCCGCCTTTTGCCATTAGGAATCCAACTTTAAACTCAAATATCTTGGTGTTGGGCTGTTCAATGGAAATATTCTTGGTATCATTGAAAGCACCATGTCTTTCTCTATCGATTTGTACAAAGAAAATTATAATTAAATACCCTAATACGAAGAAATTTGAGTTTAAAGTTGGATTGCGAATGGTAAAGAGGCCCAAATGTCCCACAATCTTTTCTTAAGTTTTATCCAGTTCTTAGAGCTTTAAAGTCATGTATTATCCAGTTAATGAATCTTTCATTGAAAAAAAAAACAATCAATTGGTTTACCAGTTGAGTGGTTCGATTGTTGTTGATAATCGGATTCTGACGAAAAGTTGGGTGGTGGGAGGCTGTCGTTTCGATCAAATGGTGGACGAGGATCTGAGGAGACGCGTCGAGTCTCTTTAAAAGGTGATAAAATTGATATTCTGAGCTCTTTTGTTAGCTTTGATCATTTACCATTTTGCACGTACAAGGGTGCATCTGCTTTCGGCGGAGATTCGCTCATAATTTCTGAAAGCGGAGCTGCTGGGGCACCGAGGGGATGATTGGGAGGAGCCTGGAAGGAATGGTGTAATTTATTTGTCTGTAAAATGAGGAACAGCTTTTAACCACCATTACTATTAGCCAAAATATCAAACCCTTAAATCTTTTCAACTTTGTAAAACCTACCGCATTTCCGGTAGGACTGAAATTTCCTTCTTTTGCGTCGCTCAACAGCTTCTCGTTTTTATAAGGCATTTTGTCTAAAAAGCAGAGGTTACTATGATTTTTGCGGTTATTCATGGTGTCAAAATATATAAACTGTGCTTATCCAATCATGCCTCGAAACTACGATAGTTTACCGGAGCTCGAAATGATTTTCTTTCTCGAGTTCCCCCCAAATAATCTGCTTTCTAAAGCTACTGTAATCTTGCTTCCAGTCAACCAATCTATCTACTTTTGTATTCTTTGTGGAGCAGATCGTAGATTAGACAAAACTAGAGAAGGATTACGATAACTTTCGAAAGTTGATACGTCTTAGAAAACCTGAAATACTCACTTCTCGAGTGATGAGCCTCAATCGGACGAGTTCTCGAGTTGGGCGATGCAAATGGAGCGACCGGATTTGATGCTGGACCGTCAAACTGAATAGCTGGTTGGTTGTACGACTGTAGCTTTTCAAAGTGCTATAGAGATACGGTAGCTTTTGAATTTTAAAAAGCTATAAACACTGACATCGATGAACTCGGGTACACTCGGTTGGGTGAGATCGGTGTCAATTTGTGAGGCGCTCCACTGATAGCCGCTAACGCCAACGCTTGGAGCTTCGTGAAGGGCTGAAAAATGAATTTAGAGGTCGAGCATGGTTTTTTCGCCGTGGCACAGTCGGAAGCGCGCTTGTCTACAGCCCACACGGCCCGGGTTCGACTCCCGGCTGTGGCATGACTTTTACTTTTTAGAAAAACGAAATATGAGATGCACAACTACATAGAATTCTAAGCCTAAAAAACAAAAAAAATCATATAAAACGGCCCACGGGGCGCCGAGAACTCGCGCGTATAGACAAACGGACGGACGGACGGACAGACAGACAGACAGACACTATAAATAGTGAATATGTAGCTGCATTTCTTCAAACTACGGTAGATGTGATAATTTCTAACCTGCTCACGCCACCTTATATAAAATTTCAAAACATACCACTTTTCTCCTGCATTTCGATGTTGATTTTTTCCAGTGTCATGCTGAAAAGATTTTTCCATCAATGCCATTGATAAACACTAAACTTTTAGGGCAAAACAAACTTGAAATTTTTGATGAAAATCGTTCCAAGCACCCCCGAGAACAGAAACACGGCCGCACACACGCAAATGCAATCGATCACGCGTTCTTCTATATGGTAAAGGTAGCGAATTGTTTCCAATTGAAAATACTTTACTTTTGATGACTTCTACAAGAACGAGCATGAGTAGAATCAAGATTTCGAAGGCCATTGAAATTCCCTAAAAACTTAGTTTTTAATTTTAAAATTCAACTTTTACCGTACCTTCCAAACGTAAAGCTTTTTAGTCATTCCTCTCTGAAGTAACGTCTCGAAGAAACTCGGCGCACACAAGTGAAGACCCAACGTTGTCCCCGCCCAGGCCAAAAGGTCACACACCACTGAACTTATTGTTAGTTTTTGGTCAAACTTGGTAATATAGTGGCATGTTTTTGTTAGGCCTTTTAAAGTTCATACCAAAGGCCATGATGGCAATTGTGTAGATCGAGGTAGGCACCCGCATTGTGGCTGCAGCCATGATGTAGAGAATAAAAGACGAGTGAAGGCACGGGATCACATAACAGGCAAACACTTTCTCAAACTAAACCACATCAGAACTAAAACAAAAGTTGTTGGATAACCCGGAACTTGAAATCGAATTTCTCGTCATCTTCGCCTCGAATCTCGCTCGAATCGCCCTCTTGTTGAATTCGACCCGTCATTTAATACAAAAAGTTGTTTTCCAGAATGCTAACAATCAACCAAAGTTTAGCTAATAACGAATGTGTCGTCTTTTTTGAAATGCTCGGTCCGCTTATCAGCAATCAATTTAAGTGTGCCTTCTTTTCCCTGATCGGTTTGTGACAAAAAGAAAGATTATTTTAATTCGACAGAAAAATTGCATGCGGAAATTCGAAATCCTTAAATTAGATGAACACGAAAAAAAGAACATGACATGAGATACAATAGCAAATAATTTAAAATACCCATGTGATCACAATGTACGCTGACAACAGAAAATTTAAAGCGGCTTGTAATCGAGTTTCGTCTCCAACTTTTTGGCATCAGAGACCTAAAAATTTAGATAATTTGTGTAAACAAAAAGTTAAATTGACCTTTCGAACAGCTTTCATGAAATCCTCCTCAATAACGTACTCTCGTTCGGCTCGGATTGCAAATAAACCTATATCAACCATTTTAATGCAAGAAAACGCAAAGCTTACCCGCTTCCGTGCAGACATTACGTAAATCGGCACAACTGAATCCATCAGAAAGTTTCACCACAGCCTCAAAATCGATATCGCCGTGCTTGGTGATTGGGTTGGCATGAATTTTCAAAACCTAAAAGAGTAAAAAAATCAGTATAGCAAATGAACGTACCTCAAGGCGGGCCTGTTCGTTGGGCAAGCCAATTTCAATTTTTCTATCCAATCGCCCTGGTCGCAAAAGGGCTGGATCTAGTGTGTCGGGGCGATTTGTGGCCATAATCACCTAAAGCTTTGTGATAAAAAACACTATGTATTGATAATTACGCCGTTTTAATCTCTCGCCAATCCAAAGAAACCTCACCTTAACACTTCCCAGCGAATCAAAGCCATCCAATTGATTGAGTAGCTCCATCAATGTTCGTTGAATCTCACGATCAGCCGAGGTTCCTTCCGAAAAACGACGACCACCTATTTTAATTTCATAAAAACACATATCAAACAAGTTACCAATTGCATCAATCTCATCCATGAAAACGATACACGGCTGATGATCTCGAGCATAGTTGAACATCTCGCGAATCATGCGAGCTGACTCTCCAATGTATTTGTCCACAATTGCTGACGAGACAACTTTGAGAAAATTGCAATCAAGTTGTGAAGCAACGGCTCTAAAACAAGATAGAATTTGTTAAATGCAATGATTCTCACCGTGCAAGTAAAGTTTTTCCAGTTCCAGGCGGTCCATATAAAAGACACCCTTTCGGCGGTGTGATACCGACACGACGGAAGAGTTCAGGGTTAAGCAGAGGCAACTCCACCACTTCTCGAAGCTCTCGAATTTGCTCAGACAACCCTCCGACGTCTCCATAAGTGATGTTTCCGGGATCTTCGTGCGACATTTTGTAAACAAGAGGGTCGACTTCTCGGGGAAGTTGGCGCATGATTGTAAGAGTTGTCATATCAAGAGCGACACGAGTTCCTAAAAAATACATCATTGATAGTTATTTATTTTTCATCATTTGCATGTACAAAGTTACTTTATAAATTAAAAAATTTTAGCACATAAAAATCTTTCTGTACGCAAATACCTTGTTTGAGCGCTGCTTTATTGATTGATCGACGACATCCAACAACATATCGAGGTCCATTAGTGGCCTAAAAGCAAACAGATTTTTGTCAGCACTTTAAATTCCACCAACCTTTACAATAAATTTCTCCTCCGTCAGCTGTTTAAGTACTTCGCCAACAATCTGCCCAACAGATTGCAGAGATTTGATGTCGTTCTCCGATTTGTCGTGCTGCTTCTGCATTTCTTGTTCCTAAAGCAAAAACTATGAATGAGTTCGACTTAGATCGTTACTTTTTTCCTCAACTCCTTCAGACGTTGTTCGATATCACGGTGGTCGTTCAGTTTCTTCTTGTAGGCAGCGAGTGCTCGCTCCTTTTCATCTTGAACCGTCACAGGCGCTGGAGCTGTCGATTCGACCATCCTAAATCATTAAAAATTTAACAAAATTTGAAGCCGCAATGGAAAGAAAAGTTGGAGTGAAATGAAAAAATATTTTTTAAGCTCATAAAATTATAAAATCGACAATCGGTTGATCGAATATCTTTAACGCAAAGATGTGGCTATATTAAGTGCAATTGCTGCAAAAATTCATTCTCTGGCAATTAAGCCCAGCACTTTAGAGTTTAAACAACCGCACAATGTTAATAGTCTAAAAACTTCTAAAATCTTCAACAAATAAGCAATATGTTGCGTTAGCCCCCTTGCAAAAATCATCTTACAGTGCCCGGCTTTTCCCCTCAAGACCCGACGCTATTTGTCCCCCACGAATGATCGGCGGAAACACTCTCTGTTGCTGTGTCTGAGATATAGATCCCTTTTAAAAAAATATTGTGGCTTTGAATCGATGAGAAAGAACACTTTTGTGCAAGAGAAGCAAAAGCAAACCCCGCAAATCTTTCCGGGAATCTCGAATTTTATGATTTTCGTCTTATTCTTTTTGCCTCATTTTTTCCTTTCCACATGACTAATTTGTTTGTTTAGGCATTGAAGCGCCACCGAGAGCCTGAAAATATTCCTGGTTACTGGAAAAACAAATGGCAACACCGCCCTCTGTGAGTTTTATTCAGTTTCCTTTGGTATATTGAGTACCCGAGGTCACTCCTGTCTGAGATTCTTATCAAACTTTTGTAACATTTTGTTTACGTCTAGTCTAAAGTGCTGAAGATTTACTTGGCATCTTTCAAAATTTGTCTAGAGACTTTGAATGGTAAGATCTGGAAGGTTTTTGGTTTAAAATTAGCAAAGTAGTGCTCAAAACGATCGCATTTTCTGAATTTCGTTGTTTTGTTAATGATTTTTATTGTTTAGGAGAAAGAACAACTTCCTCAACTTTCTCCTGTGCCTCCGGAACGCTCCGTTACGCCGGTTCCACCAGCTAGAAACCGGAAGCGAAAGGTTAGAGAAAATTTCAAATCTTAAAACTAAGTTTTTGGTCCAGGTTGTGCCACTGCGTTGTTCAGAAGTTCGATGGTTCTACCGAAAAAAAGCTGCCGATCAAAAATGGATTCCGCTGAAAGGTGTGCTCTTCATCAATTTCTCATTTTTATTGTCTCTTTAGGAACCGATTCGTTGCGCTTGGAGCTCCGATTTCGTGAACTCAGTGGCGCTGAGGTAAAAATTTTTGTAGAATCTTTAATGTGTTTCCCCTTCTTCCACTAAAACGTCTTCAACTGTTTCATTTGTAGGTGGACGCTCAGACACAATCAAAAATGATTGAAGAAGGTATCAAGGAGACGAATAATGCTGTAATTTTGGATGGACTTTACATGTAAGTTTTAAGAATCTACACTTTTAAATTCGTAGAATTTATTTATTTCGGCTTTAGTGCAAGTGAAGATTTGACGACTGTTTCTGCCCTTTATTGGAAAGACGATACAGCTGAATTGCGAAGAGGTAAAATAGACTTTTTGTGGATAAAGTGTCTTTTTTTTCTAGGAACCTGGTTCTTGCCGGACTGGCAGCCATTGCGACCGGAAATGGCGGATGCTATTGAAGCGCACCATTTGAAATGTTTCGAAAATCAAACGATTCCGGAAACTCTTTCAATGTTTTCTGAGAAGGAAGCTATCAAAAAGCCTCGTAAGTCGAATTCTGGAGGAAAATATTTTGAAACAACGTAGAACTGACGGAGTTGGCGCATGATAACTATGAGGTCAAATGGAGCTCAGTGATTGACATCTTCTTATACAACACAAACAAAACGAGTCGCTTTTTAAGGTTTATTTTTGTTTCCAGCGCCATAATTCATATTGTTTAGGTACATTTCCTGGGGAAAGCCCACTTCACTTCGACGAGGATTTGACAAAGAGAGCGAGTGGAGTGATGAAGCACCGCCTGTCTCACATTTGGTACTTGTTGTGCATGGAATTGGCCAAAAAGGATATGAGAATCTCATTGCCGAAAATACAGCACAGTAAGTCTTGATGCATAATCATCAAATTTCCTAGACACGTAAAATTGTAGGGTTCGAGACGCTGTTTATGCTCAGATGGAGAGATATTATCCGGATGAAAAATCACGACCGATGTTTTTGCCGATTGGTGTGTTCATGATTTGTTTGTTTCAACTTCAGTCTTTTAGAATGGAGGTCAATGTTGGAGCTTGATAAAGGAGTTACCGATACGATTACGTTGCCCAAAATGTCGTCGATGAGGGAAGCGCTCAACAGCACGGCTATGGATATCATGTACTATCAAAGTCCGTTATACCGAAAAGAGGTAGCATTGATTTTTACAATTAAAAAGCGAACAATGACCTCTAGATTATTGATGGTGTCGCTCGACAAATGAATAATGTTTACAAGCTGTTTATGGACAACAACCCATCATTCTCCGGACCGATCTCTATTTTCGCTCATTCGCTGGGGAGTGTCATTACGTATGACATTCTAACGGCCTGGAATCCAATTTTGCTTTACGATCAGTATGTCACTGAAGCCATTGTGGGTAATTATCAAGTCAATGAGTCCTTTTGATATTCAGGATGAGCATATGGGTCAAGCCGAAGATGAAAGTTCACGAAAAACTATACAAGAATATCTGGTAATGTTTAAAAATAGTCATTATCAATTTAACTTTTAGGCTGCACGGAAAAATCTATACAAGAGCATTGAAGGTGGAATGCAAACATTATTGGTTTCGAAAAACGAGCAGCTCAACTTTAAGGTTTATTTCAAAATCATTTTTAAATTTAACAGACGTTAGGTGAAAAATCTTTTCGCCGTTGGATCGCCGCTTGCAGTGTTCTTGGTGATGCGCGGAGCTGAACAAAAAACGGTTCTACCTGATAAAAATGTGGTGCGTGATTTCGTTAAAAGCCGTGGTTATTATCATTTTATAAGAGATTTATTCTTTATTTTCAGGTTGGGAGAATTTACAATCTCTTCCATCCATATGATCCGGTTGCCTATCGCCTCGAACCTTTGTTTGCTCAAGAATACCGGTAAGTAGCTTTTAAATACCTGTTTCATAAATGGAACGTAGATGGATTCGGCCGGTGAAACTATTTTCGGCTAGCGACCTGCGTGGAAAGGACCCATACGATGATTTGCCTATGGAGCTGCACAAACAATACATCAAAAAGCTCAAAGCTGGAAACAAAGCGAAAAAAGGCGACAACAAAGTTTAATTTTTCGAAAGAACTATAATATCAAATTTAATTAGAATGGTGACGCTAAATCGGAAGAAATTGAGGACGAAGATGATTCGGAAGAAGATGCTCGCTCAGCCTGTAACTACGTTTGATTGATATCTTAACTTTGCCTTCTTTTAGGTTCTTCCCCAAGATCTCTGACACCTCCAGTAGGAGGTGAAGAAGAAAAGCCAGCCAAAAAGTGAGCCACTTTCAAATTTTCTTTCTAATATCAATTTTTTAGGGGATGGTTTTGGACTTCCAACAATAGCACCAGTCAGGGTAGCACGAAATCGAAAGCATCCGTTAAAGAGAAAGAAAAAAACGAAGTCGAAGTAGCAAAAGAAGCAGCCGAGGTTCTATTCCTTTTCGTTATTACAGCGAGTTTGATTTAGATGCCAATTGAGAAGATGACTGAGCTGGACAAGCTGTTGGAGAAAGTTGGGCAGGAAATGCGACCACCAATGCGAATCGATTTCAATGTTCAGCCATCTTTGACTGACAAAGGTTATTGGTGAGTCATTTTAAGGTAAGCCATGCCTATTCGAAATTTTAGGTCTGTCTTGAAAAGCCACTTTGCATATTGGACCAACACTGACATTGCTCTCTTCTTGGTGAATGTACTTTATGACTCTGGACGGGTTTGTCTTTTGCTAATTACATATTTTTTTGTTGGACATTTCAATAAAATTATAAGTTCAAAAAGTTTCAACTTGAAAATTCATGAGAACTCGAGACTTTAGGTGATGTCAGCGCCAAAAGATCGATCGTCTACAGTGTTCAACGCCGCAAATGAGAAAGACGTAAAAGTCTCAAATGCACCGGTTTCGGCGCAAATCTAACTTTTTTATAGCTTTTAGAATCATCATAGAAAATTCTTAGCACGGTTTTTGACATTTATTTGCTTTATTTTGTACACATCTGGTCTTTATTTTCACTATTCTAATCATATCGCCTTTGAATACAGTGCTCGTCATTTCCTTAGTGTGTTATTGCATTTCTCCTTTTAGCCAGCACAACCAAATTGTGTGATTAAATTATTAGTGCCTCATTCCACGCGTTTTAGCCAAAGGCAGACGAAAATTCCCCTTGAACAGATATTTTTGCCTTGAGTCTGTACTCATTTGGAAAAAAGCACGTTGTTTTTCATTTTGGGTGCCAAATTCTTTCGGGTACAGCCTCGTATTGTAGATTTCTTATTGTGTGCCTCCTCGGTGTAACAATTTCTATTACTGGTTCTACACATCTTGAAATTTTCTCTAATCCTCTAAACTTTGTATGTATTTAAAACGAGCACGTAACGTTTTTATTCTTTTATAAATCTATGACTTGGTATTTTGATGGTTTTAGTATGACTGTGATTCTGGGAATAAATTATGAAAATTGAGTAGCTTTTATTCAAAAAGACTGAAAGGCAAGAATATTGAGAGTCAATGAGCAATCGAGGTATTGGAGGAGGAGTTTTGATGGAGATGGGTCAAACATCTGACATGATTGTACCGCTGTTGTGGTGTGATGCCCTGAAACTCGCGATGGGATTGAATGGTTCGAATTTTGCTTTAGAGTCAGCTTACGAGAACTAATTTTGTGTAGCAATTGCCACGTATTGTAGAGGATCGTTTTTCCCTTTAAACCTGTTGAGATCGATGGCGTCTATCCTTGAGATTTCACTGCTTCGTGTCGAATTCGGCCCTCCATAAGCACCCTCTCTCGCGAAATAGGCTGCATTATTGTAACTAAAAGAATTTATTGTTTTGTTAAGTGGAAAACTGAAAGCACATGCACCCGGCCAGCAATGAAAAGCGTTAGTTTAGCAGTCATGAAGCGGATTTGAGAAAAGCACGGTTAATCTCAGACTGGGTATACCTAATACTGTGATCTATGCCCGGTGAGGGGGGCGGTGGTCGCATACATTCTGTGACAGCACTGGAAAAGAAACGAGAGTTTACTGTACTCGTAGGTTTTACTGTAGTTTGCTTCATTACCGTACCTTCTTCACAACTGAATCAACCCCCGTTGATAGTTTGATCAATTTTGATAGTTTGATAGAAATCAACTGAATCAACCTTCCTTTTAATCCATCACCAAATAAAAGAAATCATAATTTTTGATGCTTCCTTGAAATTTTGTGTTACTCCATCATCAATCCCTTCTCTTTTCTCGAATCGAATAAATAAACTCACTTTGTCGCTCCGAAAGTCGTCGTTTTAGTCTTGGCAAAGTCTTGCTGACTTTGATAAGTGCTTTGTCTGTAATGTTGCTTTTTCACGTAAAGTCTAAAAATTTTGTAAATTGGGCTTTTGCAAATTTCTAGTAATACCTCTTTTTTTCGGTTAAATTTGTTGGTCGGAAACGCTCGACGAATTGGGCGACAAACTCGGAAAGTGGGGTACGTTTAGAGATGAGAATGACGAAAAGAATGACAGGGATTAGACGGAGAACGCCCAATGAAATCAATAACCACATTGGGATGAACGAGGATTCGATATCGGGATCGCATGTGTTCTGTAAAATGGTGTTAAAGCGTGTATTGTAGCATAAAATATGTCTAGAAATCGTCACAACTTTTCTCACCAGTGGATTTTGTCTCCTCCGTTGAATCTTGTAAATGTCGAGGTCAAAAGTGCACCCAAATCGTTGTTCCATTTGTAGAAGACCTGGATTTCGATTTTTTTTAATTTTATCCAAAAGATTCAGGGGCTAAAGTAATTGGGGGGACAGTCTAGAATTTGAAAAAAAACAATACAGTCGACTCTCGATTTAAGAATTCTAAAACATGCCCCAAATCTCTTGCGTAGCTGCCCTGAACGGCCAACTGGCTGGGCAGCTACGCAGAAACCAAGGGCGTGAATTGGGAGTGGGTTTTTTGCGCACTTAGCCCATTAGCGCACCTTTTTTCGCGTTTTAAAAAAGCTCTAAAAGCTAATATTAACCAATTTCTATTCCAAAAGTTGTTTTTCTAGGTAATTTGAGGGTGTCGAATTCAAATTTTGACATAACAGAGCGTGTGGAACCAATTTGAAAGACAAAACGGCTAGATCAAATTACAGAAAATTGTCGATTTTTCTCTTTGTATAACTCCGTCCGTTCGCTTCCACAAGCTCTGATATGCCAAAATTTCGATTCTACGCCCTAAAATTACCTAGAAAAACAACTTTTGGAATAGAAATTGGTTAATATTAGCTTTTTAGAGCTTTTTAAAACGCGAAAAAAGGTTGATATTGATTGAAATATTGATTTTGGGTCAAGTTCCAGACCCCACTCTCACAACTACTCTAGCGCCAAGATTCAATCTTTACAGTCGAGTATGTCCCTTTTCTTCTAAAACGTGCTAACTTTGAAAAACTACCGTTACTAAGAGAAAAGCGCTGATTTACAATTAGCTTACCTCCTGTATTGTATGGAATAGCGTGATTGAGCAAAGTTTCGGTCTCATTCGGTAGCGAATTCGAATAGGGAATGAGGAAGAAAACGAATAGATGGATTTGGATGACAGCGTAGATCAATGTGACGGCGAGAAGAAACTGGAAATCAAAATGACATTTTCTATTTTATAGTTTTAAAGTGACGCAGAAAATGGGCAGCTACGCAGCAATTTTCTTCGTGGCAGCCCATAAAATTCGGCGAAAAAAATTCCGCAAAAATTTCTTTTGCGACTTTGTTTGTTTGAGTGGTGGTTGTAATATTCTTTTTAACTTTATTTTATACTTTTTGTTAACATTTTAAGATTAAAGTTTAGGTATTAATCATGGTCGTTAAAGGAAAGGCTGAGAAAGCGCAGAAGGCCGAGACGAAAAAGGAGGAGCCCGAGAAAAAGGTAACTTTTAAAAATTTTATGTGCAATCAAACTTTTAGGTAAAATTTTATGGCTTTATGCAATTCTTTAGGTGGCTACCGAAGAATCCGATGACTCGTCTGATGAGGAGAACGTCCCCGGCCTCGATGGCGAGGAACTGACTGAAGAGCAAAAGAAAGTCGCCGAAGCTTTGGGAGAGCCCACCGACAAAGTCGGAAAGCAAAGCCGATCCGAGAAAAAGGTGCGTTAATGGGTTTTGTTCTAGCTTTATTTTTGTTTTTTTAGGCACGCAAACTTTTCTCGAAGCTCGGACTCAAGCCTGTGCATGGTGTTTCTCGTGTGTGCATCCGCAAGTCGAAGACCATCCTCTTTGTCATCAACAAACCCGACGTGTACAAGAGCCCCGGGTCGGACACCTACATCGTTTTCGGGGAAGCGAAAATCGAGGATCTCTCGCAACACGCAGTTGGCCATGCCCTTGACCGCCTCAAACCTGAAGATGCTCCAGCGGCTCGACTTGCACCAGTTCAAGTAACAAATTTTGATAATTTGATAGAAATTAATATTTTATGGCAGTGATTTAAGGGTTTTATCGGTTGATAAGATTTTAAAGGAAACTTCTAATCTTTTAACTTGAGGAGGACGAAGATGACGGTGCTGATGAAGAAGCAGGCAACATCGAGGACAAGGATATTGAGCTGGTGATGTCACAGGCGAACGTCTCCCGTAACAAAGCTATTCGTGCCCTCAAACAGTCCGACAATGATATTGTCAATGCCATTATGAGTCTAACGATGTAAAGATTTAAGAAATTTTTTCAGTTTCAGTTGTTAGGCTGCTGCATTTTTTTACTTTTCTTGTTCTCGTTGTTTGCTTTTGATAAAATTCTACTATATCTTCACAACATAGTCTTTGAGCTTTGCATTGTCTCAATTTTGGGAAAGGTTCAGTCTTTAGGAAACTAACCCAGAAAAGGACATGGCCGGTCCCATGTGAGACGTCGACACAAAAATAGAGAACAATGCCAACCGTGATGAAAACGTAACAACCACACTCCGATAATAACATCAGTAAAGTAGCCGTTTTGTACTAAAACTATTTAGGTAGAAGCATTTTTTTTTATTCTCAAACCGTTTGTTGATCTTTCAACATCTCGTGCTCCTTTTGCGTGATTCGATATTCTCGAGTGTGAAAGTTGATCTTCGAAACACTCACTGTTTTGTCCATATAGTCGATCAACTCCTCGTACGTTTGACGATTTCGGTAGACGTAGTAAACTGGAATTCGAAAAGTATGGGTAGAACTTTGTTTTTTGGCTTTTGAAATAACCCTGATCATGATGATGAGCTAAAAACCTGTGCACATGGCTGAAATGAAAACGACGATCGCCAAACCGGCCAACAAAAACATTCCCACCGATTCGCGCCATGTTTGCGCCTGGAATTGAACTCTATTTTGGCTTTGTTTTCAAAAATTGACGGTCAAACTAGCGGTACTTACTAGTTTAAATTATTTTTTAGGAATACTTTTAGAATTCTATCGAGTATCGAGTAGATCACCAATCGGATTGACAAAAACTAACTCCCAGAAAAGTGACTTTTTGTTGATTGTTGCCGTTGAGTCGGGGCGGTGGAGGCATTGGGGTGAGCCCCATTGAAGAGGACATTCTTCTCTTTTCAATTCAAATACTCGATTACTTCTTAGATAAAAATAGAAACCTAAATTTGGATAAATTTGGATAAATTTAGGATAACTCAAGGTAAAATTAAAAGCATTGTATAGTTTCTAAACCATAAACTTTATAAGAAATTAGAAAAATTTCAAACGGATCCCCTTGGATCACCAATCGGATTTCAGGCTTATTCACGGGTGGATGAGGAAAAGAAAGAAAAAGAAAGAAAAAGAATCATTGTGAGTGAAAAGAAAACCAGTTCTTTTCAACCATCTCCTGTTTTTTTTTGAGAAAGAAATGAAAAAGACAGCCCTCGAATCCTCGAAATCGAATGTTTCCGATCAATCAGGATGTTTGATTGTACTTTGTGCTCGAAAATAGAAATACACCCTCTCTGATACACTCAATTGAAATCTTTCTTAGTCTTGTGATTGTGGGTCACAAGAAAAATAAAGAATCCACTGCGCTGGGAAGGGTGTGTTGACGCTTTTGAGCACAAAGTACAACACTAATGGATATAGATTGGTTTTTCCAGCTGTCGGCTCGTACTTTGTGCTTAAAAGGTGCTTAGAAAACACTTGTTCTGGTGTACTGAATTCTACATTTCCCCTTGTGACACGAAATTGGATGAAGCGAGAAATCGAAAACTCAGTGCGCTAAGAAGGTTTGTTTACAGTTTTGAGCACAAAGTACAGCGCAAAGAGTGAAGTGAACAGGAAGAAGGAAATCTGTGAAAGTGATTGTGTTCGAAATCGAATTGTTCGATTTTAAACATTAAAATCGAATTGTTCAAGGTCAACAACTTTGACTCAATATTAGCATAAAGAAAGCAATGGAGTGGGGAAAAGAAAAGGGTGAAAATGAGGTCGAGAAGACGGAGTGCGATGTACCGAGAACCCCAAGAACCCCAAGAACTCCAAGAACCCCAAAAACCCCAAGAACCACCAACTTCTCCGGCGGCTAAATGGCTCAATGACGGAGGAAAAGATCATATGATGATTGACGTTAGATTACTGTATACTGTAACTTATTATTCTAGTATTAACTAGCATAATAAGTTTATATTATAAGTCTATTCTAAGCTATTCGTGACTGATGTAAAATTTTATAAAGCGAATCGAGTACTTAAAGTGTTGCAAAACTTTTCTTCATAAGATTTCTTGAATTAAATGTTTGTATGGAAATCAAGCCACTAGGAAGGGTTTCTTTAGTATTTAAACGTTTTAGAAAATCAACTCTTTTTCTCTAAATCTTTCGCCGTTTTCTAAAACGTGTCAACTTATTGGACCGTATTGGAACCGTGTTGGAGCCGTATTGGAACTGTATTGGAACCGTATTGGAACCGTGTTGGAACCGTATTGGAACCGTATTGGAACTGTATTGGAACCGTATTGGAACTGTATTGGAACCGTATTGGAACCATATTGGAACCGTATTGGAACCATATTGGAACCGTATTGGAACCTACGAGATCAAACCTACGAGACCTACGAGATCCGAGATCATCGTAATCTTGCTTCTAGTTTTATCAATGATTCAATTTTCAAAGGATACCAAAAGATTCAAAAAGTAGATAGATTAGATAAAAACTTAGATAACTAGAGGTAAAACTAGACGTTACGGTAGTTTTCCAGAGTTTGAAACGGTTTAGAAAAACAGAGAACCAACAGAGGTTTCTAGAAAACAGAGAAAAGAGAAATCTAGAACAAATAATCTAGATAAGCACACTCAAGTATAGAGGTTTGAAAGTGATATTTTAAAGGTTTAAAAGGTTTAAAAGGTCGAGGTTTAAAAGTGATATCTTAAAGTCAACTCCACTTTCAACTCAACCAATGCAAGTGCATTAAAAGAATAAAATGATGACATATTTGACTAAAATATCAATATCGTTTGTTGAGCGGAAGAGTTAGTGGCTAAGAGGGTACAGAAGAAGGGAAGGGAAGGGAAGGGAGGGGAGGGGAAGGAAGGGAGAGGGTGGGGAAGGGTCGGTCGAGGTCATTTAAATCCATCCCTTACCTTGTCCCTTTTCTTCCCATTCTTTTCCCCATTCCCCACCATTGATTGGTGGGTGTGCATGAAGGGAAAAACAGTCAAACCAAGTCTTTCTTTATGAGAAAAACCCTTTCTGCTTGATTTTCTTTTGTCTTTTCCTTTGCCGAATTGATGTGAACTGATGAAAATGACAAAGTAGACAAATATTTTGACGCTTTTTTGTTAATTAGATTATTGTTATAAATAGTATTTTAAAATAAATATGCTTGACTAGCAATAAGTAGTGAATAGAGAGTACTACTGATGTGCAAAATGTGCAAAATTGATGAACTGATGTGATGAACAAACTGATGTGCAAAATTGAGTGTTCTACTACTGAATGTTCTACTACTGAATGTTCTACTACAAATACCGTAAAACTTTAGTCTGTACTTGCCACTCTGCTGGGCTTAAATTCTAAACTTGTACACTTATCAAACTTTTAAATGTGAATGCTGAAAAATTTGATTAAAAATCCACTGACTAGTGGATTTTAAATCAAAGAGTTTTCTGTAAATTATTCTGTAATATTCTATTTGTCTGGATTCATCGTTAAAAACAGAATAGAGTACTGTAAAAGAAAATACTAAAACAGTCATGCAAAAGAAAATACTAAAACAATGAGCCAATATTTTATCAATCAAGTTACAAGCAAGATAAGAATTAGAATATCTTCCTCCAAAAAGAATGGAAAAGTCTTCAACTTTGGAAATACTTAATCTTTCAAACTCTAAAAAGAAGAAACAATAATAATAGCCTTTTCTCTAATAGATCGAGATTTGAATATTCAGTGGAGCGAGTCAGCGGAGTCAAACAGTCAGTCGATTATCAAATGAAAGATCTTTTAAAGGGAACACTCCATTTCATTGAGGAAAGATTGAAATAAGGAGAATCGATGCGAGAGAAATCTTTCGATCAACAGCCATATTTCTCTCCGAAAGGGAAATGGTTTAAAAGGGCTGTTTAAAAGGGCTGCTAAAAGTTGTTCATCAGATTCGAATAGTGGATCGAATTTTGAGAAGTAGTTAGAGTTTTTGTAGACTAGAATCTCTAGATCTTGAATTTTTGAAAGAAAGAAAAAATGAGGCCAATGTTTGAGCCTTACAAGACTCAGAAAGTCTGCTGGTAATTTTTGAGCCTTACAAGTCTCAGACAGACAGCTGGTATTGAAAAACGAGGCTCAATTTAGTTGTAAAGGTAAAATTGATTAAAAAAAGCGGTACTCTCTGGTAGATTTAGAACAAAATTTGCATACAAAAAGCACAAACTTTCAAGTGTTCTTAGGCTCAAAGTCATTGAGAGCTTGAAAAAAGTCATTGAGTGCCTACGAAACCTAGTTCAAACCTATTTCATCAACTGAAACCCTAGTTCATCAGCCGAAACCTAGTTCATCAGCTGGTAATGGTGAGAATCGGATTGAAAAATGGTTTAGAAGTTGAAACAAAGGTTCAATAATTGTTTCGAGATTCAATAATTGATTCTATAAGCAATCTTAAAAGGAGGTGGATTGGGGTGGGCAAAAAGGTGGATAGGTGGGTGACATTTGTTGGTGGTTTGAAAAGAGGAGGCACATGAAATGACTGCTGGGGTGGGGTTGGGTGAGAAGAAAGCAGAAAGGGGGATGCCAAGGACGATGGTCCCCGCGATTGTACAGGGAGGATGACCCCCAGCCCACCCCTAGCCCAAGTACTCTCCACCGGACCTCCCCTCCCCCCACTGCCCTTTATCGGCACCCCCATGTCCCCCTTCGCTTTCCCATTTCTTTTCTGGAAATGGTAATATAACTCTCTCCTTGTTCATCCATCTTCCAATAATGACCATCGTGTTTTTCGTTTTCGTTTCGTTTCTCTCTTACCATTCAATTCCCCTTTCCTCTCAATCCATTCCATTTCCAGGCTTCGTTTTATTTATGCTTTGAGAAAGTTTTGATCTTGATTTGAACGATAAGAAAAGATAAGAATATCTGTAATATCTCTGGGCGCTGTAATATCTCTTGAGCTTCTAACTATTGGGTAGTCTATTGGGTAGTCAATTCCCAATAAGATATGCAAAATAACAAAGATAAGACCCTTCGATCAATTTTTTTTTTCATTGATTCAAATTGTCAGAATCAGAAATGGAAAAACCAGATTCAGCTCTGGCTTCTGGTCTGGCTTGATTGCGGCGGAAAAATTTGGATTTTGAAAATCTGTTTAGAAAAATTCGAATCTGTTAGACTTATACGGAAATACAGTTACAGTCAAGATACGTTACAGTTAAAGTAATGCGTCTTTCCTCGTGAGTAATGCGTTTTCTAAAAGGTGGATACCTTGGAAAACTGCCGTAACCTTTCCTTTAGAATTTTGATTCGTTTCATTTAGCGTAAAAGCGTACAGTTACAGTCAAGATACGTGCGGGGTGGCTACTTTGCGCCAATTTTTTTGCCAAAATAAGTGCAACAAAATGAAACCAAAATCATAAAGATTCGCCTACTTAAAAGAAAGTTATGGCAAGTTGCGCAGATGACCCAGTTGCGCCAAAAAATTTGGCGCAAAGTAACCTACCCCAGATCCGTTACAGTTAGTAATAGCGTCTTTCCTCGTGAGTAATGCGTTTTCTAAAAGGTGGATACCTTGGAAAACTGCCGTAACCTTTCCTTTAGAATTTTGATTCGTTTCATTTAACGTAAAAACTCTAATAGAAGCCCATAGGCTTGTAGTTTTCAACTCTCCAAAATTGGCCAACCAAAAAAGTAGGTACGGGTCTTTTATATGAATTGAAAATTTATTTTTTTTATAAAAACCACTTTACATGATAATCCTTGGTCTAAAAAGTACGAAAAACGGATTTAAAAGTGAAATAATTTTACGAAAAAATTACGGTAATGTTATCCACTTTTTAAAAAGACAGCAACATTAGCTACAATTAAGCCAATTATCCATAGGTCGTAGCCGTTTACGAAATTCAGAATCATTCGTAAACGGCTAGCTAAAGAATCATTCGTTAACGGCTAGCTAAAGAATCATTCATTAACGGCTAGCTAATGAATCATTCGTTAACGGCTAGCGTTCGTTAACGGCTGAATTTTGTAAACGGCTACGATACATACATTCATCAAAGAACCTTCCACAGTTTTATCTTATCAGTGTTTAAACAGAGAAAGGTGGGGGTGATAAGGGGAACGGGATAAGCGGTTTTTCCCTACTTTTGCAACTGTTCTACAGTCAATCCTGTTAATAGCCATTTTCGGGCAAAAAGCAATCGTTTTCCCCATTTTTTTTCTTTTTTTTTTTGAGTGTTTGTGGTGTGTGTACGCTCAATTTCCCCCCTTTTTCAACCAACAATTCTCTTTCTACTCCCAAATCCGGTCATTACAACTCACACGGGTTGCTGCGTGTTGATCTGCCGACTCGGAAATTTTAGATCTCACCCCAAATACTTATCCAGATTCGCTTACACTTGATATCGATTCATTTTTAACATTAATCAAGTCTTTAGATCGTTTAAAATCCTTTAGAGTCTTATTGATTGATTTTTTTAAACTTTTAAAGTACGCCTTGTCATGGATATTCTAACTGGCTCCAAGTAGAGATGAAGTTGTAAACTAAATTGAGCATTTACGTTCATCATTACATTTTGAATCGTTAGATAAGCCAGTTAGAAAATAAAATATTTCAAATATTTTAGGCAAGGCTAAACCTGTGGTTGGGCAAGCCAAAAGCTCAACCAGAAATCAGACCCAGGGAGTTTTTGTGGGCTGATTGGTCTAGATAGGCAAAACCAGGCTGTCCTGGGCCCGGTTTCACCAACGGCTAAATTTAACAAAAATTAACGTTATGATTTGCTAAATTTGGCTAAATTTAGCTAAATTCCGTCAAATTTTGCTAAACAACTAATGGGATAATATTTTGCTAAATAGCTAATGGGAAACAGCTAAATAGCTAATGGGAAACAGCTAAACAGCTAATGCTAAATTTAACAAAATTTTGCCTAAATCATTTTTTTTCTCGTAGACCTATGCATGCTTTTTTGTTAAACCGAGCAAATTAAATACCTTTGCATTTCGACGGAATTTCCCACCAAATCAGTTAAACGGCTGAATATCTTTAAAAGGAGCCCTATATAAATCGATGCTCGTTATTTTTGTGCCAATTTTTTTTTTTACTTATCTAAAGTCCATTGTTGTTCTCCCCCAGCTATCCTTTATTTAGCCTTTCTCTTCCTCCGTATTGATCTAGGGCCAACTACACTCAAAAATAATTGCTCTTTCGTATTCTCGGAGATTTCTTTTGATATGTTGAAAGTTTTCCCAATTTTCTTTCTATTCCTTCAATTCACTCAGCTACTCCAAGCTGATCCCGAGGCCACAAACATGAGGTTTCTGATGCATTGAATTTACAAATTTTTAAAGTCAAACGCACTCAGGATAAAGCTTTTTTTAAAAATTTCAGTTGATGATTTAGATTTAAGCTAAGACCAAGAAATATTTGGGTCTTTTACCCAGTTATCCCCAATGCCTACCTAGGTAGTAGAATTATCATCAAGCTTTGTAGAATTATCATCAACCTGTAAGCCAGACCCTGCCTGCATAATACTAATTTCTTTTCATCTCCTTTCATATTTTAATGATTGATGTAAATAAAACAAAAATTATCAGCTAGTTTTCTTCTCAAAAATCCATACCCATACTTTTTTTCTTGTTTATCTTTTTGCTGCCTTCTTTTCTTTGCCCACTTTCCCCCAAATTGATCAAAAATGAATACACTATAGTTTTTCTGTTTTATCTAGTTTTGAATTTGTTTAGATATTTAATTTTAAATTAATTTTAGCCTCAAAATGGTCCGTGTGCTTGTTTATGGTGGACGCGGGGCGTTGGGAAACGCCATCGTCGAGCATTTTAAAGAAAAAAATTGTGTGAGTAGATTTAGAAATATAATCTAAATATAGTCTATACTAGATATTTCTTTTTTTAGACGGTGGTCAGCGTTGATTTGGCGGGAAACGATCACGCTGATGACAACATCGCTCTCGACCTCAAACAGGATTGGGCGCAACAAGAGGCGGCCGTTCTGTCGAAGTGAGTTTTTATAATATAAGCTTTAAAAAAATCTATTACCGTAAAAGCTCTAGTAGAAGAGGACCCCTATAGGAGCGTCGCGTAGTCTAAGCTTATGCCAAAAGAATTGCTCATATATCGATGCCCAGATATTTGTTTCTACGCGCATAGGTATCAAATTAAAGTAGAAAGACAGGGGGATTTTTTGAGCTATTATATATATTTTTAACATTAACCAGTACTTAGGAAAAATGATTGAAAAGTGACGAAAATTGGCTTTTTTGGCACTTTCCAATCATTTTTTTCTAAGCGCTGGTTAATACTAAAAATGTGTTATCTCTCAAAAAAATTACTCATCTTCTCTACTTTAATTTGATACTTAAGCACGCAGAAAAAAATGTCTGGGCACTGAGATATGCGCGGTTTTTTGAGTGTAAACTTAGACTACGCGATGATTCTATATTGGGCCGTTCTATTAGAGCTTTTACGGTAGACTACAGGACATTTGACTACATTATAGAAGTATTACGCAAGCTACAAAGCTTGAATGAGTATTTATATCCAAGGATGGCTCTAGGGTCTGTAAGCCAGGTCCAGGCGCGCGTTTAGACCTAGAATCGCCCTGATTTATGGCTAGCATTGACCTGTCATGATCCTAACCGGGACTATGACAGGCCTGGGCCTAACAGTCCGATCCTGACCTGGCCTGACCTGACTATGAGCTGGTCTCACCCCGCCTTGACCCTGGCCTGACCGTACCTAAACCCTGATCCGGCCCTGGCTTGCCTTGGCTAACCCTGACCCTGACCCTGGTATGATCCTGGCCCGACCTGTTCTGACCTGGTTTAGCTCTGACCCTGGGCTATGTAAGTAATGTCTCTTTTTAATACTATGCTATAGTTTAATCTATTAGCTTATGGTTAGCATGCTATTACAAATGTAAGTACACTTTCAGAATCGACGGCACTTTCGATGGGATCTTCTGTGTGGCTGGTGGATGGGCTGGCGGGAATGCGGCATCGGATGAAATGGTAAAAAGATTTTAGAAATATTGTTAAGATATCAGAATTTTATAATCAAAACTAGAAATTCTGACAAAACTCTTCTGTTTTAGGTGAAAAACGCGGATTTGATGTGGAAACAGAGTGTCTGGAGTAGCGCCATCGCTGCTAGGTTTATTTTTTTTAAATATTAGGTTGATGCAAAAGACTTTTTCATTTTTTTCGTACTTCCGTTAAAAAGTAACAAATGCACCAATTGAACAACGGTTTATTGCATTCGAAAGGCCAATTATTTTTCTGCAAAATGACATTAAAACGAGTTTAAAATGTCTTATGTCTAGATTTTTTTGAGAGCCTGAAGTCGGGTAGTCAAAAAAGGCGACGGCTCGATGATGCATTTTAGACGCTTTAGCTAAGGAAACCAATCTTGATGTTAATAAATAAAAGTTAGAGCACAAAAAGTTAGATATTTTTTCAGATTTTCAGAGAAATTGATTCAGCCAATTTCTTTATAGAGGTTTTTATAGATTTTTATGAAAAACCCGTTTTCACTCTCGAATTTGCTTGAAAGTGAACCCAAATTGACTTAAAAAGATGGGAAATTCAACAATAAACACTTTTCATTTAGAGCAAACCATAGGTTAATTGATGACTTTGTTATTTTTCAAAAGAAGTACGAAAAAATGAAAAAGACTTTTGCATCAACCTAATAGGATAATTAGATACTTAGAGATGTATTATCTAAAGATATTCTGATATCTGCGAGAGATTTATATGAGACAAATTTTAGAATTGCGGCTAAGCACCTCAAAGAGGGCGGATTCCTGCAGTTGACCGGAGCCGCTCCCGCGCTTGATGGCACTCCCGGAATGATCGGATATGGAATGGCGAAAGCTGCTGTGCAACAATTGACAAAGGTTTGGGTGAAAGATTTTTCCGTCTCCAAGATCTAGTTAGAAAGTTTGCGCTCACAAACCAGGTCAGAGTCAAACCAGAGCCAGTTTTTTTGCCTTCCCTGGCTTCTCGCTGGTCTTAGCCTGCAACAACATTTTATCGGTTAAAAACAACTCAAATAAGCTTACAGTTAGACATTACAGTACATTTGGCTACAGTAAAGCACGCCATTTTGATTACAAGTACCGTATTTTGTTCAGAGTCTCGCCGCGAGTGGTGGTGGCCTTCCAAAGAACTCATCGGTTGTCGCCTTATTGCCGGTGACTCTCGATACGCCGATGAATCGAAAGTGGATGCCGGATGCTGACTTTGGAACGTGAGTTGAGAAGAAGTAATAATCTAGCTGGCGGGATTGAACCCTTGACCTCCCGACTAAGATACAGGGCTCTTAGCCATTCGGCCATGGCAGCGTTTTGTTCATGAACTCAAAAGGTGCGCTCCGACGCAAATGTTTTCTAAAGTGTTCAACCAACTAGCTAAACAGAATTTAGAACCTTAAACGTAGTTTTAAGTAGATTGGATTTATAATTTCACGGTTTATGAATGAAAAGCCAACGATGCCCATTACAAAAAAGGCATACGCTTGAGGAGAAGCGTTAAATCCCGAAAGAACGAGAACTTTAAACCCAAAAAGGGCGAGAAGCTACAAAACAAAGTTCTCTCATGATCATTAATCCGGTTTCTTTCTGTGGTACAACAAGTCAAACTTGCATCTTAAAGTTAACCAGGACAATTTGAGTCCTTTAGAGTCTTCACCCAATTACTTAACTTTCTCGTATGCCCAAAAAAGACACTGGGATTACGGTAAACCTTTGCCTGGGAGCGACTTTTAGAAAACGTTATACTTTGGAGAAACAGCTTAAAATACAATTTTTACAGTAGTAATTTAAATGCAGTACGGTAAACAGTGTTTTTACTTAATTTCCATCAATTCCAGTTGGACTCCACTCTCGTGGATCGCCGAGCATTTGTACGATTGGACAACGAGTGAAACGAATCGGCCAGCCAGTGGAACCCTTTTGAAGATCACAACAAGCGGTGGAGTGACAAACACCGAGAATCACTGATTTGAAACTATTGATATCGTATATACTCTAATAGAACGCCATAATGACGGGCGTACAGTCGCGTAGTCTAACTTTAAAAGTCCCGTTCACCGGGTTCATCGTCCCGTTTATGCTAGAGTGTGTGCTTGAGTGTCAAATGATAGCGCTTGATATTTAGTATTTTTTGGTACCAAAAGTGTAGGTAGCTAGGGAAAATCTAGGGGCTGAGAAAAAATTATTTTCTAAAAAGGTAGACTATGCGACTGTACGAGAAGATGGCGTTCTATTAGAGTATTTACGGTAAGCATCAGAAGTAGTAGAAGTAGAGAAGTAGGCCATCCATATAGAATCGGCTATGCTTGAATTTGTTTTCATTTTTGCTCAAACAAAATTCTAGGTCTTAGAATGAGTATAACCGATTCGATAACTGGTTACCTTTTAAGTAAAAAAAACCACCTTGACCTGATCGCTTTTCATCGTTTGATTCCACTTTTTTTTTTTCCAATATTTTCCTCTTATCTTTTACATGGTCGTTCCCCGTTTTTTTTAAAATTCTTATCATGGCGTAGGTTTTCCCTTCTTTCCCTTTTTCTAATTTTTTTCTTGAGCTCTTCCTTGAGCCCTTGTTCACTTGAGATTTATTTCCCTCAAATCAACCAGACTCGAAATTTTATGTATTTTTAAAACTAACTTGAAAATAAACGATTTCCTACAAAAGCTGAACAAATACACGCATTTCCAACTTTCAAAAAGAAAATTTTAATCTAAACTCTTGTTGTTGTTGTTTTTTTTGTTATTTCTGCTTTTTGCACTATGGAGTTTAGTGATTGGACAAAAATTCGATTTTTCCTTTCGAAAAAGAGTTTTACGTTTTTTGGTCGAGGATGGGAGATCGATCGAGCCATCACGGGAATTTACTTTGGTCAGCCATTGGTCAGTTCTCATATTTGATTCGTTTTCAAAGCTGGAACCCCTTCACTTTACCCTTTTTCAATAGATTGCCCTTCTTCTGAAATCTAACATTGAATTCAAACAGAATAAACCTCGATGTTCTTTGTGCTCGACCGTGGCAAACGCATCCTTGCTGGCGCACTCAGCTTTGAATCGGTGCTCAAATTGTAAAAACACCCCTTCTCGCGTTACTCAAAGCATATTTTTGTGAAAAATGAAGTGTGCTAGAAAGGGTGCGTTTAGATGTTGAACACACCATTCGGTTCCCATTTGATTCTCATTTCATTTCGGTTCCTTTTCGGTTCCCATTAGGATGGCTAAGCGAATTGTTCATCGATTTTGATTACGAAAAACTTTATTCACGATTCCAGTAATCGGTTCAATTATCGTTCTCTACTCGACAACGGAAAACGGCCTCACAAAGCACGTCGATGTGAGCGTTTTGGGGAAAACTGAAGATGGACGACCATGGATCTACCGGAAAGTGAGTTGAGGAATCGAAATTTGCAGTGACTGGTGATGAATTTGCAAAAAATCTTTTTTCTGCATATTCTACCGTAGACGAGTATTGGCGCATTCTAAAACGCGCCCTTTTCGCGGTATAAAATAAAGACCTTGAGAAAAAAAATTTATTTTTCATTCTTTTTCAAAAATTTTCACAAAATCGTTCGTTATTCTGTACATTTTTATTTCAGCCAGGCCGCCAACATGACTACAGTGTGTATGAAATGTGCTCAACGAATGATCGATTCGAAATCGTCAAAAATGGATTCTGCAGGGATCAAGTGGCGCTCGTGCGCTTCAAGAATAGCGTCAATTTGACGGGGTGAGTTTAAGGATTTGAGTGCGCTAGAGATTTTACTTTTGCTAGAGCTCACGGCATCTATCTATCGCTTTTAGTTGGAGCTTCTTGGAGATCGAGACAAATGATGGCCATTCACCATTGGAACAAGCTTACGCAGCCGGCTATTTGGAGGGTATGTGGCTTTCACTTAAATAAAGTGTTTGCTAAGGTTTTGATGGTGTGCTAAAGCTTGATTTATAACTTTAACTCGATTTCCAGGAGCTCTCACCCGAAAACTCATTCAACACCAGCTCCACAACGTGGTCGCAAACTATTGCACCGGCAAAGAGGCGTATTGCGATAAATTGAAGGTAAAAGCGGGAAAGCCGACAAATAATCGAATGATTTCTAGAATTTCATCAAAGAGAACCACATCTGGACGAAGAAATTCCTCAATCGAGCTCCCACCAAGGACCCCTACTATTCAGCGGTTAGGTTCTCGTCTGAGAAAAGTTTTCCAATGAAATCGAAAGCTATACTTGAACAAAAGTTGAACCTGTTATTTTTTCATTCTACTTTAGATACATCGAACCTATTACCAATTGCAAGGACTCATTGATGCTTATGAGAAGCGACCCGCTCAGGCGAGAGCCACCTTTGAATATCATCCAATTGTGTGAGTTTTATACAAAAGTGCGTTTTCGAAAATAGGTGTCTTTTAGAAAGCGTATCAGCTGGCTCAAGGTTGAAGAGCTTTTTGAAGAGCCAAATTTTCGAATCTAAAAGCTATTCAATTTTTGGCGTACAAAACTCATTACGGCTTATTGTAGTGATCCAATAGAGCATAGCATCAATAGCTTCAAGTTGAATAACTAACGAAGTTAACGACGTTTTTGGCGAATATATTTTATTGAAAAAACGAAGATATTCAGTGAAACTCTCAACTCTAAACTTTAGTTTCCTCAATTGGATGGGCGAATTCTACGATCTCGAGGTGAAATTCAACAAAACGCGAGCTGGTACCGAGATCCCCGAAAAGTGCTCGGCTTTAGTGAAAGTGGGAGTTTGGAAATGAAAAATTTTGACGACTCTAGCCTTGTCGAATAGCTGAATAGCTTAGTATGTATATAAAAATCCAGCTTGCTCCAAACAATCGCGACCTCTTCTTCTCCCATGTCACCATGTTTGCCTATCATCAAATGTTACGGGTGATCAAGCTGTACAAATTTGGATACGGTAGTTGTTAATGATTACAGTAAACCCTGTTTTTAGATAAGAAAGCTTATCCGGGTCATACGATCTCGTTTACAAGTTATCCAGGACTACTCAGCTCGCAGGATGACTTTCATATCACATCGGCGAAACTCGTGAGTTTGCAAAAAAGATTCTATAGTAAGGATTAATGTAGTTTTACTCTAGATAAGGGAAGATTACTCTTTACTCTAAACAGATTACTTTAACGAATTATTGTAGCTTGGTCATATTCCATTTTGTATGTGTTTTAGTTAAAGGACGGCTATAGTAATTGTTGAAAACTACACTAATTCTAGGCTATCATGGAAACGACAATCGGAGTCTATGATCCATCAAAAATGATCCACACGCAGTCACAAGAACAGGTAAAAGAATGCATGTCTAGAGAAAGATTCCTTTATCAGTTACCAAGTTGGATTCGCTCGATGACGGCTAGTTTGTTGGCAGACACGGCGCTCGGATGGGTAGAGACTTTCCTTAAGTATCATATGGGTGAGTTGAACAAAATGTTCCAACCTAGAGCTTGGAAGTCAGGTCACGCTAGGCAAGGCCAACAGCCAGGTCCAGACCAGCCGGATCTTGGACTGGCTCTTGGCTTTGCCTGTCATAGCTGCTTTGGCTTTTAGTCTGGCAAAAACTCGGTCTTTGACTTTACTGCAAGCTTGGTTCCTGGACTTGGCTTTGGGCCGGACTCTGACCTGGGTTTGCTAGCCCGGTTGAAACATTCCTAATCCAAAGTGCTTTTTAAAACCCCACTATGTCGTGCATCTTTAAGATTGACTCATGCGTAGGATATTGCTCATCAATGTTATCTAAAAGATTTCTGAAAGTTTTAGGTACCTACAATAATCAATGGATGATCATCGACTATAAACTCTTCACGCCCGGTCAACCGCTTAAAGATCACACTTTCTACGTCCTCGAAACGATGCCGTTAGTTTTTTTTTCAAAAATCTCAACTAGCTTACAAGTATTTTTGGCGCCTTTTCTGTTCAGGACAAGAAATCACCGCAAAACGCTTGCCTTTAGTGGCTACTTTGTGTATCGGGATAAAACGCGAGAGTTGCAAGAGCGAACCTATCATCCATCATACAATCTACCCCATTATCCCGAGATTATCGAGTACTCGGCATTGGAGAGATTTGTGAGGGTTTTTTTGATGAATTTTTCTTTCGAATGCAATAGTTTAGAGTACTGTAGAAATTATAAGGATACAGTAGAAGTTACGGATACTGTAGGGCACCAGAGTACCTGAAAAAACCAGTTTCTAGTTGAAATTATCTTCTCGAAGTCAACTAGATATGTAATTGTTAGTTGGACTCATTCAGGCCAAAACTTACGATAAACCAAATGGCAGCGGAATCGGCGGAGATTACTATCGATCGGGGAAATCTCCTAGAGCGAAAATCTTCGCTCGTGATCACGCAAATGTCGTCGATTTCGAGTCGTTTACCAAATTGATGAGGTCAGAAAAGACATTTGAATATATCAAGTTGATATCTCAGAAAAATCGACTTCAAAAACGATGAGCTCTCCCGGTGCGAATGTGATCCACCGTACAGCGGAGAGGCAGCCATTGCAGCGAGAGGGGGTACGGTAGTTTTATAGATAACTATAGACAATTACATATGACGGGCTATTACGGTAGTATGGCAAGGTAATACGGTAGCAGGACAGGGGATTGCGGTAGTATTCAGGGGATTACGGTAGTATTCAGGGGATTACGGTAGTAGTATAGATTAGGGGGTATACCGGTAGCTCGTAGTGAAAGTACTACAATCAAAACTAGTTTTCTCGAAGATAAGTATCCGAATAAGTTGGTTTTTTCCAGATCTCAACGACCCAAACGGAAAGTATGAGTTCCCGGCAATCGGACACCGGAATCACGGAGCTCTAGATTTCAAGGTAAAAAAAATAAGAAAATTCAATTTTCAATACTTTCAGGGAGTCAACCACGAGCGAATGACCGATTTCTCATTCCGGGCATGGGGCGCACCGGCTTGGGATCTCCCCAATGGAATCCCTCCATTCCAATGGACTCAATTCGAGAGTCATTCACAAATTGTACTGTTTTGAAATTGAATTAACAAAAAATTTCCTTTTTTCAGCGAGTCTCCCATCGCGGTCATCCCGATCTTTTCGATTTCGATTTCGTCGAGGTCGAATGGGAGGCGAAAATCTGAGAAAAGATCGTTTACTTTCAATAAATGTAAATATCTTGCTCGTTGATAAACAACAAAACAGACACGATTACGTTATCTTGATTAAACGTTTTCGAAAACGTGCCAAAAGCTAACGTACCCTTGTCTCTAGTCTATCCAACCTGTCTACTTTTGGCCTGATTCTGTGAGGGTTGATGAAAAATATCGAAAGATAACAAAAGCAGATAAATTGGATAAAGCTGGAGGAAAGACTACTGTAGTTTTAAAAAATTTCACACGTTTTAGAAAAAACTATTTATACATGATGCATCTAGATAAAATGTAGCGTGGTCAAGATTTTTGCTTTAATTACAACAATAGGCCTATGACAAGCACAAAACTATAAAAATAGTCACCAAGATGCTTGCATTGCAATCATCTTGGTGTCAACTTGCAATCCCTGCATCGAAAAATAAACAAAAGATTCAAAGAAACCCAATGAAAAATACAGATTTATTTTTATATACTTATCATTTCCTTGTTTAAAGATATTCAGCCAAGTCGCTTGCAAACATCACCAATTAATGATATAAAAGCGGCCTTATTTTTTCCTCATCCGTTGTCCGAGGCCTGCCATTTTTATTCTTTGTAAACCTTAGAAATTTCATTTTTTTTGTCAGCCTTTTGACATTCTGTTGAGTCGCACGTTAGATTATAATACGAAATTTCTTTTCAAAGGCACTCCCCGATTAAACCTACCTAGCCTGGGTACCTACCATGATACCTGAAATGGTAGCGCCCCCCCCCCGTGGCGCTATTATTACAGGTATTACGGTAGGTAGATTGTTGGTTTTTACAAGCTTCATTTAAGTTTCATTAAACTTTTAGCTATTTCCTTCCTATCCTGTTCCAATCCCGAAAGCTCGTGTCTTTTTAGAACATCTGAAAGCTTTAATACCCAAACCAACTGATTCTACGCCCGTTTTTTTGTTGCTGTTTATCGTTTTCTTTAGCTCTCGACGATTGTTATCAACGTTTGCTTTTCAGATAATGTCTCAACTCCTCTGTAACGAATGCAAGACAACTGGTGATGAGAAGAACTTCTACGTTTGCACCGCCCACTTTCCCGACTCATCGTTTCCGCATGCCGAGCAACTTCACGAGGTATGGTTTTGCGTTTTAAAAGCCTAGTTTTAACATTATTATTACCGTAAATGCTGTAATTGAAGCCCTGGGGCGTCTATTTTTGCCCTCCCTCTCCAGAGGGGGTTTTAATTTTCACCTGGCCTTTTGGAAAATTTCAAGTTACCAAAATTGGATATACTGGCAGATAGATTCGTTCGATAAACTAATTTTCTTCTAATTTTATTAAAAAAACAGTATTATCATCAAAAACAAGTGCAAATAACCAACAAAATTTAGCAAAAACAAATTGAAATTGATCAAGCTAGATATAAAAGTCAATCGAAACATCGGAGTCGACGAAATTATCGACTTCTTCTGGATCATTTTCTTTGCGAAAGTCCTGGAACCCTGTCGATTCAAAGGGTTCTAGAAGATCGTCGATTTCCTTTTCCATGCGAGTATCTTTCAGCACGTGCATTCCTGTAGGGATCGAGCCATCCGGTTTGAAACAGTGAATCAAGTGATCCTCACCTCCATTTGAAGCGATTCCGATTCCAAATGTTTTGAAAGATTTTGGGATGGTTTCCTCGCTGATTGTGTCCCAAGCATTCACAATCCAACTCAAGTAGATGTCCATTGAAGGAAGCTTTGGATTGCCACCACCGGTTCCATCTTCTCATGATCTTGTCAAATTTGGAGCCGATGTCACAATCTAATCCTCATCTATTGACAGTTGACGAATCTTTGCTTTGGACGGTGCATTCCAAGAAACATCAGCAGGTTGCACGTATTTTGTTGTTCCTTCGGGCACATATACACAATCCAAATTGAGCTTCTCAAGATGCTCCTTTGTGCTGTCGCTTTTGTGAGCCACATGTTGGTCCCAGATTAGAAGCGACCGCTCATTTTTGTTGAAGAATCAAAGTCTTTTGAAAGTTCACTCCAAGAATTTCTTTGTGATGTCGTTGTCGAAGCATTGGTTTGTCTTTTCTATCCAACACAACATCGATATTGTCGCATTTTTAAATTTTGAATGAACGAAAAAATGAATTTCTGTTAGGAAGCCACGTTTGGAGGAATATCACGAAATCTGGCGTGGTACTCTTTGGATATTTACTAGACATGTGCCTTAAGTCGAGTCGATTCGCGGCTCATGTCTACTGTAAAGCATTGAAAAGTTTAATGTTCTACAATTTCTCAACAAAAAAGTGTAAAAAATAAAGAAACAAAAGAAAATCTGAAAATGAAATGAGCAAGAAGTACAGGAGATAAATTGGTAATGCAAAAAAAAGTAAAATTATACAAGTTTTGAGCAAAATGCAAATTTAGGGGAGCTTCTATTTCTTCCCTCCCCCTCCAGAGGGGGCTTCAATTACAGTATTTACGGTAGGTAGGTGAAGTGTTGTTTGCTACCGCATAGGAATGTAATTTGCTTTTTGTAGGTGTCTGTGTGCGCGCACTGCTGCATCACAAATCATTGGGGATGCGGCGCCGAAAAGCCTCAAACAATTGACAAATTTCTGGTAAGCTTTTGAATCGATTTTCAAACATTTTGTTTTGGAGAGCACCAGCGCCGCGAAGAGGCTCAAGGAGAATTTCAACCAGTGTGAAGAGCTGCTCAGGGACATTGTCGATGGTTTCAACGAGCTCAAAGAAGAAGCCCTGGTGATTGTGAAGGTGTCAATTCAAAAGTTTTACGAAGTTTTACGTATTGTTTTAGAAGCCAATCCACGCGGAGAACGATTTTGAGAAGATAGCGGCACCACTCGAGAAGTTTAAAGTTGCAATGGGCCAGGGCCATATAATGCTCACGGGGATCAAGGGTCTTGTTAAAGTTTGTGTATTATAAGGGTTGTTTATCTGGGTTTTTTAGTCCACGCTTAAAGACGACCACGACGCGAAGTTACACCCACAAAGCGTTGCCAATAGTTCCGGATTCAAGATGAAAAAGCAAGAGGTTTGGTTAAAAAGCCACAAAGCAATTAACTTTTGGGTTGAGGTTGCGCCAATCGCTGTTCCAAAGTCGCCCGGATCGTTCCAACCGCGCAAGATTCTTGTGGCCATGCAAGATGCAGTAAGGCGTGAACCTGAGGTACGTTTAAACTATAGCATTGTAAAGTTGATCCTATTTCGAAACTATTTTCCTTTGTATTCAGATACCTTTTAATAGTGGCCATCAAGCAGCACAAACTTTCGGCGGTAATGGCTCCAACGGTGGTCCTTCTACTACTTCGTACGGATTTAATGGTGGCATCCGAAAAGCGCAAGGATTTTTTGTTCCGGATAAATATCTTAAAGGAATATGAAGCATGAAAGGAATATTATATCGATTTTTGTTCTTAAATGCTAATTTTGTTTATCTGGCGTATGCTGGTTTATCTGTTTTTTTAGTGACATGGTTTTTTTTGTAAACAAATATTGTTCTGTAAATGTAAAAATAATATTAACTTCTGTTTATTTTCTTGCTTTGGTGAGAAGCCAATATACCTAATTTCTGTTAATGTTGTTAAGAAAGTTGGAAGAATAGCCATTTTTTAGAAAATGAGTTGCTTCGAGTGCAAAAAGTCAACGGAATCATCCAATTTGTTCATTTGCTCGCATCACCTTCCAACGGAGGATGGGGGAAAGCTTGGTTATCCCATCAGTCCACAGGTAGAGTCAATTTATCAATGGTTTTTTTTAGGTAACTTAACCCCTATTCAACTCTAAATAGGTTTACTTTAGATCATTTTCTGCTCACGATGCTTACTTTCGAAACATTGGGACTGTCACAGGGAGGGAAACGCGATTAAGCCTCGATCACTGCTCGAGTATATGGTGAGAGTTAATTTAAATAAGAATTTAGAATGGGATGATGAGAATTGCATCAGACTTTGAACGATTTTTTTAAGAATGAGAATGCTGTCGTTGAGTTGGAGGAAGAATTGGAAAAAAGCGAGCAAGGGGTGCAGCAAATGATCAGCCAATTTCAGCACCTTCAGAATATGCTTAAGGTTAGAAATTTGTGATCACCACCTAATTAATATTATTTTTAAGCAAAGACGTGTTCTTTTTATTGAAAACAAGACTGCCTTTGACTGCACAAAAACAAATTTGATTGATGTCAACTTTTCTCTCACAAATATCAACTGTCAGCTGCAGGATACGCTGGAAATTTGCGAAGTAAGCCTTTTTATGACCATTAACAACATGCCTTGCAGTTTCATTTTAAGACTTTAGACTCAGGACAATGCAACCAAACCCAAGCCAATAATTGCCGAGCATCACAGTCAAGTTGAAGAACCATTGAAGCCACAGCCGGTTGAGCAGGAAGAGGAAGGTGAACCAATCTCGTTAAGACCACGATTCTGGGCTCCACAAGCAGCACATGTTCTCGAGGCTGAGCCGACTCCCAATCCTAAAAAGACTTTTTCTCCGCTGCGTATTATGCGGGAGATGAAGCTACGCGAGCAAGCAGCAGCGGTAGGTTCACAACGAAGAGCGAAGAATCATTTTATTTAGGAAATGCTCAAGGTTTCGTCTCCAGATAAAGAGCCACGTATTATTAAGGAAATGCTAGCATTTGGAGAAACAAAAGTAAAGAAATTATTTGACTTGTAGCGGATATTTGGATACTTTTCAGGAATTTGACGATGAGGAGCCAATTCAAGAGGGTTGGAAAACTATCATCTGTGAGCCGCCTTCAACCGGACTTGCCACCGAGCGTGTTGGCCGTAACGTTGATGCTCTTCCATTTGTGTCCGCTGGGCAACGCCCGCAAGTCGACGAGTTGTATGAGGTACTTGCTAGGCGAGGTTTACCCGAGGAATTTCAGCATTTTATCTAAATTATTTCAGGTTAAGCCGAAAATTATAATTTGCTAACTTTAGCGTGCTCTTTCTGGTGGCGGTTCTGATGATGGATGGGGTTCTGGTGCACAATCAAAGCCGCGCCAAGTAAGTTTGGTTAAGTGTTCGTTTTAAAATTCTCATTGTAGCCGTCGGGAGTACAAGTATTTATTTAGGGAACAATTGTTGAGATGTCACGAGGCCCATTTGCTGGAGCACCAATGGGTGATCAGATGAAGGTATAATAATTGTAATTGAGGAGTGATAGTAGTCTTTGTTTTAGTTGTCGTGGGTTCCCGGCTCCAACACTGGTGAACTCAAGCAGGGCGGTTTCAAGCAAGACACCTCTTAAAAGGAATTCCCTGTTTTATTATGTTTCGCTTGTTTTAAGCAAAATTTCAGAAATTGTTATTTATATTCGTTTTAGATTTAATTATTTGTTATGTTCAATTGCCAGTTTTTAAGTAATAAAACTTGTTCAAACACAATCACATCTATTCGGCACGAAACAAACTTTGAGTTTCCGTTTACCAAAAGATTGAAGCAGAAAGGTAAATGTTGGAATGTAATTGCGATACTTTTTTTCTCGTACCCTATCAATCATAACATACTTTATTCACAGAATACAGATGCACAAAATTGGAGATCACGATCAACGAAATAATTACTTTACCAGAATAGCTACCCGAATTTGCGTGCCCGTTGATAAACACTTAACCCTTAATGTATTTGAAAAGCAGTTAACTTAAAATAAAATACTAAAATATAATGCGTAAATATGTGGGTTAAATTTTTTAAGCTTTTTATCACTCTCGATCAATCCAATGTACCATCAAGAGCATCACGTGGTGGGCATCCCTCCCGAATAGCTCTAAATTAATTTTTCGATGCCAGAATAGTGATAACTGATTGTAAGAATGTGTAAAAAAGCGTACTCTCTTAAATCTTGTGGATGCATGAGAAGAAGTCGGACGAGTCTTTGCCTTGCAACCACCGATCCAACAGCAGAAACCAACAATCGATTCTGCACACTGCGACTTCGAATTACATCACAACCAGACCATTTCTATAAAAAAGTAGTATCAAAAAATAAAATTTAGCTGCTTACTTGAATTGCTTCCACAAATCCGTCGCTAGAGATGCCCTAAAAATGATAGTAAGATGGGAAATAGAAAAATGAACGCACATTAAGCACTTCCTGTCGAATAATGATTGGTTCTTGTGTTTCTGCTCTCTCCGATTCGACTTCACGTGCTTCTCTTGGCGTTTGTTCACCAAATCTCTTCGTGTCATATTGCGAACCGATTCCCAGCCAATTGAATCTCCCCGACACCGCCACATGATGAATTGTTTTATAGGCTATCTAAAGAACAACTTTTTAAGAATAGGCATTTGCACACTCACTTGACTTAAATGGGTCCATTCTTCGGGGTTAAATATGAAAAACGTTCCCGGCGATCCATCATCCAGATCCAAATCAATGAATTCCACCTAGGAGGAAAGATTAAAGCTACTCCCAATAAACGTACGTTAGCAAAAGCACTCGATCCGATATATCGAATGAAATTAATGAACATTTCGCCAGGTATTTCCAATTCTTTACGCTCATCTGTTTTCTCGAATTTCGTGTCAAACATCACCTATAAAGCGGGCTGTTCTTTGAGAGAAATGGTAAAAACCACCTTTTTCTTGAAAATGAATGAGGGCATCGAATCGGTTTCATGACCTGATCCATGCAAAGAACCATGACAATATTGGACAAGCAGACGAGATAATTGACGGAAACCCAACTTGCAATTTTTCTCGATCGACTTCTAAAGTAAATACATAAGTGAAAATTATAAGTGAATGTGTAGTTGAACCTTTTCAATCCATCGGTGCAATATGTAAAACATGTCGAGAACCCCATCTCCATAAGCACTTGCATAGCTGGGATTCATTTGAAAGTTAGAATGAATGATATGCCCACTTACCGTTTGACCAACTCGTGCTTCTCCATAGCAGGCATAAAATCCGGATCCATTTGTCGCATTTCACGGGCTTTTTTTGACAAAAGTGCGCATATCTAAAACGAATTCAACTCAATTACTGATTCAAATACCTTTGATCGTTCAAAAGTGTTCGGCTGGAGTGCATGCTCAGATAAAGCGCTAAAAGCCTGCAAAGACAGTAGTAATGGGCAGAAGTATTTGCTCAAACCCGAGTCCTTTTTGCGCTTGCCAAAACATCCCAAACGATCCATCCAAAGGAGAGAAATGATCTGCCACATTCTCGATCATACGCCACGGCATACCTAAATAGAGCATATACTTAGCATAGCATAGCATTGTCTGCTCACCCTCAATGATGAATGGTGTAAATTAAAAAGTACCATTGAATTGCTCGCCGTTCCATTGCTTCCATACAGTGAACAATCGTCTTTCCTTTCCCGTTGTCTTGAATAAAATCTTCTTCTTGACCAAACTCCTAAAAGCAAACGTTGGGCAAGGTTTCACAATAAAGCTGATTGATTGAGACATTGATAGGCTCCCAAAATTTACTCAAACCTTAAAGAATTGTTTCCGAAAATGATCAAAGATGGCCGCATATCGCATCTCGACAATTTTATCGGTGTGAAAGAAAGAATAGTCGTCTCGTTCCTAAACGATAATGTTTTACAACCATTTTTTTTTCACTTAACCATCTGTGTTAAACGCTTTAACGAAAGGATGTGTCCCGATACGATCTGTGCTTCATCGCCGATTCCATATTCATCGAGAAGCGCCTGAAAGTTAGGAATGAATAACCCAACCAGTCAAACAAGCACGAACCTGCATTCGTGCTGAATATTCTTTCTTGAGTTGTCTAATTTGCCCCTCATGATTGCGTTCATTCGCAAAACAATCCAATTTCTGAATATGAATGAGCTACGAGAATCTGAAGCGTCTCCTAACAAACCTCTGGTATCAGCATGTCATCAGTGTCGTCATCAAATGGCGATTTTGAACAGTCAACTTGTTCGATGATGTCCGCAATTTTCTTCACTTTCCTTAAATTAATTGAGATCATCATGCCGACGCATAGAAGTCACACCGATAGAGTTGACCATTCAACCATTTGCTCAAATATTGAGGCTTTCCTCGGTGTTCCATGTAATCGGGAGAGCAATCCACCTAATTCAAATAAACTTTTAAGTATGAATACCTCTTGCTACCAGTTCATCGAGCTGTAAATTATCTGCTGGCACTCCAGACTTGGGGAAATCAACCCCAATTGAGCATTTTCTAGCAATCGATTCACAAACATCTCTAAAAATAAAAAGAAAATGGTATAAAATGCAATAAAACGTACGCAAAAAGTCCATAGTAATCGGATGCAGTCAAATGAGCATTCGAGAGACGCCCAATTGAATCCTGGGTAAGATAGCGCACGAAAAATGAAACCATAGCCTCAGTCTAAAAATTTGAATTAATGTGTAAAACAACAAATTTTACCGTAGGAATTTCTTTAATTTGTGCAGATTTCGTTTTCGGAAACACCATTGCTTCCTCGTTGTGCTCAAAGAAGCATTCTTGATCAAATATCACACAATATTCATCGCCATCAAGATCAGATCCTGAAAAGTTTGGTTCTAAAGCCAAAAGATCACGTTTTACCGGCCATTTCGTCTGGATGTGGTCGAGGTCCGTATCTAAAGTGCTATATGAATATGCAAGCGCGTAATGCTGGCAAACCTCGGAAAAACAATCACATCAACAAGATGAGCAAGAGCAGGCTGATAGACTGCCTCAAAAATGCGCACATCACCACCCACACGGCAAGGATTCTTTGACACCAATACAGACCCTAAATCGAAAAGTATTTCCACTGATAAACAATGAAACCTTTATGAATTTTTGTCTTCAGCTGAGCCATCGAGCTGGTGCCGCGCAAAAGTTTGTCTCGAATGCGATGTGTTGAGTATTGAATGAACACCTAAAGGAGCATAGACAATTAGAAGTTACACAAATAAGCAAGCTCACTTGTCCATTCTGCAATAGTCCCGAGTCATCAACTACTCCATACATCGTTCGGCCAAGATTGACCGGCAAAAAGATTTTCATCTTTGACTAAATAAACACTTACAATAGTTGTTATCTGAAAGGGAGTAGTACCTTGCTTAGGTGTTGAATGATGTTGTATTTGTAGACCGAAAGGAGAAGTCGCCGAATAAAGGGCTCATCGGTGAGACTGAATCCACACTAAAATTTTAGATGCTAAACGGTCGGTAGAAAAATGATTCACTTGTAGTATGCGAGCAAAGTCAATGGCAAGCGGAAGTCGAGCATTCAACCCAATCGCAGCTTCATGTTCATCGAGCAACATTTCTTTAAAAACACGAGTATAGACAATCAAGCGGTCCAATCAAACTTGTAAGTGTTGAAAGCTCCCTCTCAAGATATTGATGAATTGTGCGAGAGACTCGTTGGTGAACAACTGATCCTTGTTTGTGAGCGACCTGAGTACATAATTTTTAGTATCACTCGCTCAATGCTTACTTGATCGATGACATTAATAAGTGGTCGGTTCAAGCAGACAGGAGAGAACATTGAGTATTTCACCACCTCCAGCAAGCTGTCACCATCCTGTATGTCGTGAAACTTTTCTTGACTTTTTCTAGAGTTCAATTCGTTTTAAACGATTAACAACTGGATTTACCGGAAGATCACTTTCGGGCCATCGTATTTGTCTAGTTCTCGATCAATCGTCAGAACACCCTTGAAGCCTTTAAAGCGAACCTGTAAATAAAATGTTTCATTTCACTTACACCAAAATTTACTTGAAAGCATGATGGAATATAAGGCAACTCAAGAGCAATTGCAATCATCACCGCGTGTTCCATACCGATTCGACCAACCTATAATAATCAGTAATGTAATGACATTCACTTCTCATCACTTACTCCATCCGAAAAACAATAGTCTTCTCCCGTCTCCGGATGTCCACCTAAATTTATTGACTAGTAAGCGACAAACAATAAACAACCGTTACAACAGAGTTATATGCACAACAACAATCAGTAACTATATCACAATCAAAGCAAATCAAAATTAACACAATAACTGTTTAAAAAGATCGGGATCATCAACAATCGTCTTGATACAATGTTCTTTAGTGGGATTCCGCCGCAAAACAATTCCTTTCTCAGTGATTAACACCCGGAGTTCCTCAAGAGTGAAACGACCAACCGATAGGGCCATAAGCGCCAGAAACTTTTCTTTGAGTTCGGGTGAGGGAAAAGCTCGAGCCTCACGCTTGCATCTATGGCCATCGGAGCGTCCCAACGAATACAGGGTAAAGAAATCCCGCAACTTCAGTTTGGGCAAGGATTTGAAGTATTTGACGAGACTACCCTCGATATACTTGGTGGTATCATTTGATTTTCTCTCGATCAGTTTGACGAAACCGAGATGACCTCCAGTAGCGAGATTAGCAACGGCGTGACCGACAAGGTCGGTAGAAGATTTCTTGTTATATGCATCGAAGGAGAAAACAACCAACTGGTCAGCCGGTCAGATGTTCTCTTTTGTGTCTTCGTGTCCGAGCCAAGGTACAACGGAATCGCCTATTCAAAGTTTTTCGGCATAGGTTCCTTGTAGACAGCGTAGGTATAGGCGGTTCCTTGAGTCGATCGGTGCATGTCGAAGAGTTCCTCGCAATTCAGCTGTAACCAATATGGATCCTCTTCCTTTTCTCGATCTCTTTTCTCTAGTTCTTCGATTCGAGCCGTGCTCGATTCGTGACTAAAGCCGCGTTTTTCTGTTCCAACTTGATAATCACCGCGTCACCGAGTATCCGTTCTAAATCAATTGACGTTGAAATCGTCCAAGAAACGTGATCTCGGTGAACTCATTGTCGCTATCCTCGTGCTCGATTCGTGACGTGGAGGGACGATCGGCTCGTTCTCGTTGTCGAAGAGATCACCCGACTGATCGACTCAATCCCTCACCTATCATTAAAGAAACGAAAAACACCTAGCCTTAGACTATTCTTAGAAGCAGGTATCGAAACTACAGAAACGTCAAAAAAGAAGCAATAAGCATCTATTAACACGCAAAAGAAAGAGAAAATGTTGTGCATATAATCTGTTGTGAGTGTGAAAAATTAACAAACGATGCTCTCCTCACCCACTTCCTCCTTCGATATCTTCCTCAACAACCCATTCATCTCGTCGCAACTTTATGGTCGGCTAAAGAGTGAAATGATAAGGAAATAATTTTAAGACAAATACTTGGGCTTGTGTGAAACATTGTCCCATACGGCTCATCATTTTCGGCACGCTAGTGCACATCGAGAAGTCACCCATCCATCTAGACATTCAATATGGTACGCTTTTATTAGAAACTTACGCTCTAATTGAATCAATTGTAAAAAAGCTTTTGCCAGTACGAGAATCAATTTTTGAAGCATACAAGTAGCATCCATAGTCACGCATCTAAAACTGATGAAATATCCCCAAAAAAGGCAAATACCTGTGAATTACTCCAAGCGAGAAACTTATATTCTCGATCGACAATCCTGAGTCCCTCCATCATCGTGTTTCGGATCATTTGAGTGAAAATTTCCGGGTTCTCTTGGACTAAAGTCTCAAAAAAATATGCAAACATGATTTAGCAACTAACAGCTCGAACTATTGCCAATATAGAACTCGTTCGTATGCAGAGTGTATCCAGAATCGTCACGAAAAACGCATCTATATGAAGGGTAAAAATTTTCGTCGTTGAAAATGTTATACCTCATTGCGTACTCTTCCCCAAAGTATCGAACAACTCGATTAGTAAGCATAACCTCTGGTGACATAAATAGTGTTCGTTGGGGGCAAACCATAACCTAGAAACAATTAAATAGGTCCATAGATTATACTTAGTTCCTTTAATAAAATTTACTTTTCGAACAAAAACACAATTCTTTGGAATCTCTTTGTAATCGCGAAGAATATCCATTGGATGAAGATTTCGATACGATGCTTCGAGGACAGCATTTCTTACTTCCGAGAACTGAAAGCGTAAAATTTCTAAAGAATGGCAATGTGCCACCTACCCGAGCACAGTAGATCTTATCAAAAGCGCTCATAATGTCCATCACTCGCAGTTCGTCGATTCCGGAGAGTAGGTTTTCCAGAGTCGATTCACAGGCCTCCGGACATTCCTAGAAGATGCTTTAAAAGTCATAGAAGTTTGAAAAAACCTGAAAGGCTCGTCGAACAGCAAGGAAGAATGGAGTTTCAGCTAGATCTTCGGTTGATGTTTCTTGACATTCAAACAATTGATCTGTGACTCTACTTCCTCGCGTCACCAAAGCCTAAAATATTTAAAAACATTTACTAAAGGGATCATAAGCACACCACCTACGTGTAATGCATAATTTGCTCGAAATGACCCAATATCCGGTATGTTTCGAATAACAGGAGGGCTGCGGCGCATTTGCTAGAAAAATTTAATGTTTTAAAAGCACATGAACCAAACCTTGATGGCTGAAAAATAAATCTGCGCTCTGGATCGAGCAGCAATTCGAGCGGCAATCCAAAACCATGTTGAGGGTGGATGTTTGTCGGTGCCTGGCTCAGAAATGTAGATTTTCTCTGTCATTGCATCAAAGACATAGTTGCTGAAGGTCAACCCAACGTGTGAACTAAAAACAATAACTATTATACTTCAAATAAAACCATGAATACCTATTTCCAAGAGTTTCTTTCGAGCACCCCAGGGATCTTTCATAGCCAGGCCAGGACAACACTCGAACCCAGTCTCGACATTGATCCAAATTCATATATCGTCGATTCTTCGATCGTTGTCGAGGAATTGCTTCATACAGCTAAAACAGGGTACAACAAAACGAGTCTTCTGGCAAAACCTGTGGTGGATGTTTTAGTTGTAAGAAGACACAAGTCTCCGAATCACTCGTACAATCAATGTTTATCGAAACGATGTTGCCATATTTGAGTTTCTAAAATTAAATCTTTTAAAATAATCACGTATACAATGATGCACCAGCATGAATCCAGCAAAATTTAATCCATCCTCTTGAGGCTTGATCTTCACTCCAAAGCATATTTTCAACTCACGGCGATCATGTTCAAAAGTGGCAAAGGAGAGGTAATCTTGGTGGCCTAAATATTGATCTTCGAATAAATTTTTGAAGTTATACTTACCAGTAACATAGGTTTGTCTACTATCTTTTAGAAAGGGGATCGTTGGGTTGCTTGGGCAATTGAACTGGGTGAAGTAGTCACCACGCACAAAAAAGAGTCCCGGATTTACAAGACTTCCAACCTAAAGAGTTAGAAAGCTTTACTTTATTTAGCAATGCTTACCATAATCGATTTCATTGGGATATTTTGATGAACAATGCTAAAAAGGACCATATAAATATCTAGCTAGCAATTAATCTTACTATTCTTCTGTGCAGATATCCATAATCGCTGGCAACGATAACTTTGGCTGATCATGAAGCAGGTAGGCTGTTTCACGACAAAACTCATGAGCCACCTTGTAGAGAGTCGCAAGACACCCTGGAATCGAAAAAAAATAGTTTACTAGTTTACTTGTTTAGCAAGGAGTTTACTTGTTAAATCGTCCAAATCTGAATGGCCAGCTAGAGCAAATTCGCAAGAAAACGAAATCTGAATGTAAGACACTAATTGAAATCTTATTTGATAAAAAACCTCATATTCTTTCTCTTCATACTCGGCTTTAGGCATAGGGACCATTCTTTTGAAAGTAATATTCTTGGCATGACACTGAATATTTGAATGATAACTTTTCAAAAGGCAAGCAAAATGCTATTACCTTTTTGATTGTATCAGCAACACATCGAAGAAGAGATTTTGGATTCACTGAATACGACGGTTTGGGAATGATCAACACAACGTCCATCGAATACATTCTGAAAGCAATCACCTTTTTAAAGCGCAACAATTCAAACCGTGCAGAAAATTGTTCATCATCCACAAAAAGCTGAGCCTCTTTCTAAAATAAGCGATTTCTTAGCATGGATTCTCATGAAAACTTACGGAAACTTTCTTTGGTTGTGGCGTTTTTAAAAATGCGTATGCTGCAGCAATTCCTTCCATTCAACATGGGACGGACCTGAATTAAAGGATAAGTTCAAACGAATCAGTGCTTTTCGACTGAGAAAATGAGAAACCCAAATTCACCCATCTCGATGTAAAAAAGAAAATACCAATGAAAAAGAGCTCAGTGCAAAATCCCAATAGTGACAAAAACCTTTAAAACAAGAAAGTAGGAAAAATTTGTAGCCTTTTTTGTGCAACCCAATGAATGCCTCATCTCTCAAAATTTTCTTGAAAATCTGAATGCAAATGTTTCAATTTTGTAGAGTATGAAGAATTCACATTTTCATGTTGTAATGAACAAAAGGGGTCAAGCTTCAAACTCCACGAGGGATGTCTACAATAGAGATGCTGAAAAAGAGAAATACAGAGAAAGGCAATGAGGCGAAAAAGAATAAATAGCTCGCACCAGTTTTAGGCTTTATTATATTATGGCAATCACACAACGAAGTTCGACACAAAAAAACATCCACTAGAAAAGCATGAATCATTTGTGTTCTCATTGAAGCAATAAGAGCAAGCGGTCTAAACAAAAATCCTACCATATGGTATTTAAATTTTTGCACTGACCTAAAATCCTCCTCCGCCTTCTTTTCCAGTAGCACTTTCTCCTGCAGTTGACTCGCTATTCATCTAAAACCAAAATTTTAACAAAAAAATAGATCCGCAAACCGCTTGATCGACCTTCTGTGGCCTCCTTTTCACAGTTATAGATGATGATTGTCTCGAGCGACGTCTTCGACTAAAATTCAAATTAGTGCATATCGGAGTAAAAATAGCGAACCATCTCCACACACACAGCAACACGATCATCAGAACCTTGGAGTAAATCAGAAGAATGGATACCACGAGAGGACCTAAACAAACATAAACAGCAATTAGACTTCGAAACTCTTACTACAAACATTGTCGTTTAAGGTCTAAAAGAAAATCGCACCTATCCACAGCCAAGGAGGACGTTTTTCAGACTTCAGCGCTTCAGACTTGGAAATTGGTTGATCACCTAAAAAAAATTTTAAAAATCCAAACTAAATATAAAAGCGCACTAAAGACTTCACCCGCTTTTGAAGTTATCGTTGTAGCTGTTGTAGCTGTATCGTCCGATGTCGTTGTTGGCTTTGTTTCTAAAGAATTAGTTGTCCGCCAATGGGTTAATAAAAGGAACCATCTTCCGGAGGCGGAGTAGTATCATCGATGCTTGTTGTCGTCTCTAAGAACTCGTTTGTCCGTTAATATAATTTTGAAATTTGAGAGAAACCATTTTCTGCTGAAGAACCCATCACAGCCATTACTGGCATGTTGGCAGAGGCTACTAGACAAGAAAGTTAGTAAAAATAAAGGGAATTACTTGATCGAATTGTCGGTGGCACAACATGACGAAACTCATGTCGATGTCATCCACCAAATTGACCTTTCGTTCACATAAGCCAACGATGAACGACGAGTAGAAAAGGAGTCTCCACTGAAATAAAGAAATTAAAAACATAACCAAAAAACAGTCAAAAGAATCAAGATCAAGAAAACCAACCAAAAATGAAGAAATCGCTAATATAATTTCTGTGAGACCAGTCTCAGCCTTTTTTTACTTTTTAAAATTCAAATTTGCCCGTAAATGTAAAATTTTACTCACATTAAACCGTTAACCGCTACCGTAACTCAAATTAATCAGATTTGCCGTAATCTTTTCGACCAACTACTTTGGTTACTGTAAAACTGTAAAATGTAGAATTACGGAAAACGAAAAAGTACTGAACATGTTGAAGCAATACTTTAACTAGCAAAACGTCATAGTTTACATCTCAGCCTCACTTTTATTTAACCCAATAGTAAATCAGGCTTATAATAAAGATTTGAAGCGTTTTATCACAAGTTGCGGGCTGAAATGGCTCGAAAGTACAGTAACAACAAAATATACCGTATTCTCTCTAATTGCAGTGCACCCTGAGCGTTGCCTAAATTGCTCGAAATCTCGAAAAGCGCTTATCAGAACCTATCGATACGGGGTCGGAAAATGTAGCTGACGATGAGATCTTGTCGGGGATTAGAGTGTTGAGCTTCTGTGAAAACTTTGGAAGTCGTAAAATAGTCATCAACTCGGCTCGACCGGCTGCACTACTATTAGAGAGAATACGGTACCTCTTCCAATCCTATGCCCCTTATTACTTTGAGACTTTTTTTGGTCTTTAACTGTTAAAGCGCACCAAGACACCCTTAATCAAAAACTCTAAACAAGCTCTACTTAAATAGTATAATATATCTTTAAAATACTTTTAACTGCGAAACGAGACTTAGAGGAATTGGCACTTTTCAACTCAATTTGTGTCAAATCAGATGTTCAATTGAATACAATTCCATTTTTATCAGATAACTTTCATTGCACACAAATGAGAATATAGTACTGGACAATGAAATATCATATGTGAAAAACGATCGTCACTTTAGCGCGTCTGTAACTCTCTTGCCTTTGAGTTTAAACTATTAGTGTTATACATTTTCTGAAAGCTCTTTTCAAGGGCTACACAATGGTAATATTAATATTTAGAAATACGGTAAAGACAAGAGAGTTACAGACGCGCGAAAGTGACGATCTTTTTTCAAATATGATATTTCATTGTCCAGTAGTGTATATTGAATAAACCAAAATTCAGTCATGGATATAAAAAAGTTGATACAAAGATATGTTCTATTCATTTTAAAAGACTTTTTAAGTTCGAATCGTTTATGATTTGAGGGGGGACACAAAAAAAAGCAATCCACGGGGAGCTGAGACAATCAAACTTTAAAACTTTAAAAGCTATAAACCATAAAACTTTCATGAGCAATCTTTATTCCTGTCGAGACATTGTGTGCCGATGAACGTAGTCGTACTCGTCATCTCTCATCAAATGGTCCACCGATGTGGTCTTCGTGAGATTGTCCGGCATCTGAATTTGTTTTAAAGTATGGTAAACGTAATAAACTTTAATTTCAAAGTCTACAGTAGTTAGCAATTTTTGCCTACAGTAATCTACAGTAGCCTAATCTAGTCTAATCGCTACAGTAATCTACAGTAGTCTAATCTAGAATAAGTTCATATCTCACAGAAGCTTATGGTAATTTCATCATCTAACTATAAGCATACTTTGTGCTCAAAATGGATAAACACTCCCTTTCTGGCGCATTGGATTCTTTGTTTTCTCAATTTAATTTTTTTCTCTTTAGAAACACAAGAATAAGAAAGAATTGCGTACGCTAGGAAGGATGTGTTTAAACTTTAGCACAAAGTACACAAGGTAATATGGTTATCTTATCTCACACTCACTTGATGAAGCTTATCATAACTCCTTGCGCCTCTCATCGCTTGTCCATTCCATGAAATAACTGGTGGAGTGGGGCTACCGATTTGTCCGACACCCCGTTGTCCCAGTCGCCACAACTCCATCGACTCCTACGTGAATTTTAATTAGATTTCGAGTTTTCTCGATTTCAATCGATTTTAACTTTTAACTTTCAATCGATTTTAACTTTTAACTTTCAATCGATTTTAACTCAATCTTTTTAATGTCAGTTGAGAATTCAAATTTTTGATTACCTCAAGTGACGGCAATCCCAATTCACTTCTCGATCTCTTCAACTCATCTTCCCTCTCCCTCGTTTGACGGATTTCTGCAGCTATCAGTCCTTCACCAGCTCTTGGTTCTTCCTGAAATCTGATTGATAATGCTTTTCTCTACATTAGACATAGGCTTTTGTAGAAAACGAGTCAGTTTCACGTTTCAGCAAACAGATCTTGTTTTCGTGGGACTGACTCGTTTTCTATCAAAGCCTGTATACTCTACATTAAATCCTCGTTGTTGCCCTCTTTGTCCCTCAACTCTTTTCACGAAACGCGGCACATTCGATTGACTCGAAACATTTTTCACGTAGCGTCCGCTCGGTTGCAGGGGAAGGCGTTGTGATGGAGACATTCCCTAAATAAGATTTTAATAGATTAATGTTATAATGAAAAGCTTTATTGACCTTATCTGTAGTCTTAAGCATTTTGTACAGCTTGAGGTACATTACAGGAGTTCTTTCATAGAGTCCAAAGCTTCAGTGGCTCAAGTTTTTAAATAAACAAGCTCTATTTTCCAGAAAGCACTGATAAAATCCGTGTCTATTGTTTCTTTGCCACAATCTGATACCTGTGGTGTGTATGAGTGTGGTGTCTCTTCTTCATAACCTCTCAATTCAACTCTTCTCCATGGAATCGAGTCAAGAATGGCGCGAATCTGGTCGGGAATCAAGATACCAAGTGCTGAATTTGAAATTTAAGTATAAAATATTCCTACAGAAGTACTCTTTAAATGTAATCTAATGCTTTAGAGCTACTCCTTTTCTGATTCTTTACAAACAGAACTCGAAAGGTTTAAGCACTAACGTTATACCCTCATTTCCACTCACCTGCAATCATGTCACTATTCTGACGTAAATACAACAACAAAAGCTGTTCCTCCATTGTCAAACTGATCCCAACAGACGTCGTGTGATGAGATGGATAAACCACTTGGGTCGCTTGTGATTGCGGAAGTTGAGGTGATCGAGTCTGGGGTTCCATTCTGAAATTGAATCAGTAGTAAAGTATAAGACCCTATCCTGGTGGCAATGGGATACGTGTCGGTGTAGTTAATTGGTAGAATGTTCGTCCGGTACACGAGAGGTCGCGGGTTCGAATTCCGACGCCGACCATGCTTTTTATTCCCAAATACCCAGTTGGACACGCCGACCGTTGTCCAACGTGTCCAACGACCGGCCCTCCAAATTTTTTCCTCACCCATAATCAATTTCCCGATACGATTCTCGATTGTTCGTTTGTGTTCTTTGTGGTATCGGTGTCTGTGTATTCGATGGCGTTTCGGCTCTCGACGCCATTCCCGTCGATCGACCATCGCTTCTTCGTTGTCCCGTCGATGGGAGTTGAACCCATTTCGAGTCAACTAAATACAAGTGATTGAAAAGCTACTCAATTCATAAATATTAAGCACCAAGCTCTAGTTGGAAATCGATCTAACAATGCAAAAAGAAATACGGTAAAATGGAATAAGAGTTATTGATACCATCTACAATTTAGCACTTTTACCAAGCGACTGATACGTTTTCTAAAAAAATGTCAACTATCGTTACTACTGTACTCTTGCCCAGGGTTGTTAAACCATTTTTCGATTTGCCTAACATGATCTAGCTAGGATTCGGTAAATATTCCTGGATTGGACGTATCTATCCAAATTTGGTCTGATTCTGTGAGAATTCACGAAGGATATCGAAAGATACAAAAAAAAGATAGATTTTATGTATAAACTAGAGACAAGTTTATGATAGTTTTCAAAAGTTGGTATGTTTGAGAATCTAGATTAATCGAGTTTTTGAGCAATTCACTCACCGGGTTGTCCATTCTCGAAGAGTTGTCTCGCCGCGTGAATGTTCGCAATCGATTCCCGCGAGATTCCTTCTCGGATTTTCGTTCGATCGTACCAAGGCGTATAATCGACCTAAAATAACCCTACAATTACTGTAAAAGCTAATAGAATGGCTCCATATAGAAACGTCGCATAGCCTAAGTTTACTCTCAAACAAACGCTCATCTCTCAACAACAGTACGTTTGTTTCTGCGCGCTTAGGTATCGAATTAAAGTCGAGAAAACGGGTAATTTTTTGAGATATAACACATATTTTTAGCATTAACGAGTGCTTAGAAAAAATGATTGAAAAGTGGCAAAGAAAGAGGCGATTTTTGCCGTGCAAAAAGAGCGTTTGTTTGAGAGCAAACTTAGACTACGTGATGATTCTATATGGAGCCGTTCTATTAGAGTTTTTATGGCAGTCTTCAACACCTTCAGTTAGTTAAAATCTCATAGAATTTCTAAATAATAACCTGTATCTGCCCCGACAGCGACTCCAGACTTTTCCCCTTGGACATCCGCTTTGGTTGCACAGCTTCGTGGATTATTTGCTAAAAATTTCAACAATATTTGAAAATTTTGTAAAAACAAGCAAATCAATCACGGTCATTGCATAGGAAATGGACAATTTAGGTATCGGACACGATCTGGACAAGTGAAGAAACGGGAAAAGAGATTGAGATCTCAGATCTCAAGTATTTCGGGTTTCTTTCATAGAAAGCTTTGGGGAAAACTTTATAATATAGCTAAAATTACAGTAAATTTTCCTGCTCTCTTAAATTATTTCTTACCTTTGTCCTTGACGCCTCTTTTTCGGTCTCCTCCATTTTCTGGAGACGCTGCTTAGGAATTCGGCTGTCGGTGGGGATTGTGACCTGGAAATTGATTTCTAAATATACTTTAGGCTTTTTATAACAGTTCAAAAATAGTTGGCACTTGAATTCAAATAGCTAAAGGATGCCAAAAGATATACTTTTTTGAATCCTAGAACTCAACTCAACGCTTGTTTTGTTGCCTGACTACCATTATCTCACGCAACCTATGCCTTAACATGGAACATGGATTTAAAATTTTGCATTTTTAACATCAAGTGAATAAACTTGATGTTAATGTGATCCTTACAACTATGTATATAGTTTAGTTCCGGACATGCTTTAGAGCAGTTACCTGAGTCGGAAAAAGTTCCCAAGTCTGCTATTTTGCTGTCCAGAAACTCTTTTCGTTTCTTTTCGTACTTTTGTTTAAAACCAATAAATGCACCAATTAAACTACGGTTTTTTTCATCAGAAAAGCCAATTATTTTTCTGCAAAATAACATTAAACCGGGTTTAAAATGTCTTATGTCTGGATTTTTTTGGAAGCGTGAAGTCGGGTAGTCAAAAAGGCGGCTCGATGACCGGTTTAATGATCGGTTTAGACATTTTCACTAACAAAATCTATCTTTGTGTCAATAGATAAAGGATAGAGCACAAAAAGTCTAGTATATAGCCAAATTTTCAGAGAAATTCATTGAGTCAATTTCTTCGTAGAGGCTTTTATAGATTTTTACGAAAAACACGTGTTTTTATGCTCGGATTTGCTTAAAAATGAATCGAAATTGACTTTAAAAGATGGGAATTGAATAAATAAACACTTTTTATTTAGAGAAAATCATCGGTTAATTGGTGAATTTGTTATTTTTCAACGAAAAGAAACGAAAAGAGTTTCTGGACAGCGTAATAGCAGACTTGGGAACTTTTTCCGACTCAGGTAAGTGCTCTAAAGCGTGCCCGGATATCGTAACTCAACTACATAGTTGTAAGGATCACATTAACATCAAGTGAAAATAATTTTTTTGAATCTGATGATAAAATACACCAAAATATACTTATCTTACAAGGATTTTTAACCAAAAAAACCTTTACCTTATTGGAAGCGACAAGCGATGCCGATAGAGCATCGGTGGATCTCCATTTCGGAAATCCGTAGGTTTGTCTCGGCTTTCGCGATTCGTCTTGCTAAAAAAAAAACAAATTGAAACTAATTTTATGTACAAAGTCACCTTTGCGAGAACTTCTTTTCGGCAATTCTCTTCCCAATAATTTTTCACTCCGTGTGCTCGGGGATTCTCGTCGACTCGACCCGCCAGTTTGCTGCCCGCCCACGAATCACTGCTGCTGCCTGCAAGTTCAAATCTTGTAATGCAAATCATAAAATTTTTGACGCAAATTTCTTTCTATCTCTCTTATTCATATACAGAGCAATAAATTGATTCATAAAACGCTAAATATCTATTTGAATAGGAAAAAGCTATAGGCCGGTCAGTCATTTTTAATGACTCTAACATTCAAAAAGAACTTGACAAGAAAATTGCTCGCAATTACATTCGAAAAGATCAAATCTTAAAAAAACAGCAAGATTTTACGCATAGAAAAGATGGGACAAAAAAAGCCGGTAGTATTAGCCAATGATACCAAGATGAAGACTAGGTACGCTATTAGCCAATGATATTAAGATGAAGACTAGGTACGCTAGAAAGGACACACTCATAACAAGTATCGATAGGGATTATCTATAGGGATTATCGATAGGGATCAGTATGCCAAACGAGCAATGTTTACGTAAAGCCTTAAACCGTTCAGCAAGTCAAATGCTGATGATGGTCATGGGGTAGTGAAAGAGAAGAGATGTTCCAAGATGGGGAAGGGAGGGAATGGAGGGAAGGGAGGGGCTGTCAAGGGATGACACCTCTCTTTCCCTTTTCTCTTGCAAATCTCCCCAGCGTCATCTCCATCTGAGGTGTCCCTGTGAAGATAAAAATCAACAAATCTCATCTCAATTTCTTGCAAAATATAGTTATGATGTATTGGGATGTTTTTGAAAGTAGAAAAAAGTAAGAAAAAGAAAGCTTATCAGATGTTTAGCCTTTTTTAACATTGGCATTGGATTTAAGAGATAACCGGCTCTAATTTTATCCCCCTTGTTGTCAGTATTATGAAACTGAGACTGATTTTAGCGTTCTTTTCTGATTTTAGACTGTTTTTAACGTACTTTTTGGAGCCTTCATTGTTTTTGGACTGATTTTAGCGTTCTTTTAACGGAGCTTTCTTTTTTTTTTGACTGATTTTAGCGTTTAAAAAGTTTATCTTTAGTTTTTTTGTTATTTTTCTTAAATGAAGTTTTGCTTCAAATCAAATTACTCTATTCATAGGGCTAAATGAATTATTTTCTCAATCTAGAGAAAAAAAATAAGAAATTTTTGATCATTGCTTTCAAAAATTTGACATCTTTCGTTTCCTAAGCAATTTTCTGAACTTTTCAAAATCAGAAAAACCAATTTATAGTTTTAGAAGCTAATTTATAAGCTTACATTTACTATTAGAATTTCAAGATTACATTGTTGTTTGTATAAATTTAAGAATAGAGAAGAAAGAATAGACGAAACTTTAAAATAAGATTAAGCTAAGCTAGCTAGCTTAAGCTAAGCTAAGCTAGCTAGCTAAAAAGATTAATTGAACATATCTTAAGGATACTTTAACCGATAAGAACCAATCATCTACCTGTCATTTCTCAGTTGATCAGAATAAGTACCAAAAATCAATACAATTCAAGAATGACCAGAGAGTTTTCTCGGGTAAAAGCTTTTGGCAGCAATTTCTAAGGTCTCAAACAGAAAAAAAAAGATGTTTGAGTTAAAAAAAGAGAAAAGATTCTTGTAAAAACAGTGTTTCAATGGAAATAGTGGGGAAATGGAGAGATTGAAAGATTTTGGTGCGGGTGAACGGGATGGGTGACTTCTTCAAGTAGAAGATTTGAGTGGGAGAGGAGGCAAAAGGGGAAATGGGTCCACAAATAAGACCCACTTTTCTCTCTTTTCCATGTCATTCCTCTTTTCAACTCAATGCCAACACGACTCATCTGTGCCTCTATTCTCTTTCTTTTTTTCAACAAACTCTATGTGATTGGTGTTCAGGTGGAGAATTGAGGGAATCAGGTATTAGCTACACTTCTTTTTACAAAATTAGTGAAGTTGATGGGTTGTTTTTGATGCAAAATTAAAAGATTGGTAGTTTTTTGAAATACCTAAAATACTGGTAATCAGGGCTTTTCTAGATCAATATTTACAGGCTAAGCCAAGCCAAAGCCAAAATTTTAAACAAAATTCAATGAAATGTTGAAATACCAGGCAAAAAAAACACCAATTTTTCATCAAAAGTCTCATTCTGTGAGGGAAAAAGATAAAAATATGAATTGAATCAATTAATCAAAAAAAGGAATAGAGTGTATCCCTCGCGAGTAAGTAATTACTCGAATAAATTTGCATGAGTAATAGCTCGAGTAATAGTCGAGTAATGCGTTTTCTAAAAAGTGCGCCTGCGCGAAAAAAATATGAAACCAATTTTTTGCGCAGGTTTTTCAAAAAAATCATTTTTTACATTGGAAGGGAATTTCCCACCAAATCAGTTAAACGGCTGAGTATCTTGAAAAAGTGTCGTATATAATGCGGGACTCGTCATTTTTGCGTCATTTTTTTGCGATAATTTTTGCTGAAAGTACGGTAATTTTTCCCAATTGTGCGTTTTAAAAAACGCATTACTCGCGAGGAACAAACTCTAGAAATGATTGATTATGACAAATAATACAATAGCCAAATAGGAACCAAATGAAAACTCGATGGAAACCGAATGGAAACCTAATAGGAACCGAATGCGAATCGAATGGGAAGCAAGTAGGAACCGAACGGCTCAAATAAGAACTTGACCCGTTTTAGGAAACGCACGATCTACTTTGTTGACGAAAATTTACAGATCAAGACGTATGGTAATTACAGAGCACTCAAAAATAAAATAACAACCAAAAAAGCATGTCTGTTACCACTTTTGAACGCTCTTTCCCCCTAAAACTCATTAGAGTTTAGCTAATTTAGCTAATAGAACAAAAACCGGGCAAATAACTTCCATCGACTAATTCTAAACTCAAATAAATATTTGAGTACATAAAGGGTTTAGCAAGTGATGAGAGAGAGATGCGAGAGAGAATGAAAAGAGAACAAAAATGATACAGAACTTTGGTAATCTGAGGAGTAAACCGAGACCCATCTCACTCACTAGTTTATGTGATCATTGCTGCAAAATAGAAAACGAGTTTTCATTGAATATCTTAAAAATAGTAGCTATGTTTTTCACCGTAGTTTATGGCATTTACAGATTAGATTGCAATGTATTCATAGCTACAGCAATACTTGATAGCTAGTAAGAAGAAACTTGGCAGCTATTAAGAGACTTAGCAGTTCTTAAGAGACTTAGCAGCTCTTAAGAGACTTGACAGCTATTAAGAGACTTGACAGCTCTTAAGAAACTTGGCAGCTATTAAGAAACTTGGCAGTTCTTTAGAGACTTAGCAGCTCTTAAGAGACTTAGCAGCTATTAAGAGACTTAGCAGCCCTTAAGAAACTTGGCAGCTCTTAAGAGACTTGGCAGCTCTTGATAGGTTTAGAAATGGGTTATTGAAGAGGAAATGAAGTGTTGAGGCTTAAAAATAACTTTTCTATTATTACGGTCTTTTACAATATGCTTACAGTACTCTGTGATCCCTATTGTAAATACGATTTTCAAATGTTCACCTCCATTTTGATGTCCTCCGCCTCCATTTTGATGTCCTCCACCTCCATTTTGATGTCCTTCACCTCCACCACTTGGATTCCTCGATCCATGTCGCACCTCCCAAGAGACTCGTCTAAAAAGCGTCAATAAATTCAATCAATATACAATTCAATGAAAAAATATCCATTTCATAAAGCCTAATGTACTCTAATTTGACATAAGATCGCTAAAAAAAGATAATTTATAGACAAACTTTATTGATTGCTGTTCGTTGTTGACAAGCAAATCGCCGAGTGATTGTGAGCGTAAACGAGTCAACGATGAATCGTCAACACTGAAAAGAATAGAGTTGGATACAGAAATTCTGTGAATATTGTAAAACTTTCCAAAAAAAAAACTCACTGATTAGCGCTTGAAGGACCCCCATGCAGCCTTGGATCAACATCTTCAGCTCTTTCTAAAATCAAATCACACTTTCCACCATAACCAACAGGGTAAGAGCTCTGTCTCAAGAAGTCAAGGGTTTAATCCACAAGATTATTGACTTTTTTCCCTACATTTAGGCTTAGGCTTAGGTTTAGGGCTTAGGGGCTATGCTTGTTTATACCATATTATTCTATATCTATATATTTTTAATAAACTACCGTAACCATTGATCCCGTAGTTGTCTCTTCTGTTTAGTGAAGATGATGGTGACTGAAATGATTGAATAGATTGAATAGATTTCCTTTATTTCATCACTAACCGGATCTCTGATTGCTACATGAGTGATATGTCGATTCTCTTTCACGAAACTTCCATGATGTCCATTCTCGAGTTTACGTCGTCGGAGATCTTCTTGTGATGCGTAATGGTTACTGGAAATGGTTACAGGGAAATGCAGGATAGTTTCTTGTTGTTTAAAAATCGGATTACGGTAGCTTTCGAAAAATGGCAGCGTTTAAAAAAATGGATTAAGAACCTCGACTCACCCATAACTTGCCACTTCATTACTGCTTCCAGGTATTCCCGGTGGGAAACGTCCTTCAACTTCTTCGAACTCGAGAGAAGGCTGTAATATCAATAACAATTTACACTAATAATTTTCTTTTGCATTTACCGGCCCTTTTGTCCGATCAATCGGTGAGTAGCCGCCAAAGTAGACGTGTTTTCGTGCGATCGCCGGGCTGGCTGAAGGATGCTATTTTATATGAAGATATCATCTACTATGTATAAAAGAGTAGGGTCTGTCTGTTTGTTTGTTTGCTTGTCTGTCTGTCTGTTTGTTTATCTGTTTGTTTGTCTGTCTGTCTGTCTGTCTGTCTGTCTGTCTGTCTGTCTGTTTGTTTATCTGTTTGTTTGTCTGTTTGTTTGTCTGTCTGTTTGTCTGTTTGTTTGTCTGTCTGGTTGTCTGTTTGTTTGTCTGTCTGTTTGTCCGTTTGTCTGCCTGCATTCTCTCGGCCGTGTTTTGACCAATAAAGCTAAAACTTCTTTAGAAAACCTTAGAATATATTGTAATTGTGCCATTTAAAAATTAAAAAATTAAAAAGTCAGAATTGAGTGACACTGCGGGGATTGAACCCAGACTATGTAGGCCGTAGACAAGCACATTCCCGACTGTGCTATAGCGAAAGAAAGGTCAGCTCCAAAATCATGGCTTTACCGGACGTCAAAGGAGCCCTTCTTCGGAGACTCGGCGAGGCTGTTTTCCGGGGAGATGAGTCCTCCAACTCCATCTCTTTGAAAGAGAGAAGTCTAGAAAAATAGCTGTAAGATTTCGAAAAAGAATCAATAAATATCTATTCTTCAATGATTCTAAAAATCCTGAATGCCAAAATAATTGCGTATTCAAAAGAATTGATGATGTGAGAAATTTGGTCTAAAAGAAAAGAGTTGAGAAGATTTGGATATCTCTTAATGATCAAAGAGTAATTTAAAGATCAAAGAAAAGAGAATGAGCAAAGAAAAAATACATTTAAATGTCTAAAAAAGTGTCTTGAAATGAAGCTACCGTAAATACTGTAATAGTACCCCCACCCCCATAATGACGGTGCGGAGTGTTGCGAAGTCTAGCTTTGAAGGAGTTTTTCTCGACACTGGTTTATGCTACAATGCGCGCTTAGGTATCAAAAAATAGCCCTGAATTTCAGCTATTTTTTGATACCTAAGCGCGCATTGTAGCTTAAACCAGTGTCGAGAGAAACTCGTTCAAAGCTAGACTACGCAACACTCCGCACCGTCATTATCTTTGGTATCAAAAAATAGCCCTAAATTTCAGCTATTTTTTGATACCAAAGACGCATTTTTTGAAAGTACAGGCGCTTTGAAAAAAATGAAATACTAAAAAACTTTTGCGACTACGCGACTGTACGAGGTGGGGTGGGGTAGGTAGGTCATTTTTCATCGTTTTTCATTTATTTTCAAATGAAAAATCTCTCAAAGTTGTTGATAATGCTTGATTTAAAACAGGAAATGAAATGAAATGGACTTTTCTTCTGAAATTTCTAATTTTAATGTTAAATTCAAATTTAACACTAAAATTAGAAATTTCAGAAGAAAAGTCCATTTCATTTCATGCTTTACATCAAAAAGAACAATGAAAAAAAGCTAAAACTAACAAAAAGTTAACAAAAAGTAAGCTAAAAAACTTTTCAATTAAAGATTTTGAAAATTTTAGCCGATTTTTCAAAGAAACTCTAAAAAGTTTAAAAAAATAAGCAAATTTTGAGATAAAAAATTTGAGATTTATTTTAAAATTGATAGAAATAAGTGTGAAAAGCTTTCAAATCGATCAACCGATCAATCGATCAAATTTGAGCTATAGTGAGAAGCAACTTTCACCTTTTCTGAATCAAAAGTTGAATGAAAGTTGATGAAGTTGATGAGATCTTGATGATTGGAAGAAAAAGAAAAAGAAAAAGAAAAAGAGGATTTTGAGTGATCGACCACTTGATGATAAAAGAAAAAGACAAAAGAAAGCATTCCAACAATCTGATTGAAGATGAAATGGATTGAAGAGAAAGGGGATTGAAGAGAATGGGGACCGGATTTGGCACCCCTTTCCCTCTTTTATTTCATCAACAATCAAGAGATCGTAAGTATTTTCAAAGTATTAGGTTGGCAAGTTTATAGAAGGTTTAAGTTCTCAGAAAAAGTTTGCACAGTGATTTCTCAAAGATCAACCAAAACTATAGGTTAACTGGTGAATTTGTTATTTTTCAACAAAAAAAGAATCAAAAAAATCTTTCTCGACAGCCTAATATGAATAAAATGATCATTTAATAAAAAGTGGATAGTTTTTAGATAGGATGTTGATAGATATAACTGCATTTTTCTTTAATATTAGTTCTCAAAAGTTCTCGAAGGAAAGAAAGGGTACTTGTCGGTTATACATCCACAAAGATCTCGGTCTATAAATCTCGGTTAAGCATCCCCATCCGAGTCTACTCGGTTATCGATTTTCGTTCAACTGATCGACTGATCACTTCAGACGAGCACTCTACTTCACTGAACACAATCACCCTTCACAAGTTGTCAGCTTCTTGCTTAACCGAGTTGAGTCTCTGTGGATGTATAACCGATGTGTAACCTTCTCGGTTATCGGTTATTTTCTCTAATAGTAGTGCACCCAGAGCGTCACCTACATTGCTCGAAATCTCGAAAACCACTTATCAGAACCTATCGATGTGGGGTCGGAAAATGTAGCTGACGATGAGATCTTGTGGGGGATTAGAGTGTTGAGCTTCTGTGAAAACTTTGGAAGCCGTAGAATAGTCATCAACTCGGCTCGACCGGGTGCACTTCTATTAGAGAGAATACGGTATATTTGGCATCAATTTGCTCAATTCTGTGCACTGTATACTGTACTTTTTCCGTATATTTAATTTCCTTAGCACTTTTCTAAACATTTTTATTGTTTGTTTTTTTTATGAGTAATTTCTTGGAGTCGACTTGTAAATAATAGAACAACAAAGTTCTTGAATTAGTGGATTCGTTTTAAGAGTCAAATTCGAGTCAAACTTCTCCCAGAACTTTCTTTCCAACCTAATATTTCTAGTTGTAAGCACTTGTAAGCCATTCCAACAACAAGTTGAAAGCTGATTCTACAGAATGTTCAATATTTTATTGGAATAGACTAGATTTAGAGCTTATTTTGTACAAGTTTAATGCTAAAAAGGAAACACATTTATCAATACGCCCAATGTTAACAACTTTAAGTGCCTTTTTTTCCTCAAAATTATTGCCTTTTGCGCTATTGTTTACCTAGAAACAACTGTGGAACAAAGGTTGAATAAATTGAGTTTAAAGTATAGATTTATTTAAAATAATTAATAATTAACAAGAAATGAATAATTAACAAAAACAAATACACAACTTAACTGCCATAATACCAGAGAAAAACTCAAGTAAAAGAAAAGAATGAAAAAAGAGCTAAATTTTCTAGCTGCTGGGATCGAACCTGGGAGGTTCTGGTTAGGATACCTATACTTCTGGTTAGGATACCTATACTTCTGGTTAGGATACCTATACTTCTGCTTAGGATACCTATACTTCTGCTTAGGATACCTATACTTCTCGTTAGGATATAGGATCCAAGGCTGCTAGCCATTCAGTCAACGCGACATGCGATTGCAAGGCGAGAATTTGTTACAAGTTTAAGCTTTCTTAAAAGAATCTAAAGAATTTAGCTTAAACTGGCTTAAAATAGATTCAAAAAACAAAAAAATGATATCTTTAAATAAAAAACTAGAGCCTGACTTTGGTGTGCAATATTTATGAAGACTTCTAAGCTCGCAGATCGTTAGTAATTGGTTTATGAAAGAAAAAAAAGCGTCAAGAAAGCACTGGAAGTTGGAATAAACTTCGACGTGATGAAATTGATGCTTTGATAATTGATTGATTGATTTGAAAAAGCTTTGATGAAATTTGATGATCGAGTTCCGATAAATCCATTTTTGGAATATCAAATTTAGTAAACTAAAGATAATCTAGAAAAATCTAGAAAGTCGAAGTTTATTCCAACTTCCAGTGCTTTCTTGACGCTTTTTTTTCTTTCATAAACCAATTACTAACGATCTGCGAGCTTAAAAGTCTTCATAAATATTGAACACCTTGTACATTGAATATTTCAGCTATTTGTACGCTTTTTCATCTCATCCACAATCAAGTGTGAGTATTTTCTTTTGCTTAAAACAATTACAAATATAAACATCACTTTGTAATCACTCTCGATCACTTTGTAAACTTTTATAAACCTTTCAATGGCTTAGCTCATTTCAAGAACAACATTTTCGACCTTTCCGACAGTTTTAAAAGTGCAAAATGTTAAACTCTAGAATAGCATTCTGACTCGATTCGCTGAAGAGTCAAAAATGTGAATAGAATGAGGTCAAATTGAGTAGAATGAGTCAAATCTGAAAGAAAGATAGATGATAGCTTTCTAAATTATTCACTTTACAACTTGCGAGCTACTCTATTTAGTTACAGGATACGGTAGTTAATCTGTAAGTATGAGAAATGCAGCCAACTGTTAGATGCAGCCAACTGTTAGATGCAGCCAACTGTTAGATGCAGCCAACTGTTAGATGCAGCCAACTGTTAGATGCAGCCAACTGTTAGATGCAGCCAACTGTTAGATGCAGCCAACTGTTAGATGCAGCCAACTGTTAGATGCAGCCAACTGTTAGATGCAGCCAACTGTTAGATGCAGCCTACTGTTAGATTAAAGACCCTAGAAATTCCAGATGTAGAAATTTTAAAGATTTGAAACTTTACTATTCTATGGAAAGCTTTAAAATCGAAGTTTAAGATGCGAAAAAAACAAAACACTGAAATCCATACATTCAATTACCTTTATTCAAATAAAATCAAGCATTGAATCAACTTAGAAATAAGCTAATCAATTAAATATTGGATTTTAAAAACAAAGAATCATAGATGAGAGTTGAAAGAGCTTAATCTCCACAGCAGCATGGGTAAAGGGGGAAGAAGGAGCACATGCACAGGTCCAATCCCTCTTCCCCATTCTCTTTGATCTTTCTCTCGAAGCCCCACCAAAAGTCTCAGGCGTGCTAAACGGCCGAACACAAATACAGACACGCAAGTGAAAAGAAAAGAGAAGAAAAGAAAGAAAAGAAAAAGAAGAAAAGAAGAAAAGAAAAGAAAAGACTTTTCCCCTTAAAGACTAAAGACTTCTAAGCGTATTGGGCTTGAAGGAGAGATTTCAGAAGAGAGAGAGGGGGGAAATCGTCCGCGAATTCCCAGCACAGCAATTCTCTCCAAGGTTTGGTCCCTTTTTTCTTTTCTCAAGTACTCTCTTTACGAGACGGTCCTCCACTTTGTGGCTAATCGAGTCCTCGATTTCTTCTTTAAAACAGCCGGCCATTTGGTCACCCACTTAAACCAAATTTAGGGCTGATATGGGTTTGGTGTTGAGAAGTTGAATTACACGTAGACTTACAAGGGAATGGTCTCAGCTTAAAGTTTGGAATCGACTGGAAACACAGTGCATAACATAGAATCGGTAATGGCAAAAATTAGCCGCTAATAGCCACGGAAACGCGAGGAATCTGGCATGCAAAATCGGCATTGAAAACTGATTCCTTTATAAGGCTTCTCTCGATACCGGCTAATTTTTGCGACGTTTTTTTCGCCATTACCGATTCTATGTTATGCACTGTGTTTCCAATCGATACCAAACTTTGAGCTAAGACCATTCCCTTGTTAGGTTCGTTTTTAAAGGTGTTGTCTATCACTACAGTTAGCTGGAGTTACAGTAAAAGCTCAACCACTTGATTGCCCACTTGAGATGCTCGAATTTGGGATTGATGTGGGATTGGTTTCAAAAAATCATATACTTGCAGGTAAAGTGGATAGTTTAAAGGTACTGTACTGTAACAAGGTACTGTACTGTAACAAGGTAATGTACTGTAACAAGGTACTGTACTGTAACAAGGTACTGTAACAACACTTGTCGTAGTTTATTACAGTAAAAAGGTGTGGTACGGGCTCACTACAGTACGCTAGCTTTCTTTTCCCGTAAACAGTCTAGGCTAGATCTTTGCACAATTACGGTTTACTGAAAATTCGGCGTTTTAACTTGTACGATATTAGCTTAGCATTTGGGCATGCAAAATTTGAGATTGCTTTTGAAAAATTGAATAAAACGGCTTGACTCGAAAGTGAAGAATGACTGATAACTGATACTAGCCATTTTCATACATTTTCTAACACTTTCAATATACAGGGTGCGTCATAATTACTGCAACAAGAGTTCAAAGACCGTTTGTAATGTCAAGAATGTGATGTCATGAGCGTGTAAAGCCAATAACACAATCAAAATTGGACCTTCATGCAAGATGGAGCTCCCGCTCACACGAAGAAGACGGTTCAGGACTGGTGTGTGGCCAACTTTCCCTCAGTGATCACCAAGGATGAATGGCCTCCAAACTCACCGGATCTCAATGTGATGGACTTTTCCATTTGGGCAATCTTCGAGGCTAATGTCTGCTCTCGAAAACACAAAGGATGATTTGACCAAAGGATGGAAGGCAACTCCTCAAGATGACATTCGGACCACAGTGGAGGCATATCCGAACCGATTAAGGGCTGTTAGCAAGGCAAAAGGCGGTCATATCGAATGATCTCTTGTTTCCTTATTTGTTACTGTTAAATAAAGCTATTTCTGTTTAAAAATCTTCTTCCAGTGAAACTTCTTGGTGTGCAATGCCTTGAGTATCTTGTTGCAATAATTATGACGACGCACCCTGTAATTCTTCTTCACTCTCAACAGATCAGATCCACTTTAAAGTCAATATACAACGATTAAGCAAAAAAGAGATAAGCGAGAATAAGAGATAGATTCAATAGTGGATAAGAGAAATATGAAAATGTTTAAGCGAGATTATCGGTGGAGATTTTGTGTTAAAGATCCGCATCGATCACGATCTCGGGAAGAGCAGAGGACCAATCAGATGCATATTCATTCAATTTTACATTTAAATTTGCCTCTGTCTGCCTCTGAAACTTTTTTTTTGTGCCTCAATTAGATGAGTAAAGCTTTTTCTTTGAGAAGATCCAATTTCAAAGAGACTCTTTCTTGGACACTCGAAAAAAAAGGAGAATGTTTACGATTGTTTCAATTCAAAAAGAGTTTTTTTTCTTTTTTTTTAAGTCTTTATTCAACATGATAAGTGGTACAACACACGGGGGGACATTTTCCCCTACAATGTAGTTAAGGAACCCCCCTTAATGGGAGCCCTTTGTCTCGCCAGCGGACCCTGGGCCCCCCGATTAGAGACAGCTCCTCCTCGGCTGGCTCACGGCACAATGATTTCATTTTTTAGTGAAAAGAGATGAAAAGAGAAAATTAAGGCATTTTTAGACCAAACTATAAGTTTTTTTATTTCAATTTAGAATTCAAGATTAAAAAAAGCTGATTAGAAAACAATTTGCAAGAAAAACTCTAGACTACGTGGAAAGTTTTCTTGATGAGCGTTTGGGAGCAAGATGTTATCAATCGCTTCATCACAAACATCACAAACGATCACAATTTGGTTCCTTTCCGGTCTAGATTTGGTTCGACGATCTCGTCCGAGTCTCGAACATCTTGCTGACGGGAAACGCCGGGGTTCTCCTGAAAAAAACAAACGAGATTAAAGTCCCTGGCTTAGCCCCATCATCCGAATCACAGTAAAGCAAAGGGACAGACTGAAAACCTTTATCTTCAAGACTAATCCCCAAAATAAGAGGTGAAAAACATCCACGCTTACAGGGTATCCAATAAAAAAAAACTGAAAATTAACAACTAACAGCTTACAGCTAACAGCTTACAACTAACAGCTAACAACTAAAAACTAAAAACTAAAAAACTTTTAAAATCAAATTTTCGAAAAAATTTAAGTGGTCTTGAAAAAAAAGTGTTTTTTTGAGCAGGTTAAATTTCAAACGTTTTTTGAGAATTTTTAAATTTCACAATTCACAAAAAATTCCAGCCAAATGCAAAAAGCTAGTCCTCAATACTAGTCCATAAGCTTGCCTAAATTGCTCGAAATCTCGAAAAGCGCTTATCAGAACCTATCGATGTGGGGTCGGAAATTGTAGCTGACGATGAGATCTAGTGGGGAATTGGAGTGTTGAGCTTCTGTGAAAATTTTGGAAGCCGTAGAATAGTGATCAACTCGGCTCGACCGGGTGCACTTCTATTGGAGAGAATATTTGCTCTTAAAGTTGTATTTGCTATTTGCTCTTAAAGTTGCAGCTTTGCTGAGTTGCAGCTTCAATATTATTGTTAATTTTGGAGTTTATAGCAATACATTCATTATTTTCACTAGATTTTCTTCAAGTTTTCAATCCCGGTGTCTAGCTATCATATTTACCGTATTTTCTCTAATAGTAGTGCACCGTGAGCGTCGCCTAAATTGCTCGAAATCTCGAGAACCGCTTATCAGAACCTATCGATGTGCGGTCGGAAAATGTAGTTGACGATGAGATCTAGTGAGGGATTAGAGTGTTGAGCTTCTGTGAAAACTTTGGAAGCCGTAAAATAGTCACCAACTCGGCTCGACCGGGTGCACTTCTATTAGAGAGAATACGGTATATTTGGCATCAATTTGCTCAATTCTGTGCACTGTATACTGTACTTTTTCCGTATATTTAATTTCCTTAGCACTTTTCTAAACCTTTTTATTCATCCGTATTTGTATTTCACAAAGTTTTTCAAAAAAGAAAAAGAGAATCGATGAATATAACCAAAAAAAATAAATGGGAAAAATGATATCGATAGTGGAAGAAATTTTTGCAAAAAAAAAAATCTATTCTTCAAATGAAAAATAATTTAAATTTGAATGACTAAAATTGTAAAGCTGAAGCTTCAAAGTGGGATGGAAAAACTGGGAATTTTAGAATCTAGAAAGAATTAGAAAGAATTTTAGACGAAATATTTCAAAATTTCAAAAAAAAATAACCGGGATTTTTGTGAGGGTGAGAATCGGCAAACGAAAAAACGAAAAAAAATGATGATTTTTAAAGTTTGAAATATAGTACTATTGAAAGCTTTGGTTTAGAGAAAAGATGGGGAAAAATTGGAGGGAAAATTGGAGGGAAAATTGGAGGGAAAATTGGAGGGAAAATTGGAGGGAAAATTGGAGGGAAAATTGGAGGGAAAATTGGAGGGAAATGTTGGAGGGAAATGTTGGAGGGAAATGTTGGAGGGAAAATTGGAGGGAAAATTGGGGGAAAATTGGGGAAAATTGAGGGGAAATGGTGTGACCAGTACTAATGAATGGAAATGTAAATCAATTTCCAAAAGAATTTGAAAATTCTTCCGTTTTCATCTCGGCATTCAACTCGGTTTTGATGGTGCTCGTGGGTTTTTGACCGCGAAGTGTCTCGATGAAATCGATTATCTCAAAGAAAACTTGTTTTTTTATTCATTTCAACTTTCTTCTAATACTTTAATCTTTAGATTTGAATATATTTGAGTGCTCCAATGCACTTTTGTTCAATAGAAAGTTCAATAGAAACGCAAACTTTCTAATGCACCACCTTTGACCATTTTCATCTCATTTTTGCGTCTTGATAAGGTGCTTTTACGAAAAAATAGCAAATCATATGCGCTAGAAAGGATGCGTTTCCATTTTTTTTGAGCACAAAGTATATAAGAACGAGTTCATGATGAACGAGCCAGCAACTTGGCTTACAACTAGAGTGTGTTCCTCGCGAGTAAGTAATTACTCGAGTAAATTTGCATGAGTAATTGTCGAGTAATGCGTTTTCTAAAAAATGTGCCTGCGCAAAAAAAAATATAAAAGCAATTTTTTGTGCAGGTTTTTCAAAAAAAAAATCAGTTTTTACATTGGAAGGGAATTTCCGACGAAATCAGTTAAACGGCTGAGTATCTTTAAAAAGTGTTGTATATAATGCGGGACTCGTCATTTTTGCGTCATTTTTTTGCAATAATTTTTGCTAAAAGTACGGTAAAAAGTGCATTACTCGCGGGAAACACACTCTACTTACAACTAGATCACAGTAATTAATTGAGAAGGTTTAAAACTGGATTCAAAGCCTGTAGCCAGGTAGTCAGACCAGTCAAGTACAGAACTTTTAAGTAGTAAAGCCAATCTAGGCCCTGAAGTCAAATCCGGCTCTGGCTTCTGGTCCTTACCTAGCTCTGGCTCAGGCTCAGGTCTAAGCCTGAGATTGGGGATCAGAGCCCAAAAATGGCTCTGATCAACTAGCCTAAGCCTGAGATTGGTAAACCCTGTTAGCAGATTTTTCTACTAGTTATTTCTTCAACAGTATTCGACTTGTAAATGAAAATCAAGACTGTCAGATTAAATGGATCGTAGCCTTGAAAATTCTCTCATAAAAACTCACCCTCAACGCAGGTCCAAGCGGGATTCCCATGTGTTTGATGATACTTTCTGTTTGCAATAATGCCAACGCTCGGCCATCAATTTGCTGAAAATATATTTTATAAGATTTGAAGCTTTTCCACATACACTATTCTTGAATTTTTCTACAACAGCCGGCTCGAATTTCTTGCTTAATTCCTCTTCAACTCTTTCCATTGTCCATTGAGCGAATGGTTGAGAAGAGATCCCAGAACCAGAGGTTTCTGAAAGAATTATAAGATGTCTGTAAAGATTTATATAGACATTTATATAGACATTTATATAGACATTTATACAGTGCTTTATTAGTGATAAAGAAGTGACAGCCGCAGAATATTGGAATTTAGATCTTGCACTACCAGCACTTACCAGCACTTGCATCGGAAAGTGTGTCCATGTTGCTTCGATGGCGACTACTCGACGCTAAAAATGGCTTTGATCAACTAGTCTAAAAAGCTGAATAGCTTTTTTCCATTGACTAACCAGCACTCGTTGTCACAATTCCATCATCGACATCATCAGGACTGATCGGACATTGGTGACAAGGTGTGGGCGAATCAGCGATTAAATTAGGGCAACAACCAATCTAAATAAACCAACCAATATCGACTAAAATTTCAGGTTTCAATCTTGCGTTTTCAGATATATTTTCAGATAATTCAGATAGAGAAAAAGAATTTGTTGAATTGTTGAAAAAGGCTTTAAAAAAAAAGGATTTAATTAATCAGCCTCACCTTTTGCAAGAGTTTCTTTATATAACTCCAGGCAGCGGTCACGTTTTTCACGATTGGAATATAGCGAACATTTGTGAAACCAGAAACTTGAGCTGAAATTTGAATCTAGTGAAATCTAGTGAAAATTTTCTGAGATTTGTGTGAATTTGATTTGAAACTTGAAAAAAAAACCTGTTACAGCAAGGATTTTCACGGGTCCAGCCTCGACTTTTCGATAGATTTGCACGTGCTCGCTTCCACAATTTATCAACTGTTGCACTACCTAAAGTCATTTTGATATATAGATTTTGATACAGATTTTGGTATGATGCAGATTTTGGGCTGATACAGCTTTTTGATCTAATACAGATTTTGAGCTAATACAGATTTTGATCTGATACAGCTTTTGATCTGATACAGATTTAGATCTAATACAGCTTTTGATCTGATACAGCTTTTGATCTGATACAGCTTTTGATCTGATACAGCTTTAGATCTGATACAGCTTTAGATCTCATACAGCTTTAGATCTAATACAGCTTTAGATCTGATACAGCTTTAGATCTAATACAGCTTTTGATCTATTAGTCCCACTTCTCTGACTACGTGATGAATTGAAAGTGGTCCGATCACTCGCGGTAATTCCTGGATCTTCTGTGTGCTTAATAGGTTCCCCGATCGACAATGACGATTCACAAACACTGTCACTGAAAAAGAAAGATTAGGCTTTTCATAATAAACAATAAAGCTACAAAACTAGCTATTGGCAAGTAATAATACGTCACTGTAAATGTTCTTATTTGATCAATTGTAACTTTAACGCTCAATTCACTCACTGCTTCGTTGACTCATCGGCACCGAGTCACCGCAACTCAACATCACATCGGTGGGGACGCCTTGCTGAAAAATGATAATTTTACAACTTTGCAATCAACTTCATCTCGAAAAATCGGATTGTACTGTAAACATTCTAACTAGCTATGTGGTGATAGATTTTGAAGAAGAAGAAGAAGAAGAAGAACAACAACAACAACAACAACAACAACAACGACAACAACAAACAAAGGATCCGACCTGTCCAACCTGTCCGAGGGGTTCTTTCCCAGCAGAAACGGGTGTAGTTGTACCGATTGGCGGTCGAGGACTTGTTGATCCGTTCACTGCTGGACTTCCAGCCACTGAAGCCGATGAAATGTTCGCTGAGGAAGAAGCTGAAAGCTTTTTACTATTAGAAATGGTTCTTAATGTTGGAATCTATCCCTTGCATTCTTTGATACACTTTTTACTCAAAAACACCTTTTCTAATGCACTAAAACTGTGCCAGAACGGGTGAGTTCACATTTTGAACATAGAGAACAAACACAAGACCTTGTTTGATCAATCAAAACTCTAAAACTAGAGTCTAAAACTCAAAATCGAACCTTCCGATGATCCTCTCGCAGTCGGTTCGACAGTTGAGATCCTCTTCAAAGGGATATCGGAATATTCCTAAACATTGAAATGAATTGATTTTTACTTTTCTCAAACCATTTCTATCGTTCGCTTCTTGACGATTGCTGGTTTTGGAACAGTGACGGGTTTTGGAGGCACTGGAAATGATTTCACTGACAAGAGAATGGTTAGAAGTGCGATTTAGTCACCAAAATTAGATGCAAAAACCCTATCGAATACAGCGAATACGATGGTGCTTTCGGATTTTGTTAGGAATCGCTAGTTTTCGAGGAAAACGGCTTGGAAATTTCGGCGTCTACTCGAACCGAGGTAACGGCTCAATAGATTGAGTACGCTTCTATAAAACGACTTCTTTCGGGCAAAGTAAAAGCGCTTCTGTGGTTAACGGGTAAAGTCCTCGCCTAATGCTAGCAACCCTGGTTTGGTCCCGGTCAGCGCTTTTGTTACAGACTTTTTATTTTATATTACTTCTGATCATTCGCTCAATCTGAAGGCTCAATAGGTTGAGGCTTTGCCCTGGTAGAAAGGACAGGGTTCAATTCACAAAAGGACAGGGTTCAATTCACAAAAGGACAGGGTTCAATTCACAAAAGGACAGGGTTCAATTCCCCCCCCTTTCTTTGACATTTTCAAACTCACATGGTTTCCCTTTTGACAACATTGGTCGATTCGTTGGATTCGCTCCAACATCGGAAAGTCGTTGAATTGGAACTGGCGGCGGCTTTTTGACAGCAACAGGAATTGGAGGGATTTTTGAGGGTTGAGTTGAAATGGATGATTGAAATAAACGATTGCTTTGTGTGGAGAATTTTCCCGCTCCTCTCACTGGAGCTTGAGCGATTTGTGGATTAATTGCGTGATCTAGAAAAGGAGAATTTATCTTAAATTTAGCTTAAACTTGTCTAAACCTTAAACTTTATACTGTACTATTTTCCCTACTGTACTATTTGACTGTACTGACTGACTGTACTATTTTAAGCTCACAAGTATTTTGAGTGTACTCAAATCTGTAAACACACCTTTTCCGATGCATTGAATTTCTTAGTTTTGTTTGTCTCCTAGTAAACTGGATGAGTTGAAGAAATCGGTTCACTAGGAAAGGTGTGTTTACCTATTTGAGTACAAAGTATGCAAGTATTAGCTGGATAACTTATCCTAAACCTTTTCTAGATCCAGTCTTATCAAAACAAACTTCTTAAAATCTGCATCGACGGTGCAGCGACTTCCAATCCGGCAAGTGCACTCCATCCAACTGGATACAAAGCTCTTGATGTGTAATGCTCTTCAATATCATAACTTGATGACCATCCATCAAAGTGAATTGTCAACATTCCCTGAATACCTTTTATAAAAGAAAAATTCTTTAGACCATCCAGGTCTAAAGGTTTTTATTTGCCGACCGACCCTCTTGCTGCCATGGCCAACTGGCTAAGGCCTTTGTCTCTTAGTCGGGACCCGAATCCCGGGAGGTCAGGTTCAATCCCGCCGATTAGTTTTTCTTTTTTCTTTCTTACATTTAGGACCATCCAGGTCTAAAGGTTATTCTTTGCCAATCGACCCTCTGCTGCCATGGCCGACTGGCTAAGGCCTTTGTCTCTTAGTCAAGGCCTCAGTCCCAGGGGATCAGGTTCAATCCCGCCGACCGACGCCGACTTCTTTTTTTTCTTTCTTACATTTAGGGATTGTCCTTTGTATTCTTTGTATCAAATTATTCGTGTGAATAAATATATTTAAAACATACATCTTTCACTTTCACGACGGTGGCCACGTGAGGAACACCGGAGAAATTTTTCTGATCAATCGCCTCCAATTTCTGGCCGACTTGGAAATAGCACTTGGATGGATGATATTTTCGATTGATCTAAAAATATTTTATATTTTTATCTGTGGATTCCTCTTGACGCTTTCAAAAAGCAGCCTGAGCCTGAGCTTTCAAAAAGCAAAAAGCACCGAAAACTAACGTTATCCAATGCTAGTTTTCATCTAAATCAGCTAAATTTTGATATGATTTGATTGATGGAGGAATCGTAAGGCTCGGCGAATGATATAAAAATTGAGCTGATTAAATGAAAACTGGCTTTTATATTACGGTGGTTTTTCTAAGATAAATGTCTTTTAGTCTTTTAGTAAAGAAATTTTGTGCAAATTAGTGATTAATTTAAATGAGTGATTAAATGAAATGTGATGTTTGTAAATGAGTGAATTAATGAATTTTACCGAATGAAACCATTCCGATTTCGCCAATTTCCCCTCTCCATTCTCATCCAATGTGTTGATTTGTTTATCTTTCCATTGATGAAACCCGCGAAGGCTGTGCAGATAGCCGACTGGGGGATTCAGGCCGATATCGCCGCTGAAACTTTTTGAGATTATCTATGAAGTTTAGTCTATGCAGTTTAGTCAATTTCATTCATTTATCTCATAGTTTAGTCAAGTTCTGTATAAGCTTTGGATTCTGAATAAAATTGATGATGATAATTGATGATGATTAATGTAATTGATGAATGATTTCTTTCACCTAATCGCTTGAATCCCCGAATCGTCGCACATCACCCATCGATCGTCTGAATGATCTGTGCCCTGGAAGTTAACGGCATACAAGTACAAGCCTTCATTTTGTTTTCAAGTCTTCATTTTGTTTTCTCCAAAAAATTCCCTCACCTCAAGTCGGATATTTATCCATGGCCCATGCACGGCTTGGATACTCCCCAAACACGGCATGTCACCGCCTGAAACAATCACAATTAAATAGATAAAAGATTAAAAGATAAAGATTAAAAGATAAAGATTTAAAGTTAGAAAAGTCTTTTCTTTTTAAATCATCTGGATTTAGCTTCTACTAGCTTCGCAAAATAAAGAGAGAAATAAATGGAAAGAGATTTCTTGTTCACACCTCTCCTATAATGCAAACAAGGTTTTGTAAAAAGCTTCAGCATTACAATTGATATTCTAGATAGGGCCAGAGTTGAAATTTCTCCAATCAAATTTCTTTTCTGCATTTATTTTTGCCTCCAACAGTTCTTCTTTTGTTCATCTGATGATCGGACTAACATAACTCTAACTAACTAACATTTTCTTTCAAAATTATCAAAATTCTAGGCTCTATAACTTTGTCTAGATATAATATTTGATATGGTATATTTGATATTTAAGCTAAATTAGGAACCCGCAACCTCTCGCTTACCGGGCGAACGACCTACCTCTACCAATGAGCTATACCAATCCCATTCGCTAAGGCCTTATGCAGTTCTAAACGAGATTAATCAGTAAGGATCAATCTCGTTTAGATTGCGGTTTAGATAGATAGATGAAAAGATTGCGTTGGGCTTTTTGCGCTTCCCTAGTGAAATCAAATATGTGAAATTTTCAAGGGTAAACTTGATAAGAGTTACAAGCTAACTTTGAAGCTGGTTGGGATAGATAGATGAAAAGATTGCCTTGGGCTTTTTGAATAGCGAATAGTTTTTTGAATTTCCTAGCTTTGAGCTTTTGATATGGTTCTAAAGAAGCTTTCAAAATGATATAAAATAGAAATTGATTGGAACAATTCCTGAGTCCTGAGAGACAAGAAAAGTCGGGTATTCGAAACTCGAAAAGTATTTTTCTCTCCGTTTAGCTGCTGTTTACGTAGTACAAGACGTAGAATTTCTAGCAAAAATACAGCCAAATTTAGGGCAAGAATTGTCACAGGAATTTGGGCATACTGATGCCCACAAGGGCAGAAAATGGTTCAGTCGCTCCCCGTTATTTCCCCTTTAAGGATTCCAAAAAGAAAGCACGTTATACCCAGGTAGTTTGCCAGATGGAAAGCGATTACGCGGCTGCACAAAGAACACCTCGCCAGTCATTTACATAGGGCTTTCTCTTTTGCTTTGTAAATGATTCCCCAAATGAGATTTAGTATTTAAAATTTGTCCCCAGGGGTTTTCGAAGTCGTAGAACCTATTGGTAGAGTTTATTTTAATTCTTTGTCCCAAGAAAAGTCGCAAAAGAATCGAATTGGCTTTGGGTTTTGTATATAATAGCTTATCATATTGATTTGAAGATTAGTAGAATTGGTTCTTTTCGGAAATCCCGGTCATTTCGCAATGAAAAGACAGAGATTTCTGAAAAGAACCAATTCTGCTAATCTTCAAAATATCATATCAATATCAATATGAAATCTTTTATCTTCTTTTATTCTATACCTTTTAAATCCGGAACCACTAACAATCGACCCTTCTCGAATTCATTTTTGGGTGGAGTGGGCGATTGGTTGAAACATATCTGTGGGGCTTTCGTGAAGTTGAACTCCGCGATGTACGTTTCCCAGCAAAATGTTGTCTGAAATTTGTTTTTAGATCAGTTTTTAGATCAGTTTTTAGATCCGTTTTTAAATCTGTTTTTAAATCTGCTTTTAAATCTGTTTTTAAATGTTTACAAAATTCTCTAATCTATTATTATTAAATAATGATATCAATTAAAAAAAAAGGTTTCTTATCTCTTCAACTTTCTATTTTCTTTTGACTTGCTTTTTGCGTAACATTTGCATTGTTTTCGTTCGGTTCCGCTTTCGGATTTTTCTGAAAAAATTAATTTTCTAAAAATTTTTGCTAAAATCTCTATTCATTATTTAGAAATTTTATTCTAAAATGGGGGTGGGACAAATGCGACCTTTTTTTTGCGCACCTGGACATTTGCGCACCTTTTTTTTGCTGGAAAAGGCCTTAGGAAAAGTCGTAGAGCTTCAAAAACGTTTTCACAGAAGGGAATCGTATGCGTAGATTCCGAATTTCGACAAATCAGACCTCGCTGACACGTCAAATTTGGGCTAAAAGGCAAAAACTGCGAAAAAGCGTTAAGTTGCGTAGTTTTTGCCTTTTAGCCCAAATTTGACGTGTCAGCGAGGTCTGATTTGTCGAAATTCGGAATCTACGCATACGATTCCCTTATATGGAAATATTTTCGAAGCTCTACGGCTTTTCCTAAGGCCTTTTCCAGCAAAAAAAAGGTGCGCAAAAAAAAAGGTCGCATTTGTCCCACCCCCTTCTAAAATATATTTATTCTAAAATATATTTATTCTATTTCTATTTATATCTATTATCTAATAATTTTATATGTCAAACTTTTAAAGAAAACTAACATCACTCGTATCAGCCATTTCTACATTTGTAACCGACTCACTCATCGGTTTAGACGTTTTCTTTTCTAAAAATTGACATTTCTATGAAAAATTTTACTTGTATTTTGTAAAAAAATGGAAATTTACATAAATTACATAAAATTTACACAAATTACATAAAATTTACATAAGTTTACATAAATTTATCCAAGATTAATTCATAAAAGTAGTAAGAAATCGTCAAAAAAATGCAGAAATTCGCAGAAATTCAGAAAAGTGGTTAAAAATTGGTTGAAAAGTTGCGTAATCTAATACGAGACTGATTCAAACGGCAACTCTTATAATGTGACGAAAAGAAAAAGAGGAAATATCTAGGAAAAAAAAACGCATTCACCAAAAGCAGACACAGCGCACAAAATCAATTCCCAGCGGTCACACACTTTTGGGGAAAAAGGAGGCAATGCGCGCAAGGCGTTCCGACAAAACCCGGGGATTCACACACACACACTGACCCGATCCATTTTTGATGTTGCAGGACAAAAAAAACACACTTGAGAAGTGTTTGTTAGAGGGGAAAAGGCCCGGAGATGAAGGAACGCGACGCGCTGAGGCTGCGGCCGCATCGCACAGCGATCGACCCGGGCCTGTTCCTGGTGCTGAAAAGGGTTGCGGAAAAGTTTTAGGCTGGCCTGCAACTACAATCGATTGAAGATAGATTAGAGGTGTGATCAGTGGGTGGCGGGGAAAGAGGCTGGGGCGTATCGATCGGTGTCCCCGCCCACTCTCTTTTTTTCGGCTTACGGTGGATGAGAAAGGGGTTGAGGAATCTGGATGAAGCAATCAGAAGAGAATGGGGAATTGATTTGGGCATTTGGGTATTGATTGGCTCAGTCATCTTATCTTATTCTTTGTATTGATCTAGGGGTGAGAGATGAGCGTTTTGAAAGGTGAGAAAGGTTAGGAGCAGATGAGCTGGAAAATCGATTAGAAATAAAAGATAGGAAGATCAGAATAAAGAAGGAGGATCGATGAGATGCTAGATGAGATGATCGATGAGATGCTACTTGGGCAGTTGTATCGATCTGTTGTGTTTACAATGGTTATGAATGAAAAAGAACTCTAGATAAGCGCTATGACCAGATGAGCTGAATCGATTAGTTGTACAGAATTGAAAAAAGGTATTCAGTGAGGAGTTGGAAAAAAGATTGCTATAGCTGTGGCTATTGTTCGATGAGAAAACGAAAAGAAAGTTTTACCATTCTTAAAGTTAGCATTTTTTGAGTAATAATATAAACTACAATCAAATAACGAGAAAAAAAGTCGATAAACTTTAAGGATTTAAATCAACGACATTTTAATTGAAGTCGACCCGAGTTGCTATAATTTTGGACCATCATGTAAATGAGTTGGCTAGATTATTACTGTAAGTGAATATAAGAAACCCTTGTTTGTGATCAACGAATCGATTAGAGTCGATTAGATTAACTAATCGACTTTGCTCAGTGATCACTGAGAACTATTCGAAAAACGGAGGCTGTGAATCGATCATGCGTCTCTTTTGAGCTACCGGTAGCCGGATGCGTCTCTTTTGAGCTACGGTAGCAAAGCACTTTGTTCACTCGATCGATTCGTGTTTTTTAGGATAAAGTGCTTGGGGGAAGAGTTGTTTGTTGAACCAGGAGAAAGGGGCGATTGTTTTTTGGAGGGTATAGTGGGCTTTTTTGAAATATTGGGGAAATTGATCGATTTGAAGGGGAAGAGTTGAAAGGTTTTAAGAGAATCGATTATCGATATTCAATGGAAAGTAAAGCAGAGTAATCAACAAAGATGGGTAAGGGTTATAGCTGATGTGGTTAAGATTGAGTTGGCAGAATTGATTGGTATTGGTGATGGCTATAGTGTTTGAGTGATTAGGAAACGATTGGTTAGACATACCATGGTCGGTCGGCATGGTCGGCAATACAAAACGTTGTCGGCGCTGGGATTCGAACCCGCAACCTCTCGCTTACCGGGCGAACGACCTACCTCTACCAATGAGCTATACCAATACGTATCCCATTCGCTAAGGCCTTATGCAGTTCTAAACGAGATTGATCAGTAAGGAACCAACTCGTTTAGATTGCGGTTTAGATAGATGAAAAGATTGCCTTGGCTTTTTGAATAGCGCTTCCCTAGTGAAATCAAATATTTGAAATCTTCAAGGGTAAACTTGATAAGAGTTACAAGCTAACTTTGAAGCGGTTTAGGCCTGAAGTTGACTGTCAGTCTGACAAAGTAATTGGATACGGTTTGAGCTTCACAGAGCATGTTTTGACTAGGGCTTGTATGAAACCCGTAATGGAATCAAAGCCTTGATCTCTTGCTGAGAAATGAGTGCACCAGAAGTGATGCGTTTCCAGTTAAATTCCGCTACAAAGAACATAGACTTATCGATTAGCAAATTGGTCTCAAGGATCAGACTTTGAAAAATGATTTGCTTTCGAAATATTTGATTGACTGCTCAGTCAATCTCTCTATTTCGTCGATGAATCATTCTTTAGTAAAGGGCTTTTCTGGCGCAAGTGAGTCGAGTAGCCGATATCGATTTTCGTATGATGAACTTGATTTTAAACCTTTAAAGATATTCAGTCAAAGATCGAGTTCACTCACTGGTAAACCCTCATTTGTTACCCTCTTACATTTGTTACTCCTAATTACTTTTGAAAAGCTTTCCACATCAATAAATCACGAGAAAAAGGCTGTTGAGTGAGTGTGTGTGTGTGTGTGTGTGTGTGTGCAAAATTTTTCCTCAAAACGTCGTCACTTGTTTTTTTTGTGGGGGATGCCAGGTTGTGTTCCTGAAAAAAATGAGAGAAAAAAGCGAGAGGATGAGGAGACCCCAATCGATACTCCTTTTCGACAAAACGGCTGAATAAAATGAAAAGATTGGCATGAGAGAAAAGAAAAGAAGAGGGAAAACTCGACGACGGCTCGATTCCCCTCAAAGAGAAGGCAACTAATTTTTGAAACAGGGACATTGTTCGGGAGTTAGAGGAAAAGTTGTGGAAGAATGAGAACTTGTGATGATAGAATGATGCATAAACTTTTACACCAATAAGCAGCGAGCTTTATGATCAAGCTCAATCCAACATTGCGTTTACGCGCCACGTTGAAACACGGCATCCCGTCCGATCTGCCAAGTTCAGTAATGTTGGGCTCGGTTAGTCGCAGATTCGGAGTTATCCCAAGCGCAAAGCAATGTAACGAACCGTGCCCGTTGAAATTAAACTGCAGTCATTAAAACGGTTATTTCCTTTCATTGACCAGCACCATCACTCCACAAAATAATGATCATTGACTTTCAAGAGTTGCTTGACAGTTCAAGAGTTCAAGAATATGCTTAAGTTAAGAATTTGAAGTCCCGTTATGGCATTAGGTAGTTTAGGGTAGGATTTCAATAGGATTTTTTTCTGTATTGTGATTGATTGTTTGGATTGGTTGAATAAACCAGTATATACTTTATTAGGCAAAAATCTGCATACAAAAATTTACATAAGAAGTCGTTGACTAAAAATGTAGAATTAGGTGTCATATTTCAATGTTTTTACTCTACTTACTGGTTTATTCAACCAATCCAAACAATCAATCACAAGTTTTGAAGTTTTGACTTCTAATGACGTTTACTAGGTACGTTTTTTTTTATGTTTGACGTTTTGACATTTATCCTTTCAGATTTTTTACAAGTTCGCTAAGAGTGCTTGGCAGGCGTTCTGTGTGGAAAATTCGACGGAAATTACTGGTGAAACTTGAGGTGAGGATTGGAAATTCTGATAATAAGTTTTTGGCTTATGAAATTTTATACTTTAGGCGACAAATGAGCGTATAAAAGAAGCGTTGAGGGGAAATGATGACTTGAAGACGACGATTGGTGCGTCGGATATTGAATGGGAAAGAGAGAAGATTCGCATTGCAAAGTGAGTGGTTTTTAAAGTGCAATTTTGTGATTTTACTCCTTATTCCACATAAATTGTACGATATCCATCTTTTTGCAACTATGATGATTGACCAGCTTCGTTTGCCATCCACTACGCGGGTCTTTTTTAAGTCGTTCATTTTGAAAACAACTATGTCAGTCGATTTCTGACCTTTTTACTCCAAGATGAAAATTTTCAGCTCTTCGAATTTCCGTGAACCTATCCGTCAATATTTCGATCTGAGCGAGTGGCTTGGATAGATTTGTGGCAGAGGCTTTTAGCACATAACACTTTATTCACTGAGCGTTGACTGTTGGGCAATTTTTTTAGTAGGTTTTGTATTTTGATACTTTTTTCAATCAGAAAGAGCTTATCTACGCTAAAAATTGAATTTGAACCGCGCTGTTTCACAGAATGCGTCTGCTGAAAGTGACACGTGCTGACCCATTGTCACAAATCCATTCAAGCCTCTCGTTCGGATCGAAATATTCACGGATAGGTCTAGATATGCTGCAATATTAAAGGATTAAGTGTCTACTTATATTCATACAAATATGGGGTCTGAGCGGCTATTCCAGTAGAATAGCGACCCAAAACTTCCAAAGTGAATCGATGATGAATTGGAAAGTGAAGGTTTTCGGGTACCGCTTTGGGCGTCTTTCCGTATCGTTTTGAATCAATGATGTTTGTCTTCTGCAGACACTACGATATTCTCCTGATTGCAATCCGATTGGGTCCATGTAAAACGAGGATTACGTGGACATCGCTTTTCTTTGTGAGCTGAGCTTTGGGATAAGGTACAAGAAATATGGCAGGCAATTCCGGGGTCATCTCGTCGGAAATTAATCGAAAGTATGCCGAGACGACTGGAGGCAATTAGTCAAGCTGCTGGAGATCCAATAAAATATAAAATCAAATCTTGTTTGTACCCGATCAATACTTTTTTCCGCCTATTTTTTGCAAATAATTTTTATTTAAATTTTTTCTGTTAATAAAGCCATAAATGAATATTGGTCTTTACATTTGCTAATGTTAAAAACTTTCAAGTATCTAAAACTTTTGAGCTGATCAAAATCGAATGGATGAAAAAAAGTTATAGGCAAAACGACCTAAGTAGTGCGGGGCGGTCAATGCTTTTTTCCGGCATGTTACCTCCAATTTTGAAACTTTTGGTCTTCGAAACCTCTTTTTACCTAGAAAAGTCATTTCACAAAGAATTTTATTAAATTCTCCGACCAAATCTAGTTAAAGCAAACAAAATTCTAGTTTTGTTCAGCACTTTAGTACCGTAGCGGAAGGTTTATTTTAAAACTATCGAAATGACGTCCTTTTTATTTATTAATCAAACTTCAAACAATCGTTTATCAAAAACATTACAAAAGAAATGCATCTTTTTTCAGTTTTAAAGGAACTTGTGCAAAAACTATAGTTTTTTAATAATTTAGTGATTCTAATCAAAAACATTATTCTGTTAAAAAGGTTTCAAAATTGGGTGTAGTATATATATTGGATTTCTTTAGGTCTCGTTGCTTGTTGGATACCCACATCTTTCCGCGAGGCATCCAAGATGAAAAAGATGCGAAAAACTTTGCCACACGCCTATTGCCCGGAGAAGGGAAACTGATTTTTGACGCACTGCGCAAAATAAGTTGGCTTTTTGTTGATTATTTATCAAATTCTTGTTTTTAGCTGTGGATCAATACGAAGAGCATAAAAGACTTGGAAATGCCGAGGTGCACTGGGAAGATATGCTCCGGATCTGGTTTCAAGATTTAATTACCTATTCTTGCTATTTGTTTCATCTAGGTACATCTACTTTATTCCGACGACCCTCTTTGGCTTTATTGACAACACAATTTTGATTTGTGTTGGTCAAGAAATTGACTCGTGGGTTTTTAACTTGGTAATTTTTTTAAGATGACGTTTGCACAATTACTTTTAAGATTGAGAATATTTTAGGCATTTTGGTGTAATGCTTGGGATCTCGATTTTGGCAGCCGCTGGTGTTTCGGTAGGTTTCTCTGGATTTTCCTCCCTTTAATCGACTTTTTAGAATATCTTCTCCAATCTTGTCGGTATCGGACTTCCACGAGTTATCGAAGGATGGGTGCAACATGTTGGTTTGATGTGAGTTTACTGTTGTTGTGAATGTTGTGAAAACTGTGTCTACTTTAGTCGACCAATTTTATCGACTGAACAGTGGAACAATCGACAAGTGCGCTTCATTGTCAACTTAGCAAAAGTTTGTGGTAAGGGTTGCTCTTTTTGAAGATTTTACGTTAATCTTAGGAATCTTGCTTGGGTGTACACTTGGGTTGTTTCCGCTTCTTTTCACAAATTCAGTAGGCCGCTCGCAAATCTTGGAAGGATCGGTAACAATGTTTTGGGTTTGAAGAACTATTTTTAGACATTCGCTGATCCGGAAGTGAGTGCCGATGATGAGATCGAAGGAGTCGATGCGGAAACGGTGAAAAAGCTAAGAGCGGCTGAGAATTTTGAAAAGGTAGGTTTCTTTAGTAAGAATAGAAGTCGGTTTATTTTGTCTTCGGTTTTTAATTCAAAATCCAGGCCGTTGGACACATGCAAGTGCGAGTTCGTGGTCAAGGAGGTCTCTATGCGAGTGCGCTTGATGATTATGCGTTGGAAAGGGGCCCAAATCTTCATCCCGTCGACAAACGCATGTAAAGTTTAAGCTGACGTTTTTGTATTTTTGTTTTTAAGACTATGAATCTATTGTGATATACTTTTTGCCTTTTAATAAACGTGTGTATTGACAACTTTGTATCAAATGGGTCAACTACCAATTTAAGTATTTCGAGTATATTGATTGATTTTTAAATCACATTTCTTGTGAAAATGTAACATACAAATTTTGAGTACTTATCCAAGACTAAACCCTGTAGAGGGTTTAGTCTGTAGAATCTTTAGATCACCCTGTAGAGGGTGATCCATGTTTCAATGCATCAATAGCAATTTAAGCTACACTTGCATTCTATTGACTTTTGCGTTCTGTGCCTTTGAGTTTAGGCTTGGTATCTCAGAAATCTCCCCTTTCGTTCAAACTTTCCTTTTGATATTATTGGATTTAACATTTTTAAGATCTCGACTTTATTTTTTTCCTGTAGATGATGTCAACTCCAAGTCGCCCGATGCCCGCCGTTGGTGGAACGCCGGCTCGATTCCAACCGGTCACCCCAGTGTCGCAGGTACATACTTGTATTTTTTGATTCGTTACAGATTCCACTATGTATTTATGGCTCAGTTACTATCTAATTCATCTTTTATATTTCATTCTTAGATGCGCCGTAACATGCCCGCTGCTCCGATGCCTGCAGCTGTGGCGCCCCGCCCGGTTGCCCCACCAAGAAAGAAGAAAAAGTACGCTGACAAGCTGATCCCACCACAGGTATATTTTAAAACAAACAAAAATTTTGTTGATTTTTTCGTTTTATCACACTTTTCTTGTAGGTTCGAGAGCTTGTGCCCGAATCGCAAGCTTACATGGATCTCCTTGCTTTTGAACAGAAACTCGACTCGACGATTACCCGAAAAAAGCTTGAAATACAGGTAATTGAGACAAAATGGATTTACAATTTTTTTGATTGCTCAACAATATTCAATGCAAATTTTAGGAGGCTTTGAAACGGCCGTTGAAAGTGAAACGAAGATTGAGGATCTATATCAGTCACACGTTCATCGCTGGGAAAGAACCGGAAAAGGTCATTACCTTAAAATGAAGATTTTGATATTTCTAAACGGTAAACTGATTAATTTTATTTAGGAAGGCGACGAGCCAGTGGTTCCGATGTGGGAGTTGCGCGTTGAGGGACGGCTTCTAGATGACACTCCACAAGCTGCCAATGGACAGGTTTGGAACCACTTATCTATTTGTCAACTGTAAGCACTTAATAGTTGTCTTTCATAAATTTCTTTTCCTTGTGTATTTAACTTTGTTGTATCAGGCCACCACTCCGGCAAATGTTCAACAGCGTCAACAGGCTAAACGCAAATTTTCTTCGTTCTTCAAGAGTTTGGTTAGTTTTAACATTGTTTAAATGTGAATTTTGTTGTTTAAATTTTTAAAATGTTTGAGATTCATTACCGAAGCTTTTTAGGTAATCGAGCTAGACAAGGATATTTATGGACCGGACAATCACTTGGTCGAATGGCACCGAACACCGCAAACGAATGAAACTGATGGATTTCAAGTAATTTTTTAAAAGTTTATGCTTTTTAAAAAAAGAAATATATTTTAAAACTTTAAATAGACGACTAATAAGGTTTGTCTAGGTTAAACGACCGGGCGATCGTGCTGTGAAATGCACAATTTTGCTGCTTCTCGACCATCAACCGATGAAATTCAAGCTACACGCAAGATTGGCTAAGGTTGTCTTTATGATTCTTCTAACTAAATTTTTGGCTTCAGGTTTTGGGAATCGCGACCGAAACGCGTCCAAAAATCATCGAGGCTCTCTGGCAATACATCAAAACTCACAAGCTTCAAGTAAAATTTTACTCTTTTTTAAAAACAAAGTTGAACCTTTAGGATCCAATCGATCGAGACAGCATCAACAACGATATCTTCTTGGAACAAATTTTTGCGACTAAGAAAATGCGATTTATGGAAATTCCGCAAAGACTACACGCTTTATTGCAACAACCTGATCCTTTGGTAAGTCGATAACATAAGATAAGTACTCGTATAAGTGGCAAATTTTGGCAACATAGCTTTGCTTAAAGTCCAAGATCTTGAATTTTATATTTTCAGGTACTTCATCACACCATTGAGCAAAGCGAAGGATCGGCAAGCACAGCTTGCTATGATATTGATGTCGAGGTTGTTGCTTTGTTCTTTTCTTTTTATTTGCTGCTTTATTAGGTCGAGGATCAATTGAAACAACACATGGCTAACTTTATGCAAATTCAATCAAATCAGCACGATATCGCGCAACTCGATCAGAAGATTTACGATATCGTGGATAATGTTGGTTTTTGAAAGTTAAATTTTAAACTTTCTTTTATAGATCAATGAGTGGAAGCTTCGTCGTGACTACTATGTGCGATTCTCCGACAATCCACAAGAGTTTATCAGGTGGGTAATTGAAATTTTAAAATTGATTCTCCTTCTCAAATAATACAATTTCAGAAAATGGCTGGTTTCACAGTCGGCTGATTTGAAGAACTTTACTGAGCAAACTGGGGATGGTGAGAATGAACGCTATGCGGAGGCCTATTATCAACCGCATGTAAGTGTTTATGTTTGAAAATTTATCTGTTCAAGCTGATGAAACTTGTCATCAATGACAATTTTAATGTAGGCATTCTTGTGTACAAATGATGAACCCCATTTTTTATGTTGATTTTTTAGTAAAATATTGTCAATGATTTTTTTTGTCAATGATCTATCAAGCTCCTTTTTAGATCCAAGAAGGTACTTTCCGCTATATTTACACGAAGGTGCAGCAACGACGAGCCGAACTTGAGCATTCACTTGGAGTGCGTAATAATTAATGCGTTTCATTTTGTTTTTCATTTCAATTTTCTATGTTGTGATCTCTTAATTTATTCAGCTATTCAGTAGTTCACTTTTTGTGTACAAATGGTGAACCCCATTTTTTATGTTGATTTTTTAGTAAAATATTGTCAATGATCTTTTTTTGTAATGTTTGTAACTTATTCGATAAAACGACTGCCAAATTTAACGATAAAAAAAACTTTAGAGCTTGCTCTTAGCGACTTGTTCGTTGTACTCGAAAAGGCGGTTAAGTGAGTCTTCGGGAAGGAAGAAATCGGGAATCAATTCTTTGCCTGAAATTACGAATTGTAGAACCATTTCCGGTGTTCAATACCTGGCACACAAGCGTACTTCTCGAAATCGGTTTCACCCTCTTCTCGCAAGAAATCCTCATCGATGAGGAAACGACCCGTGAAACCGGAACCCTTTGAAAGAATCCCGTAAGCGGCATCTGGAAATTTTGTTTTTAAGGGTTCTGAAAGTTTCCTTATACCGGCCATGATCGACGCATCTCGACATCCGATTTTTGCCTCCTCTCCACCGGCCAACATCTCCATGGCGGCTGTGTAGATTCCTAAAAGTCGGCTATAATAGTACAGTAAGCTGTAGATATCTATCGTAATCTCAGAAAAGATTAGCTCAGCTACCGTAATCTCGCTATATCACATCACATACCGGTTAAAGGCCACAATGCATTGACTGCAATCCCGTGTGCCCGAAACTCTTCACTCATTCCCAACACGCACATCGACATCCCGTATTTGGCCATTGTATAGGCGACATGGGTCTGTTTTTTTTTACTCATTTTTCATTCTATCTTTGATTATACCTGAAACCATCGTTCTTTCATCTCGAGTGGTGGAGAAATGTTCAAGATTTTTGGATTCTTTCCTTTCATCAAATAGGGAAGACATTCTTTTGACCTGAAAAGCTTTATCAAGATTTATCGTTTAAAAAATAAGCGAAAAATTGATTGAGAGAGACAAGACGAAAATTTCTCACATCAAAAACGTTCCTCGAGTATTGATGTTGTGCATGAGATCATAACGTTTCATGTCGGTGTCCGCCGTCAAAGTCGGAGAGATCGCTGAGGCGTTGTTGATCAGAATATCAATCCCGCCAAATTTCTCCACCTAAGAATGAGAATTAAAATTTTTCTTTGCAGTTTCTTTGCAACAAGTGAAGAACTTAAGCTTGAACTTAAGCTTCAAGCTTCAAGCATTGTTTAAAGAGTTGAGACTATTGGTTTAAGAATATTATTGGATGTTTTATCACTCAAAACCAACCGTTTTCTGGACGCACTCCTGCACGGATTTCTCGTCACGAACATCGACAACGCAAGCGAGTGCCCGGCCGCCTGCCTGAATATTTTAAACTTAGTTTGATCAAAAAGATTAGAACTTATCAACTAATGAATAACTTAAATAGACTAGGGAACTGAAGCGGCTTTAAGATACGGAGAAACGCTGTCGTTACGGAGAAACGGAGAAGCTATCTATCGTTTCGAAGAAGCTATCTATCGTTTCGAAGAAGCTATCTATCGTTACGAAGAAGCTATCTATCATACGAAAAAGCTATCTATCGTTACGAAGAAGCTATCTATCATACGGAGAAGCTATTTATCATACGGAGAAGCTATCTATCGTTTCGAAGAAGCTACCTATCATACGGAGAAGATATCTATCGTTACGGAGAAGCTATCTATGAACAAAAGCAATGAACAAACCTCTTCAATCTCCTTGGCGGCTGTATGGATTGTCCCCTTCAGCTTTGGATGTGGTGTTGTTGTTTTGGCGGCTATCTGAATGAGAAAAACATCTAACCGAGTATAACAACAAGTCGAGCTATGTTGCAACAAGAAAATATTTCACCATATTTCACCTACCACAATATTGGCTCCATCTTGGGCAAGTTTCAACGCAATCGCTTTCCCGATTCCCCTCGAGGCACCGGTAATGATCACCGTTCGGCCATGAAAAGGACTGAAAATCCATTTTATGATACTTGCAAAATTAGGAAATGAACATTGATTGATTTTTAAAGTTTAATCAAAAAATTCTAGATACCCATTTCCTTTTGCTGATGACATTTTCAATGGGAAATTTAGCTTTGAAAACAATCGGAGAATTTGGTGAAAATGATTTAGAAAGAAACTCTAATCATATCTTTTTCTTTTTCTTTTTCTTTTTTTGTGGTGTAGTTTGCACTGGTGTTATCAAATTGCTCAAAAACGGAAAGACTATATTGAGAGAGGTTGTAGTTTGCAAAATATCAACTGATGTCTTTGCAGTAAATCTTTATTTGGTGATCAGAGTTGAAAGTGAATGACGATTGGGCAATTGAAAAGATGAGATAATTCAGAATTGAAGTTCGATCGGAAAAAGAAAACAAATTTGATGAAGATGAAGACGAAGATTGAAGGAAAATTGTTGGGTAAGAATAGTTGAGGTACCTTCGAAGGATGTTCCAATCGGATTCTTGGGCCCGCAAGGCCATGCTAGAGTCCAGTTGGAAGGATTCATTCACTTCTGGAACGGATAAATCCTTTTGGAACAACCATGCTTCAAAGAGATTTTTCTATTTCATAGAACTTCACGGTTGCAAGTCAAGTCATCAGTCAGTCAAGCCAGTGAAAAGTGAAAGACAACTGACGTAGGTTATGAACTATTGTTGCGTAAACAGATTTGAGAATGAGTACTGCCTACTAAACTTGCGTTTCGGTTGGCTTTTTTCGATTCGGTTCTGGTTCAACGGATTCAGTTGAACCAAAACCGGTCTAAGCCTAAGCCTAAGCCTAAGCCTAAGCCTAAACCTAAACCTGAGCCTGAGCCTAAGCCTAAGCCTAACCTATGGGGGGCGGATGAGCATCGCCAAGCGGGTGTCCCTTAGCTCCGAGAACTGGCTGAGATCCAGAAAATGGGGGTTCAGCCCAAACCCAAATAGACTTAGTGCTAGGCGCTAGCCGCTAGCCTACGCACTAAGCCTAAGCCTAAGCCTGAAGGCAGTGCCTACAGCCTACAGCTCACAAGTAACAGATCTACAGTGCTCAGGCTATCCCAAAAAAAAACGTCAATGCTATTAGGTTGGCAACTAAATAATGGCCCTCGCCCTCTTTTGATAAAATCTTTTAATCTTTGCGTTTAATCTACCCTCGCTTGTTGTTAATTGAATATTACTGAATTTCTGGTGCATTATTATACGTTTTTTACTTTCCTTGATTTGATACTTTTCAAATAATTTTGTTTAGAAATGGAAGATCTCAAATATCGAATGCGTGTCTGTCTCTGGTACGACTACAAACAAGGCAAAACAGCTGCCGAATCCCACAGAGATTTATTGCGAGTTTTTGGTGATCAAGCTCTTTCCGAAACACAATGTAAGAGATGGTATCGACGGTTCAAGGAAGGGGATGAAAGTCTTGAAGATGAGCCTCGCCAAGGACGACCCGAACTTCTGCAGAACGATATTTTGGAAGCAGCTTTAAAGGAGGATCCAAGTCAAACATCACGCGAGCTAGGGGATCGATTGGGCTTTTCGCATACTGCAATCGAAAAGTGACTTCATGCATTGGGGAAAAGTAACCGCAGTGGAAAGTGGATTCCGCATGAATTGAGCGAAGAAAATAAGGCAACTCGTGTTATCACAGCTGGAATACTACTAAAACTTGCGAAAAAGGGAAGCTTCTTGGATTCCATTGTCACTTCTGATGAAAAATGGATCTTTTATGATAATCGAACGCGAAAACGACAGTGGCTTAGCACAAAACGAAGACCCAAAATCAACTCCGAAGCCGGATATTCACTCAAAGAAAACTCTCCTCTGTGTGTGGTGGAGTTCTCGTGGGTTGGTGCATTTCGAGGTTCTCAAAAGCCGGCAAACGGTTAATTCAGAACTCTATTCGTCTCAACTACATTGTGGAGATCAAGCAATTCGCTCTCAAGGACTCGAACCCTCTTCAATTCATTTTCTCCATGATAACGCAAAACCACACACTGCAAAACTTACAATGGAGAAAATCGAGGAGTTGGGCTGGAATGTTCTTCCTCATGCGCCATACAGCCCGGATATGGGGCCTAGTGATTACCATCTTTTTCGATCGATGCAACACTTTCTAGCCGAGAAAAAGTTCATGGACCTTGACGAAGTCCGAATTTCAGTGCAGAAGTTCTTTGACGATCAACCAGAAGAATTTTTCAAGAGAGGAATCCAGTTGCTCCGTCAAAACTGGTAAGAAGTAATAAAGAATGACGGAGAATACCTTTTGGATTGATGTTGATGTTTGTTCATCTTGTTAATAAATTTTTTGTTTTTACTGAAAAGGGCCATTATTTAGTTGCCAACCTGATATTTGTTGAAAACAGCATAAACGCATAACTCGGATTTTTAAACGTTTAAGCAATTTTTCGACTACCCGATAATAAAAGATAGCTTTCAATTCATTTGCAACTATGCAATGGTCAAATAGATCACCTTTCACATGACACTTGTTCAACTCTACGGTAAAGCTTTGCACTACAGCAGGTTTCACTACAGCAGATTTCACTACAGCAGGTTTCACTACAGCAGGTTTCACTACAGCAGGTTTCACTACAGCAGGTTTCACTACAGCGAATGTTTAAATGTTTTCACAAATACACTTTTCATCATTGTCTAATCATTTTCAATCAAGCAAAAGCTAAAGAATATATGTTTTTTTTTCCTTTTTTTTCCTTTTCTTTCAACCTTTCCCCAACGCGCTATCGATTTTCGGTGATCATTTTCATTGCGACAGACAATCCTGAAGGTGGGTAAAAACAAAGCCGGGTAAAACGAGATGGAAATCTTGCAAAATTTGCTCTACAAGTCAAGAAAATACTTTATTTCTACAAAAATCTATATTAGAACATCAAATCAAATCAAATCAAATTTTGAATAATGTCAAAAATTGAAACTCATTTTTGTTGCAACGAAGCTGAACAACAACAAAAAGTCGGAAAGGTTAGTAAAGCTTTTATTTTTTTTAAAATTTATTAATATTTTGTTGATTTCTGATATTTTCTATAGCTTTTTCACGGATTTCTGCAAAGATTTTTTGTTCTTTTTGTCTTTTTGAATGAAAAGTTTATGACTCATACAATTATATGACTCATCGATCACTCTCGATACAATAAACTTACTAAAGATTAATCATTTGCCAAAAGAAAATGCAATTCAGGAGTTTTTCTCCATAAATTCATACGGCATATGATATTTTTCATCGGTAAAACAGCGATTTTACGGATTGTTTGAATCTTTCGGTGTTTTAACTAGCTAGAACTAAACCATTCAACTTTTTTTCGCGAACAATTAAAAAATACCGACTGGGGCTACCAGTGGTGAATTTATCGCATACACGAAATATATCAATCACAATACAACGACACACACAATACTAGGCTATATCTTAACTTAACCCACGTCATGACAGACGGCTCCCTAACCCTAAGCTCAATGGGGAACTAAATAGCTTTTTTGGTGGTGAAGGGAAGATGACGATGAAGGAGTGGCTTGTCACTTTAAAGAACTGGGGCCACAACCACCAGACTGCCCTCCAGAAAAACCTCTCAACCCGAAGGGAAAGGAAATCCGAAGGGGGTGACCATGTCGCATGTGGGGTTCGAACCCTCGACCTTCCGATTAAGATAAAAGACACTTAACCAGTCAGCCACACGTGCTATTGTTAAAGAAAATTCGCTTTATGCAGAATTTTTGCTTTCTGGTATAGATTAGGAAAATTTAAAGCACTTTAAATAGCTTCCTTTCACACTTTCTTTATCATTTACTCTTTACGTCTTTCGAGATACAGAGTACGGCATTTATAGTGTTGCGCTTAAGGTATCTTTTTCTTTTCTTTAATTTTTTTTAAGACAATACATTAATCTAAATTGAAATACAACAATTAATCATAAAATAATAAAATCTACGCATAATTTTACATAGAATAGAAGAGGCATAAGATTTTTTGATGACTTTTAACAACTTTAGTCGAGCAGTATAATGATATATGCCGCACCCTGTACAAAGGAAAACCATTGCTGATCGTTTCACTCGAGCAAAAGGCAGTTAAATTTGTCTGTTTACTGCTAACAACAGACTAGTTATAAAAAAAAAAGTTATCAATGGTATTTAAAGCTTGGAGAACTTTGTTCTTTTTTCTTTCTTTGTTCGAATCCTTTCTTGGATAATTTCGAAATATTTGAAAATGTTGATAGGCTCGTGGAATTGGCCAGAAATGGAAGACCATTTTGATTCCATTTTGATGACTTTTAACAACTTTAGTCGAGCAGTACAAAAAATGCTATGCAGCATGCTGAAAAACAGTTAAATTCGAGCTTGGGGTCTCTAGAAATCGTCTTTTTCCATCTTTTTTGCATTAATACATTTTAGAGTTAATTACTATAAAAATAATGCTTTTTCAGCTCCATTATTGCAAATGTGAGCTTAGCACATTCTTGGCAACAAAAATAAGCAAAATTTTTGATAAATTTCATTTTTTCGAGCGGCAGCAACCACGCGGCAGCAACCACGCGGCAGCAACCACGCGGCAGCAACCACGCGGCAGCAACCACGCGGCAGCAACCACGCGGCAGCAACCACGCGGCAGCAACCACGCGGCAGCAAAGCAGCAACCATCACAATTAGCAAAGCAGCAATTAAAGTCTTATATGAAACAAATAAAGTTTTAAATTTTTAGATAAAATTATGAATTTAGTAAAAAAATGTTCGTAAATTTTAAATATATAAACGAAAAAACTGTGAACTCTTTTGGTTTTTGAGAAAATCATCGTTTTGTAGAGCGCAACACTATACATGCAGCACCCTGTACACCCTGAAAACTTGCAATCCCCAGATTCAACTTTATCTTCTTTTTTGAGTTTATTTTCATCGGTTCAGATACGTATGCGTTCGTATCTTTCCCCAAAATGTGATGACTCACAACTTTTCTGTACTCAAAAAAGACATTTTCATTTTCATTTTCATTTTCAGTCTAAATTTATCTCCGCCCATTCCCTGCCGGCATTGAATGTGTCCCACCGATTCCCTATCCATCCGTTTCCCCAGAGCTAAGCCCTCATTCAAAAAAGTTATTTATTTTAAAAACTCACCACATCTCTGCCCATCCCATTCCCAGTCCGCGTCCTCTGGTGAAAGAGAATGGTTGCCCAGTGCCCACCTATCTCCAATCCCTATCAGTCTCCTGCCCAAAGCTAACCATAATAGTCAGTTCAAAATCGTGGCTCATTTTTTAAACAATATTGCTTGAAAAACCCACCACATCTCTGCCCATTCCCATTCCCAGTCCGCGTCCTCTGGTGAAAGAGAATGGTTGCCCAGTGCCCACCTATCTCCAATCCCTATCAGTCTCCTGCCCAAAGCTAACCATAATAGTCAGTTCAAAATCGTGGCTTATTTTTTAAACAATATTGCTTGAAAAGCGCAACCCATCTTTGCCCATTCCCCTCCATTCACTGTTCACACAGTCGCAGATCATTTTCTGTTGAAAGGGATTCCATTCCCGCTCTGTCCCCCACATCTAACCCTTCAGTCATTTTCAATTTGTTTCAGTAAACAATATTGCTCTTAGATTCTTATAGTATTGCTTCCAGTATTGCTTTCATTATAGCTATTTCTTGCACCCTTTTTGATCTTGCCCCATATGAAAACAAAGGAATGCATCAATTTTTGAAAAACTCAGCTAACTCACTTCTTAGTTTCATCTTCGTTTAGTTTTTACCTTAACTTAACTGTATCTTCTTGTTTATTAACTGCAGTACTTTTTCATTGCTCAAATTGTATTGTAATCTTTGGCAAGCAATTTTAAACTTATTTTTTAATATTGATAAACCTTTCAGGCTGAAAAAAAATGCCTTTCTTATTTGATGAAAGGAAAATGAACCGAAAAATTGTGCGGATTGTAATTAAAACATAGAGGCTATCTTTATATAATCATAAAATCTTTTGATCTGAAATGTTTATTGATACAATATTAAAAAATAAGTTTAAAATTGCTTGACAAAGATTACAATACAATTCGAGCAATAAAAACAGTAATGCAGTTAATAAAAAAAGCAGATACAGTTAAGGTAAAAACTAAACGAAGATGAAGCTAACTTCATAAAATCCACATTTATCCAGTATTTATCTAGTATTTATTTCATCAGTTAGTTACAGTATTAGTACTTGTTAGCCTATCCGCATGTTAGCCTATCCGCATGTTAGCCTATCCGCATGTTAGCCTATCCGCATGTTAGCCTATCCGCATGTTAGCCTATTCTATGTGTACATTCGTTCTCTCCTCTTTACTGATATCTACAATTATAGAGGAACCCTTTTTAAAAGTGCTCTTTTGATACGTATCGGCACATCAATTCGAAACGTGTCGATACGTATCGGCACGTCACTTCGATACGTATCGGTAGCTGTGGGTATGGGAACTGTCTAGGATTTTTCTCAATAATATGCCAAAATGTGCTCATGTTTTTTTTTGCAAAAACATTTTTGTTTTGAACAATATTTGTAGTGTTTCAGCTCGGCAAAGATGGATAACCAAAAATTTAAAATCAGGGCCGCCATTTTCTTTGAATTCAAGTTAAACAAGAAAGCTACGGAATGCCATCAGAACATTTGTACTGTTTTTGGAGAAGCTGCTCTTACTTACAAACAATGTTGTGTTTGGTACGATCGCTTCAAAACGGGAAACGAGTCATTGGAAGATGCACCAAATGGAAAGCCGCCGATTACTTTGGACGATCAGCTGTTACTGAACGAGGTCGACTTGGATCCATCGCAAAAGTGTAGAAAATTAGCAGAAAAGTTCGGATGCACTCATGTTACCATTTACACGTTCTTGGGAAATCATATCGAAGCGGGAAATGGCTCCCCCACGACCTCACTGATGCCCACAAAGTCACACGAGTCACCTTGAGCTCTGTTCTTCTACGTAAAGCTAGCCATCGTGACTTTTGGAAGTATTTTTTGACATCTGATGAGACTTGGCTTTCGTATGAAAATATTCAACTCTATGGACAGTGGCTGAGTTCGAAGCAGACCTCTCATTCTATCCCGAAGCCTTCGAAAAAGTTAGGCTTTGTGTGGTGGAATGCTAAGGGATTGGCTCATTTGGAAATATTAGATAAAGGAGACACTGTTGACGGAAGACTTTATGCAGAACAAATGGGTCGAGTCGATCCAGCATTGAGGAAAAAGAGGATCGATCCATCGAAGGTCAGATTTCTTCACGACAATGCTAGGCCTCACATTTCAAAGATCGTCCACGAACAAATCGACAAGTTGAGCTGGAAACTTCTTCCACACCCACCATACAGCCCTGATCTAGCCCCATCGCATTACCATCTCTTTCGGTCAATGAAACAAGCAGTTTCTGGACAGCAGTTCAAACAAAAGCAGGACATAGAAAATTGGGTTGCCAACTATTTTGCCTCTAAAAATCTTTAATTTTACGAGGACGGTATTCGTGATTTGGGGCAACGTTGGAAAGAAGTTATTAATGCTTGTGGTGAATACATTTGATTTTGAAAGTGCTTAAATAAATTTTTCTGTTATGTTAAAAATGATCAAAAAAATAACCTTTCATATTTACCAAGCTAATAATTAAGTCTGTAAATGTTTAGATCAGATGCGATGAGCGATCAACGATCGAATCAAAATCATCCACAACCAACGGTAAAAGGCAATAAATCGCAGAAAATTGCAAGATTGATTGCAGGTGTTTCGTGATGGGAATGGACGCCAACTTACCCCGAGTCAGCTCAGGGAACAATTTGGTGAGAGCTTTATTTTCCTAAATTTTCTTAACATTTCACTCGATTTGTTGGTATTTTTTTCAAAAAACGCTTTACGATAGTCTGTTCGTTTTCTAAAATGTGTCAACTTTTGAAAGTACTGTAATCTAGTCTCAACCTACTCTTTCAGTAATCTTATTCGATGCACTTCAAAAAAATGATCTAATCCTAAGCATTACAAAAGCTTCACAAGAAAATTTGAAGAGAAAAGTATAGGCAAATAGTGTAGTAAAGATACAGTAAGACGGACTTTTAATACTGGTTTACTGTAGTAAGACAGACAGACAGACAGACAGACAGGCAGACAGACAGACAGGCAGACAGACAGACAGACAGACAGACAGACAGACAGACAGACAGACAGACAGACAGACAGACAGACAGACAGACAGACAGACAGGCAGACAGACAGACAGACAGACAGACAGACAGACAGACAGACAGACAGACAGACAGGCAGACAGAGTAACCAAAAAATTTCGCTAAAAATTTATTTTAAAAAATGCACGGTGGCTTTAGTTTAAAGTTTTTTAGCTAAATATTTTTATGTGGCATACTGTAATAGGAATATTAACCCTTCAATTAATAGTGCTTTTCAGCATCAAATCAGCCGACTCATCCACCTGTCAACCCAGCGGCTTCACAGATAAACTATTTAGGTAGATTCTAAAATCAAAGTAAGTACAAAAAGAAAAATAAGGAAGAATTAATGGAGAAATGGCTGTATTTCGATCATTTTATAGTCATTTTATACTCGGAAATTTTAGGACGAAATAAAACCATGAGCAATCATTTTTGATAGAGTATTTCCTTGCAAAACGAAATTTTCTGGGAACAAATATGACTTGATTAAATGAAAACATAGAAAGAACCACGAATTATTATTAGTAAATTCAAAGAGAAATCATTTAGAAAGGTTATTAGTTTATTAGTTATTAGTTTATTAGTTAAAATGGCCAGCAGAAGTAGGCTCGAGCTCTAGTCTGTTAAGAGACTTTTGGAGTTAAAGGGGACTTTTGAGGGAGTATTCCATAACATTGTCTAGAGATAATATTAATTTTAACTTTTGATCTACAGTCGACTCTCCCTATAACGAAACTCTATATAAGGGAATGGAATTTTGGTCTCTTCCATTTCGTTATAGAGAGATTGTAGTTCTAAAGAACATCAAACATCCATGTTCCTTCGCACATCCGGCGACACCTTTGGACACAGTAGAACTTCTGGCATTCTTTCAATGACGAGATGATATTCTTCTTCCAACTTTTTAGCTAACGACACATCAGTATTGTAAAACCGAAGGCGAACATCTTGGCAATGGCTCAGGATGAAGCGAGTGGCAAGACTTGAACCACATGTCCCTTTTTCTTTTGCCCAGAGGAGCGTCACGTAGTCGTTACCTTAAACCTGAGTAGCTAAATCTATGGTTCAAAAAGAAGATATTCAGCTATGAATTTGTAACCGGGAGCTTTCGGGGTTGGCGAATCGATTGGAGCCATTCGATTTCCATACAATCTGATCAAGTTTTACCTAAGCCTTTGTGAGAGCTAAAATATAAACAAATTTATGTAAACTCTGGTTATTTCATCTAGAAAAACTTTTGAATAAATAACAAATCTCACTTCCTGTTAAACCAATGTATTACTCAAATAGTAACTAAGAAATAGTAACTAAACTGGAAGAACAGTGCGACCCGACTTGAGAGTTTTGTCTTTCGATTTTCTCTGTATTCGTTAGTCCAATCAATCCCTATTAGGTATCACTTGAAAACCTGAAAACCTCAAATCCTTTTGTGGTCTCGTTCAATGTGTTGCCAAATCAGTGTCGTCTCGTTCACACTTCTTACTTAAATCATTCATTTGACAGCACATATGCCTTTTAAGAGACCTTTTAAGAGACCAAGAATCGCTTCAAAAGTCTAAAAACTAGGATAAGATCAATGCTTTAGGAAATTTCTCAGCTCAACCTGACCCAGCCCCAACAAGCGCCAATCTTTCCAACGTGTCCAACTCCAATCAACCGTATCAAGGTTTGAAAAAGGAAACAAGACAAGGGCAACGTTCACCTTTTAGTCCAAGCATCTCCTCAGCAAAATAGTCAACCTGCATTTTGGAGTGGAAGTGTGATCGATGCAGGACGAGCTCCCGCAGAACAATTGCCTTATGGGACCATTGAAAATTCGTCTTGCAGTCAACAATCGTATCAACATTACCCAAACGAATGTAGGCTATAAATATGGCAAATCATTGTCGGTCATACATCCACAAAGACTCATCTCGGTTAAGCATCCCCATCCGAGTCTTCTCGGTTATCGATTTTCGTTCGACTGATCGATTGATCACTTCAGACGAGCACCCTACTTCACTGAGCATAATCACTCCCTCACAAGTTGTCAACCGAGTTGAGTCTCTGTGGATGTATAACCGACAAGTACCTCATTACGATTAACAGAATCTCCGTTAACAAACATGTATCAATTTTTTTGTTATAGTGTGCGATTCGCTGTCGTGTGAGCCTCGCTGTCCACGATGCTTGGACAAAAAGTTGCTAAAATTCTGGAATGGTTTTGGTGTCCAAAACGGGCCTTTGAGTTTCTATTCCGAAAAGATTGTCTATTTCGAACTCATCAAAAGCACCTGCACGATTTCTCTCATTTTAAAGACAGTTCCGATGTGAGTAAAAAAATTCTTTCAGGAACTTTATTTTACAAAAGTTATTTAAGCTTAACAATTCAAATTCAGACGGTCATATCTAAACTATTTGACTGAAAACGATCAAGATCATCACATGACTTCATTCAGCACACAAATGTGGGTTTTGCGATGTTTTATGCTTTGCTTCAAAAACCTCCATTTCATTACGCTATAGCACAAAATAATATTTTAGACTCTGAAATTTCAGGGGATGGTTTATCGAATAGAGCAGAGTATAAAGACATCTCGAATCACATAACATAGCATTTCTTTTTTCATGTCACCGTTTAGATCGCCGGAGGAACAAGACGAGCTCAACAGAAAGGTGTACGATTTCGATGACGCTTGCGAAAGAAAACTCGTATACCAGCGTCCAACTTGGTTTTATCGACATCCAAATTACTGGGCGGAGGTGAGTCCAGTTTCAATGAAGAACTGAGCAGTTGAATTATCAAGAATTCAGGTCAAGTCCTTGTTAGGCCAGACTTGAGCCCTAGCCTGGCTTGACCAGAGTCAGACCGGAGTCAGGCCTGAATTCTAACTTGACTCTAGACTCTCTTGACCCATGGGCTGGCCAGATGCCAGATCAGACTAACCTTGCTAGGCTTACATCTCTGGCTCTGGTCTTGCCTGCTATATCTTTGTTTTATAGTCCCTAGGGCTCGGTTGGAACTACCCTGAGTGACAGGCTAGTACCACACTGAATAAGTACCGTTAACTTTTGACAATAAATTGATGTTTTGCAGATCATAGGCTTTGAGCAGATACGGAACGATGATGAGCAAATTCGCATTCATCTGACTTTACGGTAAGCTAGCTTTCATTGTCATTAAACTTTCCAAAAATTGTCATAATCGTAATGTGGACTGTTTTCAGTCCATCTACTCCTTCTCAACTCATCCCAGTCGATTTTCTCACCGCCGCGATGAACACGTAAGATGAGAAATTACAGCAATAAAAATAAGGAGTTTAGTGAAAACAAGAATCAACCAGAGATATCAGATGAGGGTTTCCATTCGAACACGCGGTGGGTTTTGATATCTATTGGATTCTATTATATTATTTATATTAATTGAAGAATATCTATTGGATTCCATTGAGCCATTCTCCTTTAGGCCAGATTGGTGGGACCAGATTGGTGAAATGGGACCAAGCTCAAAAAGACCACGAACGTCATCATCAGATGGTTGGTGAAACTTTTGAAGTCTGAATGTCATATTCTTTTATCCTAAAGATCTTTAGCTGACTGTGTACGGTAGATTTCTGTCAATAGTTAGAGTACTGTAGCTTTATTATCAGTCAACAGCCAGAATACAGTAGTTTTTCTAGCAGCTAGCAGAGTACTGCAGCTTTTCCAATAGCCAGAGTATGATAGCTTTATCGGTAGCCTTTCTTAACGTATCTTTTAGAAAACAGGACACAGGTACTTAACAGTTCTTTGGGTGTTTATGATTATGATCTCCCACATCCAAAAAGTATCACAAAAGTTGGAGGATTGCGAGATAGACCCCTAGTAACAGTAAGTAACATTGCTTTCTTCGTTTTTTTTATTAAACTTTCAGCAACAACTTGTCCCCAGCCAGCGTGAAACAAACCATACAATGGATGTTGGAGAGCCATCGAGTAGCCACACTGGAGCCAGTCAACCGCCTGTAGTGGATAAAGGTTGGAAGCAAGATAAAAGCTGAACCCAGAATCCAGACCTAGCTCCAGAATCTGTAAGCCAGGCAAAAGCTAGCCTGGGTCTTTTCAATAGACCTTTTCGAGGCCAAGATATTCAACAAAATCTGACCTTGGTCTGACCTGCTTCGGTGCTTGACCTGGAGTAAGGCATAAGGCTCTACTCTGGCGGCAATAGGATACGTGTTAGTGTGGCTCTTTGGTTCGCCCCGTAAGCGAGAGGTCGCGGGTTAAAATCCCGGTGCCAACCATGTTTTGTATCCCCAGCCCCAACCCATAAAAGGACCGGCGTATTCAACTCTGGCTTGTTTGGTTTACAGACCCCAGGGCTTAAAATAAAGAAAGTGACCGTATTTCAGATAGACCAAATCCTCTTGTGCGTGATGGAGAAGAACTGCTTCTGGAGTGGGAGGTAGAGGTGTTCATTTCAAAAGACTTTGTCGCTCTTTTACTTGACCTCTGCGAATGTCCTGAAAAGGTGGAGGATCTCGATGGTAAGTTCGAACTTCAGTATAGTTATAAAAATATTAACTCAATGGAAAACTTTGAAGTGATCAATGAAAAATCTGGAAGAAATCAAGCGAATTCTTTAGTAGATCTGGTACAAGCTTTCAAAATGTTTAGAGGCCAAAATCAAGGAATTGTTGAAACCGATTTGGCCACCCCCACCAAAAGATCTGTACGAGTATCGACAAGGAAATCGGGTTCAGTTTTTTAGATTTTGGCATCGATATTTCGATCTTCATTTTCAGATGTTAAAGTACAATGAAAGAAGTCCATTTCTCGACATTAATAACAACGATGCAGCCAGTTTGAAAATTGGAGCAAAAAGGAACGCAAAATGGGTTAGTGACTTTGAAAAAGTGATCGAGATAAATAAGCCTGAAGAAAAAGGCTCGGTCTGTCATAAATTAATGAAGCCAGAACACGTGTACTTTGTGCTTTCGTGAATCCACCATTCCTAACACACTAGATGTTCCCATTTAGTCAAATAATTACTTAAAGCTTATCTTTAGAAATGCTACTGTAATGCCTTGGAATTTTGGTGTATATATCGTAGCCGTTTACGTGTGTATATATCGTAGCCGTTTACGAAATTCAGCCGCTAACGAAGCATTCGTAAACGGCTAGCTGTTAACGAATGAAATTTTTCGCTAGCCGCTAACGAATGTTTCGTTAGCGCCAAGCCGATTACGAATCATTCGTTAGCGGCTACGACATACAGTAGGGTCCAAAAGTTTGGAACAATCATCTTCCGGCAACTTCAACTCGATGTACGATGTAGCTTGCGTTAGATAAATTCAATTTTGTTACTTTAAAAACTATTTTTGTCGCAATTTTTGTGAACTTTCTGAATATCTACTTGATTTCATTTGATATTTGATCTTTTTTTTCTCTTCTTTTTTCGCTTTTTCTTGGAACACCCATTTTTTAGGGGTCCAAAAGTTTGGAACAATTTCAAAAATAACAATTTATTTAGCAATTAACCAGCAAAATTCAGTATTTTCTGGCGTATCCCTTTGTTTTAATAACAGCTGTGCATTGAAACTATCAAATTGTCAATGGTTTACCTTGGGATCTTAGTCCATTCCTCCTCAAGCGCCTTCATGAGTTCTGATGTTTTTGTGAAGCTTCTGGTATGGATTTGTCCCTTCAAATGCTCCCAAAGATGCTCTATTGGATTCAGGTCAGGGCTTTGAGCCGGTCATTGAAGCACATCGACGTTTTTTTTGGAGCCATTGCTTAACACGCCGGGCCGTATGCTTCGGATCGTTATCGTGCATGAAAGTGAAGTCGTTGGCCAAGTTGTTTCTGCCATGTGGAAGCATATGGGTTTTCAAGATGTTTTCATAAGCAGCTGCATCCATAATGCCATTGATTCTGACAAGTGGAGCGACACCGTATCGTAAAAAACAACCTAAATCCAAATAAGCTCAGTTGATAATAGAGGTAACCAACCCCAAACGAGAACTGATCCACCGCCGTGTTTGACTGTTGGAATTTGATACTTTGGATTGTTTCTTTGATTAATTGAGCGTCTAATGTATCGAATTCCATTGGTGGAAAAGAGCTCATATTTGCTTTCGTCACTCCACAATACATCACTCCAATCATCAGCCGACCAGTCTTTGTACTTCTTGGCAAATTCGAGCCGAGCCTTTACGTTCTTTTCGGAAATCAACGGCTTTCGAGATGGGCGACTTCCATTGAGTCCTTGTCTCCTAAATAGCAACATTTTATTGCTTTCTAAACCATAAAATTACTTTAAGATGTGCTTAGCCGTCGTTTTTGGAAAGTGAAACTCCATAGCTTGATAGCTCCATAGCTCGAAACTCCATAGCCATAGCTCCATAGCTCCATAGCATCGCGACGTAGATCAGCTGAATTGAGGCGTGGATTTTTCTTAAATGGTCCCACAAGTGTCCTCTCATCACGCTCATCGAGTTTAGCTGGACTTCCCCTTGTTGGTGCTCGTTTCACATTTCCGGAAAACTTCCATTTGTTATAGATCTTGGTTACTGCTGAATGGGTGAGACCGAAGGTTGTGGCGACTTCTTGGTGGCTCTTTCCTCGATTTACTTCAGCCACAATAAGTTCTTTATCATACTTCGTCAAATTCGAACAATTATTCAGAAAGTTCACAAAAAATGCGACAAAAATAGTTTTTAAAGTAACAAAATTGAATTTATCTAACGCAAGCTACATCGAGTTGAAGTTGCCGGAAGATGATTGTTCGAAACTTTTAGACCCTACTGTATATACTTTATTCAGAAAATGAAATAAAGTATATAAAGATTTAAGATTAATAAACATGAATTCATACACATAAACACGAAAAGGACCAATTTAGAAAAAAAGCAACACGATACAATGTATGTAATATATGGGTAGCACAATAACGTCGAGAACGTCAAGAATCCACTAGAACTTCAAGATCAAGATCATCTACAGATAATTTTAAAGTTTCGAGACTATTGGACTCTCTCAAAAACTCTGGCAGTTCTTATTGGGAAAGAGTTATACACAAAATTATTGGAGGTGACTAAGCTATCGTTTTGGAAGGCTGAAACGTTTTAGAAGACGCCTTCAAAAAGCAAATTTTAGCAAATATGTTCAAATAATATTCAAGGGTTGACAATTTTTAGGTGAAACTGCTTCGTGTCTGTTTGAAGAAAAACGGGAACGCAAGAGAGGAGAGAAGAGCGTTTTGGTACGAGCTCGTATAGTGGGTTGAGTTTGGATTTTGAAAAAAAATCTTTTTCCTCTAGTCAGAAGTCCTAAATAAAATGTTTTCTAAAAAGTGTCCTCTTCGAAAACTACCATAAACTTGTCTCAAGTTTTATCCAATCTATCTACTTATATCCTGGATTGTTATCTTGGATCGTTTTTGAATCCTTACAGAATCATACCGAAAGTGGATAGATAGGATGAAACAAAAGACAAGATTACGATATCTTTTCTGAAGACTGAAACATTTCAGAGCCCTAAAAAGGCTCTCAAAAGGCTCTCAAAAGTAAATTTTAGCAAAGTGAACAATCTCCGAGATGGACATCGTAAAAAAAAAGAAGACGACGAAAAAGAGAAAAAGATTGCCGTTTTGTTGATGAAAGCCGGGTAAATGATCCAAAGAATTTGGTGAATGAGAAATTGATTTCAGCGGATTGTTGAAGGAAATTGGTACAGCGATACAGGCAAATGGGAGTATCGATCAATACGATTGGGACAACTTACTTGAACAATTTGATGCCATTCAACCAGCCGACCCTCAACCGGTGAGTGAGAGGTTTTACCGGGACGACAATTAGAATTGTCCGTATTTTATAGTCAAACCAACCGAAAAACGGGTTTTTCTGGGTAGATATTTTGGCGTTGACGCATAGTTTTTGTCGTCATGGCGCCATGGCGCAGTCGGGAACACTCTTGTCTACGGCCGGCACGACCCAGGTTCCACCGCCCGTAGTGCCATTCAATTGTGATTTTAAATGTTGCAAAACCGATGGCTCACTGACTAAAGACTTCGAAGCTTAAGCTGAACGTCGGGGATTACGGTAATCTCGTTAAAATGAAAAAGGTTATCGTAGTCCAGCTAAACGATTAAGCTAGAAAAGTAGCGTACTTCAGTTGCCTTTTGTAAATAAATGGAATATCAAGGGACTAACCGGTGAGCGTATACGGTAGCTTGCTTGCGGTAGCTATATGAAATTACAGTAGTTTTTCTTTTTCTCAGGCGTATCTTTCGAAAAACCGTTAATCAACTTTAGATCGATGAAATGTTGGAGCTTGGAGATTGGTTGGAGCAAAGAAAGAATAAAAAGGAAGCTCAACAAAACGAGAATTCAAAAAAAACTGTGAATGGGAAAAAGGGAAATGCTGGAAAGGCCAAAAAAGACGACGAAAAAGAAGAACGGTAAGGGAAAATTTTAAGTTTTAAGCGTTTTCTATAATGTCAACTTTCGAAAAACTACCGTAATCTTGTCTCCATTTTTATCCATTCATCTTTTTTCGAAATCTTTCGGTATCCTACCCTCACAGAATCAGAGATAAATTGTATTGGGCAAATTGGATAAAACACTAGATACTAGACAAGAACACTAGAACACTAGACAAGATTACGGTAGCTGTGCAGTGCGTGAGAGGGTACCGATGGCGCGATGATTATTTAGATATTTATTTATTTATTCCGAATATAGCACAATCACTAATCTAGCGAGAAATACAATAAATATTGGGTTGGTGAATTGACTCTAACAGATTTCCTCTTTTATTGGGTTGGTGAAAACTGCCGAACTTTGAACTAAAATCTATCCAACATAAAACCATGAATTCATTCCAAATAATTTCCATTATTATTGACGACTTCTGCCCATTTTACAGGCAATTTGTGGATTCCTCTTTCGTAGTAGGATTTTGGTTTGTGTGTGAGATAAGTGTGAGACTCAAAAATGGAGGACTGGAGATGTCCCAGTTTGAGCACTTTCTTCAATTTCTTCAAAAGAAACCCATTTTGGTGTCAATGGAAAAGTTGTAGAGAATCAAAAATTAGGCTTATAGCCAAATTTCCAAAAAGATACACTTGGTAAAAAAAAAAAAAAAAAAAAAATTAAAAAAATTATAAAAAATTTAATTTAAAAAAATTTTTTTAAATAAAAAAAATTTTAAAAAAATTAAAAAAAAAAAAAATTAAAAAAAAAAAAAAAAAAAAAAAAAAAAAAAAAAAAAAAATTTTAAAAAAAAAAAAAAAATAAAAAAAAAAAAAATTTTTTTTTTTTAAATTTTTAAATTTAAATTTTTTTTTTTTTTTTTTTATTTTTTTTAAAAAAAAAAAAAAATTTAAAAAAAAAAAAAATAAAATTTCTTTTTTTTTTTTTTTTTTTTTTTTTAATTAAAAAAAAAAAAAAAAAATATATTTTATATTTTATAAAATTTTTTTTAATTTTAATAAAAAAAATTATTTTTTTTTTATTTAAGTTTCGCTTAAAATGCAAGTTTTGTGAAAATTCGTAAATTTTGCATTTCTTGAAAACCAGTTTTTGAATCGTTCTGAAAATTTGGATATAAGCTTCATTTTTGATTCTCTACAACTTTTCCATTGACACGAAAATGGGTTTCTTTTGAAGAAATTGAAGAAAGTGCTCAAACTGGGACATATGACAATAGCCGGCAGTTTTCAATTCACCAATCCAATAGATTGAGATTAGCCTTGATTTGAGGAGAAGTCAATCTTCAATTTGAGGATTCGGAGCTGGCCAGATTAGTTCTGGCAACAGGAGAGGAAAAGGGGTTATGTAAAATCCCTGCGCCAGACGACGAGCGATTACGCGGCCGCATAAAGAACACACATAACACACAAATTTTAAGCGGAACTATTAAGTATTTCTTTTTGGAAATTTGGATATAAGCTTGATTTTTGATTCTCTACAACTTTCCCATTGACACCAAAATGGGTTTCTTTTGAAGAAAGTCCTCAAACTGTCACATATGACAATAGCCGGCAGTTTTCAATTCACCAATCCAATAGAATCAATCGTTGATCAAGTGTTTCAAAGCCAAAGAAAAGCAATACAAAGGCTTTTTATCACACAAATGATTTTTAGAGGAAGAAAAAGAGAAACAGAGATATTCAAAATCAAAGCATCAAATAAGCTTTCACAGAAAAGAGCTACTTTTCTGCACGGTAGCTTTCGAAAGTTGGCATTTTTTAGAAAAAGAATCTATTCAACTTGCAGGCAACCCGTCACCCGATCCACCGTAATCCCCGAAGATTCTATACTGATCCCCTAATATTGTAAGCTACAACCTTTTTTTCTTACTACAGTATGCAGTAATGATCAGTAGTACTGTAGACCCTTGTAGATACGGTATTCAGACATTAGGTGACGCTGTAGATACGGTATTCAGACATTAGGTGACATTGTAGATACAGTATTCAAACAATAAGACTGACTATCTTGCAGGTAAACAAAAAAAATGCTGTTTTCTCGGTTCAAAGGCTTACTGTAGTAAGATAAAAGATCAGCTTTACGATATTTTTTTTAGCTCATTCTATGTGCTCATTCTTTGTTGTTCTGCCAGTTTTCATAATTTATCCCGAGAATTTTTCATTTCGTCTTTCTCTAGTCTTCATCATCTTCGTAAAAATCCCCAAAACTCTAGTCATCGATTCTATTCAAATGATTCAAACTCTATTCAAATATAGATTTGCATTTCTTTTCATTTTTGCATTTCTTTTCATTTTTGCATTTCATTCCACCACTTGCCTACTTAATGATTTTAAAATCGAGTACCTTTATGTCGTAGTTGATTATGAATTTCAGCCGATGATGATGATGATGATGATGAATGAGTGGATCTACGGGCGTCCAACCATCAAGTTTTTGGCATCATTCAACGCAGAATCATTGATAATTATGTTTAATTTTTTAAATTAGAAAGATTGGATAAAAGGAAAAAAAATTACGGGACTTCAAAGTTTTCTCTCGAACAAACAGCTTTTTTTTGCTCTAATTTTTTTTTCCTTTTATCCAATCTTTCTAATTAAAAAAATTTAGCATAATTATAAATGATTCTGCGTTGAATGAGACCAAATACTTGATGGTTGGACGCCTGTACTGTACTGTACTGTATACAGTCTATCGTAGCCCATTATGAATAAGTGGGTTTAGGCTCATCCAAACATCAAGTGTTTGACATCATTCAACGCAGAATCATTAATAATTATGTTTAATTTTTTTAATTAGAAAGATTGGATAAAAAGAAAAAAAGTTACGGTGTTTCAAAGTTTTTTTTTGCTTTAAATTTTTTTTCTTTTTATCCAATCTTTCTAATTTAAAAAATTTAGCATAATTATCAATAATTCTGCGTTGAATGTTACCAAACAATTGATGATTGGACGCCCGTAGATCCACTCATTCATAATCGGTTGAAACTCATAATCGGCTACGGGGGTCCCGCCGATTTTGAATGAAACGTTGTAGCGCCGGCAATTTTTAACCTAAACTCCCAAATTTGGTACCAATGGACGCAGAATTTCATTCACTACAAAATGATATAATATTATCCTCATGCATTAAAGGGTTGCTCTACTAGAAAGGTTTGCCAAAAGAATTTCATTCAAAATTGGCTACGACATGTATAAAATTTGAGTAAAATGTCCCTTTACTATGCCAAATTGGTCGCGTACTTTGTGCTCTGGCGTACTTTGTGCTCTGGCGTACTTTGTGCTTTGGCGTACTTTGTGCTTTGTGGCGTACTTTGTGCTCTGGCACATTCTGTAGAAAATTTGCATTTAAATATGGATTAGTCCTGTTTAAATCGTCAAAATGCTAGAGAAAAATGTAAAACTCAATGCGACAGAGGGCTCGCCTTTTTCCGAGCACAAAGTACACGCCCAGATTCAATAGATTCACTAGATTTTCTTCAAGTTTTCAATCCCGGTGTCTAGCTATCATATTTACCGTATTTTCTCTAATAGTAGTGCACCCTGTGGGTCGCCTAAATTGCTCGAAATCTCGAGAATCGCTTATCAGAACCTATCGATGTGGGGTCGGAAAATGTAGCTGACGATGAGATCTAGCGGGGGGTTAGAGTGTTGAGCTTCTGTGAAAACTTTTGAAGCCGTAAAATAGTCACCAACTCGGCTACAAATCTACCGTAACAAATCCAATAAAGCTTAAAGAAGCTGGTGACTAAAGGAGAAGCTGATCTCAAAGAAGCTAGTCCCTAATACTAGCCCATAAGCTGACGATGAGATCTAGCTGGAGATTAGTGTGTTGAGCTTCTGCAAAAGCTTGGAAACCGTAAAATCGTCACCAACTCGGCTCGCCGGGGTGCACTACTATTAGAGAAAATACGGTATGCTAATATTTAATAAAATGCGACATAATTTAGATTCAATAGATTCGCAAAATAGGTATAATTTTAATAAATGATCTATCTATCTTTTTGGGATGATTTTTTTTGATGCACCCCCTTGCTTTTCGCTTCTTTTTGTCGCTTATCTTAGCAACTTCTCGACCGGTGACTCATGCTCAATGTTATTATGCTCATTGTTACTCTAATGTTAAAAATTTGCTAATAAATATTTATATTAAAGAAATTTCTTTTCCTGCTCTTTTACGGGTTCATTTCCGGAGACTACTGCTTTATTATGATTCATCGTTTTTCTTATGCTTTTTCTTATGAAACCCGCTTCAAAGAACGTTTTCTTTTCCTTAGCTGATCGAACTCTGAATCGGAAATTATATATGGTTTTGAGCCGAGGGCTATATCAGCCGAGGATTACTGTTTCACCCCTTTTGTTTTT